GGCCGCTACGTGTCTGTGATAATAAACGAAACGCGTTTGCTGCAACTCCGCTTCGAGTGTTTTATCCGGGCGCCGCAGCTGCAGCTGATCAAATGGTGGGACAATTTACATCTAAAAGTAGCAGCGGTACATATATAAAAGGAATTTTCTTATTAGAGATTGCCTCTGAATCGGTCGCCTGATATATTGCTTGTTCAGATATAAGCTCTTCTATAACTTAAACGCAAGAGTCGTGAAATTTGTGATTAAAATCACTGGGACAGACAGGTACACGTCGAGAAAGACGTCAATTTTCAATACTCTGTTTTTTCATACTTACCTGGTGTCGGGGAATCCGTGATCCGCGAGGCGGAGCCCCCAGGGTGAGGTGCGGCCATTGCACTTCGGCCGTGTTGACCCCTGCCACTTTCTCAAACTGAGATAGATGGGACATGCAATTTTTGGTAGTGGGGGATTGGCGTACGCGCTACCCCCCTCCCTTTAAACATCGAAAGTGAGACTGTGGAGGGCGGATAACATTAAATTTTTTCACATTATCGGGATGAATGTTCGGATGGTTCGGTCGTCACTTGTCGTCGGTCTTCTAACCTTCGCGAATATACATCAGGCTTGGATTATTTACGCTGTTCGCGGTACCTCTATTTATTCGTCCGTTTCAGACACCGGATGGCGCGCGACTCGTGACGTGGTTGAATGCGCGACTTCTCGATGCCACCAGTAACGAAGTGTGAAAAGGCTTGCGTGAAATAGATCGAACACGACACGATTCACTTCTCCCGGCGGTGGAAGTTTTTTCCTCCCTCGCGCGCCCTTGGTATGTCTGTGGTCTGTCTGCTTAGTGTGCATTGCACCGAACGTCAGTGATAATACGCGCGGTGGCCGAGTCCGGCCTCTGCGCAGTTTGCCCAAGTATTCTAGTACACTGTAGTTTGGTGCAGTGGGTGGCGCTCGTTTCTGTTCGGAGGTAGGATTTTAGGACGATCGTTTTTATCTCAAGTGACGTAATGTACCGCCTTTTCGAAATCGTACTTTGCGGCGAGCGATTGAGAGTCAGGTTGGCATTTTATTTTGGTCAGCACTACACGTTCAATAAAGACCTCGGGCGGCGATATAAATATGTGTTGCTCCTTAAAGTCTGTCCAAGGTGCGCAGTGACAATTGGAAATGGTATTGAAGGCGCGCGACCGTCAGTTGGTAAAATACGTCCGTTAGAACTTAGATTCACTTATTCAATCATTTCTGCCAACGTCTTTTATCTGTTTCGACAAATGACATGATCGAGTCTATTGATGATAATTTTAGGTAGACTGCACGGTGGACCGCTTCTTTCGTTTCTAATAAATTGCACTGTTGCAATTTATGGGGTTCTAAAATAGCGGTGTCGTTTGCCTGGGCACCGACAGGATCATCTTCCTAACATTTGTCACACATTCAGTTTTAATATCCGCCTACTAAACTACCAGTATATACCCTGGAAAAGTTCAAATGCAAATATTTCCACAAGTTGGACACTCGAAAAACTTCAAATTAAAGTGTTCAGATTACGCTGCATGAACACCACCTGGACTCGTCGAATCCTGTTTAATACCTACGTCTTCCTTACGAAACATCATTACACTACTACGGCGTCGACTCGTCGATTATGCACCGAGTGTCCGCCGAAACACGGATTAGACACGAGTCATTGTCGAACGCTGACGTAGGGCTAAGACTCGGATTCACTTTGTAATTTGTACCCGCTCTCGGTCGTGGCTTCACACTTCAAGTGCACGAGCACTGCCATAGTAAAGGCGGTAAAGTACAGTTTGAACACGGCCCGGCAGAAGACGGAGAAATATTTGCGATAATTTTTGGACCTTCTGCATGCAACCGAGATTCCAGTTATACGGCGCTTTCTTCGCAATAAGCCTCGGCCGAGATTCGAACCGGTTAAAACAGTGAGGTATAGGTGGTGGTAGCTGTACTAATATATATATATATATATATATATATATATATATACTGTTCTAAATATAGAAAAACAAAAGGATAGCAAGTGCGAAGACTGTCACCTTACCTGGTTTCGTAAGCCATGTTAGTAGCCGCTTCCGCTGGGCTTCATTCTTTGCTGACTTCTTTTCCCGTAATTTCTTGAACTCCGCTCCAGAGAGTTTGCTCAACGACATGACATTGATGTGCAGATGGCCAAAGTAGAAACGAAGAAGAGCAAAAGATGCTGGGCGTATTCACGCAGCGATCTTTGGTAGGATGCGGTTGCAAGCAGCGCAGGTGGCTACTTAACTTGCTTGATAACTTGAAGCCTTAGCAGCGCTACTCTACTTTAAAAAAAAAAAAAAAAAAAATCACTGAAGATGAACGTCGTCATACCCACTTTTAAAGAGAAAACGCTGCCAGGTCGTCACCTTCGACGAACGAGCAGCAGTCAGTTCATGACTAGTGACGACATGGGCGCCTTTTTTTTACAGAAGGGCGAAAGAAATAAAGGGAAAGGTATTTCGGAAATGTATTATCGGTATTATCGGTAAATGTATTATCGGTATTTCGACTTCGAAATGACCATCTAGGAGACTTCTAGATGATCGGCTTTGGAAGTTACCTTCTCAGAGCTTTAGGGGCAGCTCTAAAAGGTGTTGTTCTTCCCCAAACTATGTGTCCGGCTGTCAGGGGCCCTCAATCTGAATATTGCTAGCAATCCTCATGTTCGTGTACTTTTCCAAATCCCCAAACGCCTGCCTACCATCCTGTGAAAACTACGTAGTGTGTGCTAAACACGAGGATATCCCGACGGCCCTCTTCCATCGCTAAACCACCAGTGACCTTCCCTACCCTACAATACAGCTGCTCTTCCCCGCTCTAGGCTCTAGCCCGAGCCAAGAAAGCTTACGAAAACCGCTTAGGCTTCCTGATAGAAAGAATTGCAGATTGTCTGCAAATGGTCACCTCAACCTTATCCCCTCAATAACCTGAACCATTTCCCAATCTTCCTTCTATCCGTTTAACCTTTTTGGTTTTTCTTTCTTCCAAGCCAGGTAGCAACTTCTTCGGTAGAGAAGGCCCACATATCTCCCCACCCAAAACAAGATCTCCCATTTTTAAACCGGAAAGCGGGTCGGCGTCGTTTGCATTGGACAAGAAGCTGGTCATAATTGACACTGAAGATTGACACCTAGCACGAGCCCTTGGAGATGACGTCTTTAATCCCCCTTAGCCGAGTAGGGAGCTGCCTAGAGGAGCCAGGCTCTGCTAACCTTCTCGTATGTTCTCTCACAGAAAGATGCACCCTGAGCTAACCCAAGTGGCCTGGAGACCTTGGCTCATTCTTTCCTTCGCTTCTCACTACCCTTCTAGTTTCTCCTCCCGATATTTTTTTTCTCCCCCCCCCCCCCCCCCCCCCCCCCTTTCCAAAACAACGGTGCAGTAAATGCCTTCGTGAGTTGAAACATGTGTCCTTCAGTACTTTACCCTCGCGTTAAAACGGAAGCGACTTAGACCAGAGGATTTTTGCAGAAGGATTCTGCACCCGGCAGCACTGCGGCTAGATTCCCTGGTGCGCAGCCTTGACTCATCGTTCCGCCCAGCAGCAGTCTTCTTTACTTTTTTGTCGATTTCTTCTGGGGTAAGGGCTCACTCGCAGATTAACGGTCTCCGTTTCCTCTGGGATATACTTGACGATGTTTCAAGTTCAATAAAAACAAAGTGGGGATGGTTTTGCTTCCTTTCTTCCGGTGTCATCTCGATTTTGTTCCAATCGAAACGCCCCCAATAAAAAAAAAAAGAAAGAAAGAAAGAAAGAAAAAAAAAACAACGAACGCTCACTAAATTTGCGCTTTACACAAGTCATCAGGAATGGCCAGGGCCCCACTTCCGCCCCCCCCCCCCCCCCCCCCCCCCCCCCCCCCGTATGCACGCCTATGGTTGTGTGCATCCTGGAACGAAGATTCATGGTTATGAAGTGACTATTGAACGAATAAAAATTTAAGAAGAAATGTAGAAACATTCATCGCTACGGTATTTTTAGCTATATTTATTTTATATTTATTTAGAAATGTAGCATTCGGCTATACTCGATTTTTACGACTACCAACTGTTCCTACGAGTCAAGAGGAGCCGGGGCTCGCAGAGTCGGCTTGTCGCCGTGTCAAGAGCGATCTCGACAGACGCGCCGGTCGGGACAAGGCAGTTTTAGGGAACCGTTTTTGCACGTCCGATACGGTACGATGGGGCCCCCGGTAAGAACTGCGCCCATGGGAGTCTTCTGTGGTAGGCTGGTAGGGCATGCGCAGTTTGTTCCGGAGAACCCATCGTACCGTACCGGACGTGCGAATACGGTTCCCTCAAACTCTCTAATATGCGGAGTGTTCAAGAATTAGACTTCTCCAATTGTGAACCTTGGGTTCCGCCATCGAAGTAATTATAATTAGCTTTTTTTTTAAATTTTATTTGCCGAGCGAGTTATTTTTTTAACCCCTACGGTGCAAGCTGCCTGTTCATTGAACCAATCAATCGTCTGTCTTGCAGCACGTGATGACGTTCTCCGCGCATATTCACGCACCGAGACCTAAATCAGGCAAAATAATGCTGTAAAAAAAAAAAAGCGGTTGGTTTTTTTATAATGATAATTACTTTTCGTTCAACCCTAAAAGACCGCGAGCGTGAGACATTCACCGTCTTGTCTACTCACGACGGGAGTAGGCGATATTCATCAGCATGCTGCCACTCCAGATCGCCACTTCTCTTCATATGTCGAAAGGTATGCCTAAGCTAGGTATCCATGCGTTCGTACGAGACACTGCGTAAAAAACGCACGGTTACGCACCTTAAAAATACGCGCGCAAAAGCGCAGTCTCCACGTTCGAAACTGAAACCAACGTTCCCTAAAACCACCCACGTGCGCAAGTTCATCTCGAAGCATAATTGTGTTAAATGAAAATTTTAGAAGCTAGTTGTTAATTTCAAGTTTGGTTCCTAGTTATATAATATTTTCCAATAACAGTTAGGTTCTTTTTCGCCAGGTGACGTCGGGTGACGTGAGGCGTGGAGGCGTGCGACGTGCTTCCGAGGCTTCCGAGCTTCCGAGCACCTTCCGAGTTTTAACGAAACACGGCAACACGGCAACACTGTTTTCGCAACAAACATGGCGACCGACTGGGAAGAAGTGAAACGTCTCGCAGCTGATTTCCAGCGCGCCCAGCTCAGCACCACGGTGCAGAGGTTAGCCGCCTGTCTTAAGACTTTATTGAACCGGTCGGCTCTAGTCTTGCACGACTGGAACTTTTAAAAGTTCTTCTAAGACACCACACTTGTCTTCAACTGATGTTATGAATCGTGCAAACTGTTTCTCATTCTGCTGACATTGACCTAAAAACCCTGTTTTGCTTATTATTTTTGTGGTTAACTGCGCGTAGTGTATTTTCTAATGACGTTAACCCGATGTCTAGCAGTATATGTGACTTCGATGAATTTCAGCTGCAGTCATCGAGATGATAGCTGACATATGGTCTCTTCAATCGAGACATGCTGACCCCGTTCGGGAAAAATGTAGTTCACACACGCCTTTCGAATCTCCCGAATCAGTCATGCGATAAAGAAATATAACATTGAGGTATTGAGGATTGAGGTCTTGAGTCGGTGACAACTGGGCGCGATTGACGAAGAAGTCGTCTGAACTTTATGAGGAAAGGAAGTGGTGTTCTCTGTTGAGCACATACTTCATCAGGTGACTTGTAGGTTTCAGATCACACGGATGAGTATTTATAGTACGTAATTGTGTACGAGAGAATCTTTATAGAAAAGCTTGCTGGCCCAGCAGCCGACGACTGTCTGATGAGATTTCTGAGATCACCTCAACACACCACTGACAGGAGCCGGTGTGTGCGAAATGCAGAAATAATTTTGAGTAACCTTGAGGACCAATTGCCATCTGTGTACACCATTAAAGCATGCCTTCTACTGAGTTTATGCTTCGTGTTGATTCGGCTAGCCCAACTTCTACTCCTTTCTAAACACATCATACACGATCAGTTCAAATAGATAATGTATTGCAAACAATCGTGAACTCGTTAAGGGGTATTTTAACGATAGTTTATTAATAAACTGCTTTTTTTTGTTCTCGCATTACCTCGTTCATGCAGGCTGTCAGAAAGGAACTGCATTGAGATAGTGAAGAAGCTTATTGAGCTCAAGCTGATTGACGTCATCTTCACCAATGATGGCAAAGAATACATCACCCCGAAGCACTTGCAGAAGGAGATCATGGACGAGCTCACAGTGGCTGGCGGTAGGTTGGCGCCTGTCTGACAAATTCTCTCGTTTAGGGCGAGTTACGCGAGTTGCAGTTTTTGACAATCTCGTTTAAAGGGAAGCTACGGAGCTTCTTGGAAAAAATGAGTTAGAAGTGAATTCTAGTGTATTTTTACCCCGTGAACCCGAATACCCAAACCATTTGCTGCGTAAGTATTGTTAAACGCGAGAAAAACGCGAAAGACAGTCGCTGTCCGTGACGTCATCGACGGCTCTTTTGGCTGCCCAAGGCTAGGGGGGCGGGGCTTCAGCCCTATTTTGAAATTGCTCTTGTGGCTCTCCGGCTCGTCGCATTGAAATATAATTTTGATATCTGTTATTCTAACGGCCAAATGAACGCAATTCATGCGTTTTTTTTCAAATGTAGAAGTGCCCCATCTTCCCTTTAAGGCTTCACTTCACCTTATGATGGATCGCAGTGGATACTTCAAGCCATAGAAGTCAATCCAATGGCGTGTGAGTGTCACGTGATCTTCAGGAGAGGCTCAGTGACACATGGGGTGCATAGTCATGTGATATGTTAATAGTATAGGATGAGCTGATATAGCTTGTAGCATCTGCCGCAGTCCATCAATGTGAAACGAAGTACAAAAAATGAAAACTGGGATCCAGATTCCAATGCCACTTACTTTGTTTTATGGTGAATTCCACTCGTAGATCCGGAGCACTTTCCAAAATCCGCGAGGGAGGCAAAATTCTGCTCCGAGGGACCTGCTCCAAATCGACGAGGGGGAGATAGTAGTGGTGCAAAACTATGGATAGTACTATCGATAGTATCGATAGTCGCCAGAAATCTGACTATCGATAGTCGACTATCGAAAAACTATCGATAGTACTATCGATAGTCGACTATCGAAAAACTATCGATAGTACTATCGATAGTACTATCGATAGTACTATCGATAGTCGACTATCGAAAAACTATCGATTGTACTATCGATAGTCGACTATCGGAAAACTATCGATTGTACTGATAGTCGACTAGCAAAAAACTATCGATAGTCGACTATCAGAAAACTATCGTTAATCGACTATCGGAAAACTATCGATAGTCGACTATCGTAAACCTATCAATAGTACTGTCGACAGTTTACTATGGATAGTTTTGCGACACTAGTAGTTTGCGTCGCTCCCTCTTGTCTATTCATCGCTTTAATTTTTTTTTTCAAACAGGGCACCAACTAGCCCAGATACTTACCATCCCAACTTTGGTTCAGCTTTCAGTGATGACGAAGATGGGAGTTTGGGCGAAAAAAGAAGGGGGTGGCGAGCGGTAGGGCAAGGGCAAGACGGGCCGGGGAGGAGGAAGCAGACGGAGTGCTGGAGAAGAGAGGGGAAAACCTCCTTCTCTCTTTAGCGTTCCGTCTGCTTCCTCCTCCCCGGCCCATCTTACCCTCGCCCTACCTTCTTGAGTTGTAACGGTCTATAGTGGTGCAAGACTATCGATAGCACTAGCGATAGTATCGTTAGTCGCCAGTATAGTAAAAAAACATCGATAGTCGACTATCGAAAAACTATCGATAGTACTATCGATAGTCGACTATCGAAAAACTATCGATAGTCGACTATCGAAAAACTATCGATAGTACTATCGATAGTCGACTATCGATAGTTCTGGGACACTATCGATAGTTTTGGAAAAACTATCGATAGTATCGATAGTCAATTTATCTATAGTTTTGCATCACTAGGAGATAGGCTCGCATTTTTGGAGCAACCGCCCTCCCCCTCGGCCGTTCAAAATGGCCGCTGCTCGGACTTAACAAGCCCACCAACGCCTCAGCCGACTGACCTTTCCGACGACCAATGACAACTGTCACTGCTTTGCTGCAGAAAGAACATGCGACAAAGGCCGGCCGGGCGATATTATAGGTACCACGGAGCCCATGTCCCATGTAACAAGGAAGACGTCCGCGTTCGGCACCGTCACATACCTTTTGGCTGCCTCGAAGCGGCGGGGCACGCGCAGTGTTTGCCATCGGTGGAGTTCAGATTTCTGGTACGACTTTAATAAACGCAGAGGTAACAAACCATCACTTACACGGTCGTTGCCTAACCTGTTCTTGCTTTACTGCATGATAAAATGCCGGAGGCATGCAGTGTATGAAAGTAAGCAATCGGTGGCGGCAAAATGAACAGGCCTAACCTCGCGTCTGCCTCCTTCCGATTTTCTGCCGTTCTTTTTCTCGGTCTTCCTCTCACGATCACAGATGTCAGTGCTTGCGATTTGCCACGCTCCAGTCTTGGCTTTGCATCCCCTATCTATGCGAGGTAGAAGTGTTTGAGTGATTACAATCGCGCGTAAAACGACCCACTCATCCGAGCAGATCCAGCTCGACTGACTCAACGCTATCGACGGTGCGGCTGGTCGGCCCACCGACCTTGTCGTGCATGCGCCACCGCCGAGTTAAAGGAAATGACGTAGCGCGGTTTGTCGATTTCCGCATAGATCTCTGAAATCCCGCGGAGCAAGTTCGGTGGGGTTGGAGGTGCTCCATGGAGCGGGCGCTGCCAGAGATCTGCGAGCGGAAGACGACCAGCTCGAGCCAGATCTGCTAGCGAAATATGCGCGCTCAAAATGAAGCGCTTTTGGAGCGCTCGAAATCTACGAGCAGAATTCACCATTAGTCAGGTCTATACGTTCAAGAAATCTTCTATGTTCATGCATTATTTGCCCTATACAACACCGTCTAGTAGGTTGTGGCACCCCCAAACTGGGGGGAGAAATGAAGCTTTGGTGCAGCAAGAGCAAAGTTTTTACGTTGTATCCACTCATTGTTAGGAGTACAGTACTATAGTAAACCTATGCACCAAGAAACTGACGAAGAGTAGGAGACAAGAGCGCGTTGAAACATGAGAACGCCGAGCTCTGGTTGGAATAGACGCATAGCTAGCTGTCTTTGTCTCCACATCACTCGTCAATGTGAAACGCGTTAGAATGCAGAATGCCGACGTCTGGCATTTGGCTTTTGCATTCGAACGCCTTCAACTACTGCACCTGTCGAATGCGTTAGAACGCCGGCATTTGGCTCTCGCATTTGAAGGCGTTCCTTGAGTGCAGTAGAGAAAAGCAGCTAGCTTTAGGTCTACCCACTAATCATTCAAATCGGAGCTCGGCGTTCTGGCATCCACAAGTGCTCTCATCTCCTCCTCTCCCTCAGTTTCTCGGCACATAACTCGAAGAGCATAGTGCTTCATATTCTGAAGGACTTGCACAGCAGTTGCCAATGTTGCATTTCAATATTTCTAATATTTCTGTAACCTGGCTCAAAACTTGAGGCAACCATGGGTACACCTCTTACGTTACATTCTTGGATTCGGCATACCCTTTTACCTGTTTAATGAATGCTAATTTTAGCTTGACCGTTTTGACCTACACAGGTTTTGTATTAGTAGACGACGGATAACATTCCATAGTCTGTTGTAGGTTAAGAAATGCGGGACAAGCCTCTTCCACCAAGCTGTACGGTTGCTGGTTTGCTCCTTTCAACTCACCTCCTCTCCAGCATTGGCTCTTCTGAAGTGGAAAGAGTGGAAAGCTTTGTGGGATGGACTTGTCCTGCTTTTTCTAACCTGCAATATGCTTTAGTAGCTTGCGCTATGCAAAGGACACTATGTCTAGCGCTGACAGAGGGGAGCTGTGAGAATTGAACGGATGGCTTTTGGTAGGTCGGATCAACCTGGTGGACCTGGCACACAACCTTAATGTGGACCTCAGCCACATAGAGGCCAGGTGTTCGGAGCTCCTGCGGTCGGAGCACAGTCTCCAGGTGGTGCTCGGTCAGCTCATCGACAGGTGCGTCACTCCGCCCACTAGCGGCCATTGCTTAGAAGTCCACTCCAACCAGAAGAGAGGGAATTATTTCACTTTAACGTGGAAGCTAGTATAGTTTCTCTTGATTGTCCCAGATTTTAAAGAAACTGGTGGAAACTTTATTAAAAAGGTAGTCTAAGAAACTGGGGCTCTGCGTAACCTCATTGTTGTTTTTCTCTGAAAGAAAAGCAAGTAATTTCTGGTAACTAGCATTATATGTTACCTGGCTTCTCTCTCTTGCTACAAAGATAGGTCAAATCATGTGTACACTAATAAGAGAATGTAAGCATTCTGCACAGATTTGACGGCATGTATAAAAACATAAAATGTTACACTGTGTTTCTGTGGGTAGTGCAGAAGTGCTTATTTCAGCGGACAATTTCGATAGTTTACTCCTCGGGTCATTGACAGAGTAACCTACAAACGGAGACTCTGATTTTAGGCTAGATCAACAAATGCTAATTGGATCCGACATGTACTCTGGTAGATGTCATGTCAGGTTTCTCGTCATTGCAAAAATATAAAAACAGGTCCTACCTCGACACCTTGGCCGAGGACATCAATGAGAAACTCCAGCAGGCCGGGCACATCACGTTTGGCGAGATCACCAAACAGTATGACCTTCCACCGGACTTCTTAGAAGACGTGAGTGCCATGTAACCTCACCTATCCTGAACCTGAAATTACCTAACCTAGCTTAACCTTTTTGTGAAAGACAGGATCTTTCTTGTTTCTGATTTTTCTTTTCTTTCTCCATTGTGGATGTTGGTAAAGTCTGGCCTTTCAGTAGGCCCATTAGTTCCTTTTTTGTACCTCGTAAATTTGTAGAGGGAATAGTTGCATTCATTCAACCAGATTCACCTGTAAGTGGGATTTTGAAGGCGAGGCACATTGTAATGGTTGGCATTATAAAAGCTGCTCTCCAAGTCAGAGGCCGTCAGCTTAAGCCCAGTTCCTTTTCTTTTTTTTCTTTTTTTTTACATTATCTAAGAGTTATTTGTTACTTTTGTCAGTTCAGCGCATCATACAGGGTAGATGGTCTCGTTCAGACACATTTTAGAAAGAATTTTTTAAAAGTTTCTCTTTTCCTCAGGTGATCCATTCGAGGCTCGGTTCAACCATCAAGGGTCATGCCGACCCGCACGACCGAAGACACATCTTCACCGACGCTTACGTCGCCCAGCACAAATACCGCGTTCGTGGCGCCCTGTCTGCTGTTACAAGGTTGGTTCCTGACTTTTTTTGGACACTTTATTGCTGGTAGAATCTGTCTTCTTTGTTGCTCAGACTCGTCAGTATTGTGTATTTACTCATTTAATAGATGCAGCACAATGTTTATGAACAAAGCCCATATGTCTACCTTCCTGCAGAACACACATGCAGCCAATCATTACTTTCTACTTAAAAATATAGCGATTAACGAGCTCGAGAAAACAATTCTTTGCGAAAGTGCAATCTGCGCAGACGGCACTTTCACGTGAGGATGTTAGCTCACCCATCGGTCACTGGGCTCCTTCTGTCGACTGCTGTGATTGGCTATTCTTATGCTGTGTGGGAGAGTGGAGGTGCAGGCTTTGTTTTTTAGGGGTGTGTCTATTACTCGAGTAAATACCATAATTTCTTCCTGTGGAAGCAATAACCCATAGGTAAAAATCTCGAAATTTCGCCAAGAAGCCAGTTGTGGATTTGCAGAGTGCTTTTGTCAACATGTTTTGCATGCTACTAAACTAGTGAAGGGTATGATTTGACTGAACTTTATCCAATAATTATTTTGATAAGTACAAGTTTCAACAAAATCAGTACGATAGGAGCCATATAGGCTGTTAGCAGCCATTGTTCGGCTGCTTGATTCTCATGACAGTCCATCCAGACTTTTAGTTTCACCAGCTATTAGGCATGTGCAAATAGTGGATTCTGAGCTTGAAGCGAATTCGAAGCGAACAGTGATTTTAATTGAATATTTTCTAATCAAATATAGAATAGTTCCCCAAGCTACACCATGCTTAAACGAAAACCCGGCTGAACTAGTGAAGGTTTTTCCGAAGTACCACTTGTCCATTTCTAAGCTAATTTTAATCCGACTATATTTATACCAAACTATGGCCTCGGAGAGTTCAATGCTTACATTGGAATGACAAGTTAACAAAACATTGACATAAAATTAAGCATATAGAGATGCCCGGCTATACCTAATCTAGATTTTTAAATGTTCTGACTATATGCAAATATCCTTTCTTCAATCTCAAATTAAAACAAAACAAAAACACAATCACGTATGTTTAACGTAGGTTGTCAGGGCATTTCTGCCTGAGGAATATTCTTGCAGAGTTTAATTCCACAAATTCAACATCCACAAATTTTCTGTTCTAATTTTTGAAATACGCCAGGTGCACACACTCATCATCTCAATTTGAAAGTGCTTTTCTCCTAAGCATGCAACTGCAATATTTATATTTTTCGAAGTGTTCATTGCGGCAGGCTAGCCCCATTCTGCACTCTTCGCCGGTGCATTGCGGAGAAGCAACACTCCCAAAAGCAAGCTTCGTGGGTGTTGCTTCTCTGCAGTGCTCCGAGGCACGGTGGAAAGCGCGCTCAACGGGGCTAACCCACCCCGATCAACACTTCGAAAAATATGAGCATCGCGGTTCATCTCGAAGAGAACAGTGAATAGCGTATTATTTTATTGGAATATTCGCTCAATCCTACAAACCATGATTTATTACTTTCACACATGCCATACTTTTTCAGGTACAGTTGAACCGCAGTGACTTGTTTCTTAGGTGTCCACAGTAAAAAGAGCATTATCGGAAAAAAGCCAATAATGCTGTTGGACGCTATAAACGGTACAGGAAGAAACTCTTACGCAATCTACCATATTTTCCAATGTATAAGTAATGTTTTTTTGTTTTTTTTTTCAAAAATTTTGTTGCGCGTTTTTTACGACAGTGTGACTAGGATATCTATGCGTTGTTTTTTTTTTTCTAAAAGTATGGACCTTAGCTGCGCAAAGTCGCCGCGGGAGTTATATTTCTCGTTCGATTTGTTGGCGATAATATTGGACTGGCTTCCGCTTACGCATATGTCGTGATCACAATACACATACAGTTTGGTATATGGGGGTCGATTTGTAGGCGAGGGAAATTTCCGAGCCCGTCGAGCTAATCCAGACACACCCTTGTGTTATCTGCTGCTTCGAGCACGTCAGTGCAAAGCGGCAAAGCTTCACGCATGCGCACCGGTTCGAAGCCGTGAAACTTGACACGAGCGACGCTGTGCATGTGCTACGACACAGAAACACGTGGATGACACAATAATCGTGTCATCTATCGGGATTATGTGACTCTAATTCTGTCTTACCGCAATAACCATCACTGTACCATGTTGCCAGATGTCTCCCAGCGACTTCTTAGCTCGCTTCTAACATAGTGGAAATAGCGGCAGCACGGTCAACGAATGTCGCTCAGCCAGGGTAAAGAAGAATATTGTGAAATTAATTATTGTGGGAGCTTCTCCTTAAAATGAAAGCCCTCTTTTTTCGCAACGCCAAATTCACCATTGAGCAGGAATTGCTAACATGTGCTGCCGAGGCCGGGCAACCCGATCCGTGGCACCAGCTGTGTTGGGCTAACAGTCTGTTGCCATAACAACCAGGAAGACAAACGTAACAAAAGGATTAGGATGTGCTTATTCTTACGGTAGTTCAACGGGACCGGCGTTCATGAATATGATAGCTGTAAAAAATTATACACTGGGGGCATATCAGTGAGATTTTACTTTGGGTTGTACACTATTAATTTGTAGAACATAACACCAAACTCAAGAAGACAGCTTTGAACAAACTTACAGCTGGCAGTGCCTAAGTACTGATTGGTGCACAATTGACATTTTCTTAAAGCACTTGTATATAATGCAGTCTTTGATGTCAACCTTCTTTTTTTATTTTTTCTTCCCAAGGCCTGTGTCACTGAGCAGCCTCGTGAACATGTTCCAGTTTCCGGAGAAACTGCTGTATGGTGAGTTCCCGAGAGATGTTGAAGTCGGATCCGACTCCTCTTGATTTCTTGAAGATTTTGCCTCCCATGCCAAGCAGTTCCACTAACCTTTTTTCACTGTCAGTGCTGTTGGTGTACTTTTCTTCTCAACACTTACTACTATTTATAATGCTTAACCACTTCACAAAAATGTAGGGATTTTCTATGAAACTTAAAGATTGCTGAATCTGGTATAAAGATTCCATTGCCCTAGCAATCTAAAAGAGCATGAGTGTTTTGCAGTGACTCATATTTTGCGTCCCCCCTATCCCTCCCCAACGACGACGTTGAATGAAAAGTTGAATTTTTCGTTGTGTGTGGATTTTTACGTAGTGGAGGTTAGAGTATGTCTTGAGCCGCATTTTGTGTTGCCGCCATAAAGGGGGCAGTTTGGCCAGTGCAGTACAACCACTTACCTGGCATCTATAATGGGCATCACAAAGTTAGTGACACATTAATAATGAACTTTTAACTGGTCAACTGTGGCAATCTGAATGGCACCTAGCAGATAATAGCAAGCTTTATGCCATAGTAATGTGGAGGGTTGAGCGTAATGGTACGTGGATGGCATATTGAAACAGCGCACACGCAGAAAGGAAGAGAGCTCTGTCCTACGTGATCTCTTCTCTTCCTCTCTGCTTGTGTGCTGTTTTATTATCTTAAACTTCCTGCCATCAAGCCAGATCTTGGTGCCTGGGAAACTTCTCACAATTGAAACCGTTTGCACGACGGTCTACTGTGCCGCTTGAGAGTTGGTCACATCTTCCTTACCCGTCAGTACCTTCTTTTGGGTGAGGTACTACCGGTATGCAAGCACCATGAAAAATCTTTTTCTGTATTGCAGGTTCTCTTTCCTTTCCCTGGTTTTCTACAACAGCACAAATACTATTTCACCAAGTTTTTTTTTTTTTAATTCATTTTATTCTACCCTGCCCTGTTCTTAAGGAAGAAGCCTCTCACATCTTTTGAGCGTCTGTTAGCTTTTTTGTAAATATAGAGATTTTATACAAACCACTGGTGTTCTTTAATGTGCCTAGTTTGGCGCAGCATGGCCGTCGGTACTCTTGTGCCATAAAACCCGCAACCAAGAACAATGACCGGTTGACTGCGGTGCACCCACACACCCGATGTGGAGTTGTCGCCCTAAGCATGCGCTGGTCTGCGTGCCCTCGCAGGCATGATAGAGGACCTGGTGAAGGAGGGCCGCCTGGCCGGGAGCCTGGTGGGGGGCCGCTCTGAGAGGGCTTCATACATCCCGGACCTGTACTCCCGCTCCCAGGGCAGCTGGGTGGACACCTGCTACCACCAGAACGGTTACCTCGGTGAGTGCCGGCCAAGGCCACCTGGGCAGCTGTGGCTGCAGAGGCGGAAGGTGCCAACGGGGTGCTTGTTATTACAAAAAGGACAACAGAGGGTTATGTAGACCGACACAGTCGGTATATAGTGGAGCGGGTCACAAGTGTCTCTTCTTTATGTAGAGCGCTAATTCTGCTGCTTCTGGCGTAGGGGTTGCACTGACGTAAGAACGCTGAGCTCTGATTGGCTCCGACGGAGAAATGGGGCCGCTCTGTCAGAGCCAATCAGACGCTGTTTTTCCGCCAAGGTGTTTATGGGAACTAGGGCCTCGTCAAGCTGCGTTAGCAACGTTTTGCCCTCTTTTCCACCTTTTTTTCGTTTTGTAATGAAAAAAAAAAGGAAAATAAAAGATTATTATTAGGATTAGTGGGTATGCTAGCTGCCTTGAGGAGGTCTGCCCACTATCCTTCCAATCAAAACCAATCAGAGCTCGGTGTTTTCATGTCACCGCAACCTCTGCTCAAGAAGCAGACAAACTTGCGCTCCGCATACACTTGTTCGTGTAAAGATATCTTTTCGATCTCGCTGCACTTGCACATCTAAAAGCTACTTTGAGTAATTTGTATGTGTGTACTGCTACTCCGTTAAAGATGGCTATTTAATGGGGACGGTTAAGACTTTGAGGCAACTGATGCACAGCCTATTCTAAGTGCCAACAGCCATGCACTTGTGTTTTTACCACTCTCTTCGACCAGGAGCTTGCACTCTCATAGCGTGGCAATGTGCACGGCACACCTGAACGACTTAACAGTACCGCACGATTGCCAAACATTGAGGCCAGGGACCACATATGTCGACATTTGTGTCTCTCCCGTGACAAATCACATGAAACAGCGGTCGCAGTCTAAATCCCACATAGTGCCGTGTTCGATACTGCACGTTGGCCAATTCTCAGTGAAGTGTTTCAGAATTAAATTTGCAGTTGTCTCTCGATCTGTTGGTCAAACCGCCTTATGCGAAATTGCTACATTTTTACAATACATCTCCTCGTCGTCCTTTTCTGTCTGTTCTTTATTGCGACGACACTGAGAGTGAAAAGACTGAGGCCAAGCAACGTCGTGACTCATAACGTGTTGTCATAAGACTCATGAAAAGACACGCAATTAGTTAGAGGTGCAGATGTTTGGCAGGTGGCCAACTTTGTTGCCATCCACATCCAAAGCACAACCTCGGACAACTGAAAATCTGGGTTTGGTTTTGTTAGAGTGCAATTCTGCACTAATACTACTATGAAGTGCGATCGAGCGACAATATGTCATTCTTGAAGCGCGAGCGCCAATGAAAACGCCTCACACAACTTGTCACTTTTTTGCCATAAGTGCGCTGAATTATTTCTAAGGTTTTTGTTCCAGATTTTCGACTCAAAATCGACGTTTTCTCTCGTTGTGGTTCACGTTCCATGCCGAAACCGCCATTGTGCTCGTGCACATGGTCAAAAAAGCTCCCGTAGCACAGCCCCGAGTGCTCGCAAAACGACGCACATAATAACGTATAAAGATCCCTGCCTTTGACTGCTACACACGCATCACCGTGCCACTTTCTCTCTTTATGCTACAAAATTAGTCTCATAACTCCTTTTATTGTACCTTGTACGACAAGGTGCTGGCCTACGGTTCTTGATGAGTGGAAACAATGATTCGATCGTTGCCGTCCGAGCGCAATGGAAGCAGCGGGAAGGCCTCCCCTAGAGCGGAGGCTCACTGCGAGGGGACTTCCATCCACAACAGAGTACGACGCCCTGACCCGACTGGGCATCCAGGACCCGAAGGGGTATGTGAAGCGGCGCTTCAAGGACGACGGCCTGGTGTTCCTCAAGAACCTGTGCTTGGGGCAGACGCTGCTGGCACAGGTGGAGGCCGCTGTGGACGAGGTGGCCGCCACAGGTGCCTGGGTGGACCTGGCGGTGAGCGGCACCCCTCTCTCTCTCTCTTTCTCCACCCACGCTTGCCAGTCCCCCGACTTTGGAGGTGCAACCCTCTCCGGCGCTGTTCAGTAATAGAGCCACCGAAAGAGCTATGCTTGGGACGCAGGTTCTCAAACTGAGTTCCCAGGAATCCAGAGGTTCCCCAGTGTGCCCTAACAGGTTCTGAGAACACCAAAATTTTCTCGAGCATGCCTTTCAATAATGTAGAGCGTTTTACTGCTTTGAGCGAAATTTTTGTTGGTCTAAGCCGCCCGCTACGACATAATTAGGTGCCAAGCAGTCCCTAGTCTGTGCATTATTCATTTTTTATTTTATCTATTTCAAATATTGCCAACCCTTACTGATTATTGTGGGGGGCGAGGGGGGGGGACTAGAATGTGTAGTTATAAAAATAGGACGCAAGAACTTATATAGACATAGAAAACGTCATTAGATTATACATCAGGAAACAAATTCAACAATTTTTCTTCAAATAATAATAATAGTTTTTATGTGCGCATTTTCTAGCATCTACTCAGATGTGTGCAAGACTAGGCAGGAAGGTTGGGACTCTTACACAGGTGCGCCTGCTAGCCCGTCGCCGAATGGATTAAAATCTATTATCGCTATAATATAGAATGTATAAAAGGATATACCCCCTCCCCCCACATACACACATGCACATGCACATATGTATGCATGCACACACACACACACACACACACACACACACACACACACACACACACACACGCACACGCGCGCGCACACACACACACACACACACACACACACACACACACACACACACACACACACACACACACACACACACACACACACACACACACACACACACACACACACACACACATGCATACAGAGGCAAACACAAACTGGGAAGAAATGCCAGTAAAAACACTGTCGCATTACTGTTTATAAGCTCCGTAAGCCTTTGCTCTGCCCTACTGCATCAATGCCGAATCCAGGAGGGGTTCAGCATTGATCGACGAGGCTTCCTCAAGATTGAAAAGATCAAGAGCAGCCGGCTTAGAGTATCGATGCTCCATTCCTTAATTTTCTTGCGGGTGTCACCATTTCGGTGCCTGGTACAGAGTAAGCACGATAGGCGATCGTCGCTATTCGAAGACATATTTTCCCAAGCTTCGAGTGCGGTACCGAAAAGCTCGGGCGATATCAGTTTGTTCCGTCCTGAACAGTTTTGACATTTCTGGAGGGCTTAAAAGCATTTCTTGCGATCTTGGAGAAGGCTTTGGATAACTGGCAGCGATGGTTTCGTGCACCGAGGTGGCCGATGCGTCGTCGCTCGGAAGCATAGCTCATTCAGTGACTCTGGGCCGGTCGACTTTGTCGTGAAGTTGTGCTCTGAAGCGAGGAGGTCCTGTCATGCGCTGCCTATGAGAGGGCACATGCCCGGCATTGGGAGCAATCATAGTCATCAACTACCAACCATTGTGCTTTTTAAACGCATGTTTCCTGCGTGTTTCTGGAGGTGCGAAACATATCTCAAATGCTCGCCTGTTTTGCATAGTAAAAGCAATGTCCTTAAAGGGAAACTTTGCTTCATTTTTGATGTTTAGAAAACTATGTAGTCCTCTTCAGTATCATATAGGAAGACCACATGTGAAATATTACGATCTAATTCCGTCTATATATTTCATAAACTGGCCAGCAAACTTTCAAATGAGCCAAGTCGCCGAAGTCTGCCAACTCTAGTGTGCGACGTGAGGCGCAATTATCAGCGCAGTCAATGCCACGGAGTTGGAGCAGCCAACATTGAGCTACTACGTCATTCTCGCGTTTTGTTTGTTTTTACTTCTCAGAATGAAATTGAACGATGACGTCATGAGTTTCTCCTCCTGGTGTTGGCTCAATGGCGTCCACGTGACCACCGTAACACGGATGAGCTAGTTTGCGCTGTCCTGTGCGCTTCTCGGAGCTGAGAGTTGGGAGCAGTCTGTTTCGTCTCGCCACTGCTCTAGCTTGAGAAGGACGTTTTGTTTACGATACGAGTGCGGGCCGCATCTACGATGCCTAGCTGCGATGAATGTCAAGAGATCTATAGGCGTACAATGTTGTGTTGCTGCCTGCTCGAATTACCAGTTGACCAGCCCGAGAGGTGTCTTTCGCAAGTTTACACACGATGTTGTAGAAAACTACGTTGGCGAAAATTGCGGAGCAGACGACACTTGTGCTTTGCTCCACGTTCGCCTGCCGTCACATAGAGGATCACATAACCGTTGAGACTGTGACGACCCCTGAAGGGAGGCACAGACGCACTGTAGTGGGCCCATGCTGAGGTGAAGAGAGTCGAGGCGAAAACAATATTTACTGTTTATTAATAATAGGAGTCGGTGCTGGTGCCACCCGCAGCTCACCGACTGTCATGGCGTTCTGAAAGGGTGGTGTCCCGGGCTGTCCGTCACTGTGCTGGCGTGTGGGCGAGTTGGTTCCGGGGCTCACAGGGTTCGGGGGTTTGGGGCGCTGACGCCAGCGGGTGGCTGTTGTGTTTCTCTGGTCGGGCTCACAGGGTTCTGGGGCTTGGAGCGCTGACGCTAGCGAATGGCCTTGCGGTTGAGGCGATCTGGGCTGCTCAGGGCTCGGGGGCCTGGGGTGCTGACGCCAACGGGAGGCCTTTTCGTTGTGTTTCTCTGGTGCGTTGTTTCCCGCACTCTCTCCAGCCCGCTCCCTGGCACTTTTTCTGGCGCGTCTTCCCGCTCAGACTTGCTTCCCCCGACACCCGACCCCTCCCAACTTGTTCCCCATGTCCGGTCTCTCCGCTCCCCCTCTCCTCTTTCGTCTTCTCGCCCCTCGCCTCGCCCTCTCCCCTGGGCCGTCACCTTCCCCGAACGTCACGAGACCACGTGTTTCGACGTGACGTGGCCATGACTCTGACGACGCGAGACCAATGTTGCCTGACGCAACCGAAGTTTCGGTTTCGGTATCTGTTGATGTTTAAATTAAGATTACACAAATAATATTCCACATTTCGCGAATCCGAAGACGTGGGTCTGTTTAGTAGCACTTTGGGAAATGGAATCGCATATAAGCCTAAAGGTTTTGGAATTGAGCGGAGTTGCCCTTTAAAGGGGGATATGGCCTAAGAATTCAAATTTTTCAGAAGAAATGGTTTCTTTCTTCAGAAATGGTATGTTTATGTTTATTAACTTCTAAAGAATGGTCTATAATAGAAACTTTCATTTATAAACATGCAGGATTTACCTGATAATAAATCATTTTCGCCGTGCCACAGTTTTTTTTTGTGTATTGGGCTGTGCAACGTGTTCCGACCTTGTGCTCTCTTTGCCGAAATATTGGATGCTGGACGTGCACCCAGAGCCGAATGGCTTGCATTCTTTCATCCGGGTGATATGCGTAGGAAAAATGTATAGACTCGAAATTATACCTAATCTCCGGAAGGCAAATCTCTGCACATTTCTCTTTCTTTTTAATTCCGGAGCTGCTCATTTCTGGTATTTGTCGATAAAGCCTGGCAGCGGATGAAAATATCCCAACGTGCTGGCAGCACCGCCGTACAAACAATTGGACCTGTCTTCAGACCTCTGTCCAAAAGGATTTGCAGGAAGTTCTCAGTGACGTGGATAGCCACTCCCTATCTGGTTCCTTTCAGCCCTTGCTGCCTTCTGTGTTCAGCGCCGAGGAAGTGTCGAGTGTGATCCAGGCCGCTCTCAAGTCTCGGCCCAAGGGCAGTGCGGCTGTTCAGCAGCTGCTGGACACGATGGTGGTCAGCGAGGCATTTGTTGAGACCTGCATGCGCTCCTTCGACCCACTCATGACGGCCAAGGCCGAACTGGTGCGTTACCCTTCCTACTTTTTGCAGCTCTCCTATAGTTGCCTCCAGGTTTGTGTTAGAGCAATTGTCTCATTAAAAAAAACTAGATGTTTGTGTTTAGACAGTGTAAGGTATGGTCTTTGAGGTATGGTGACACTGATCTATGCTGTAGATGAGAAGCTTAGCTTGTGCAGTACACCCTCTAGCCTGGGGTCTTTATGTGGTGTGCCAGTGTGATGCTCATTCAGATCGAAAAGGGCAGGGCTGGGGTTTGATCCTAGGATCCAAGCTGCTGTGCGCTAACACACTATGCCTACCCCCCCCCCCCCCCCCCCCCTTTGACGAAGTCAATACATTCCGACGTAGGAGTAACGAGGCACGGTGGAAGTTTGACGAAATGAACGTTGCCACCGGCACATTCGTTATTTCACCCAGGTTCGTAGTTTTGAACACGCCTGTGTAACCAGGTTCAATTTCCTTTCTCATCCGAATGTCTGAAAGTGTTCTGTGTATCAAGAGCACCATTCTAGTGAAGTTCAGTCAGTGGTAGTGCCACTCCATGCACTTTTTAAGTGATTTTGTCTTATTCTAGTAAGTAGAAAGGTAAGTGCAACAGCTCAGAGCAGCAGTAAGAATGCTTTCAAGAAATAATTACTTCTTTACAGCCTGAAAGTCACTCCCAAGTAACGTTTTGCTCAATCTGGCCTCATGAAAATAATTTTCTTAAAATGGATGCTCCATGAAAATGTCTTTATATGGCATCTTTTCTACATAGAAGCTGCAGTATTTTCTGTCTCCAGAGTTAAAGGGTAACTGCAAAGAAAAAAAAGTTTCTTTTTAAACAGCCTAATTGGGACAAGCATGTCACAAAACAATTTTTTCGCCAAAAACAAAATTGTTTACAGCAATATTTATTACGCGAGACTGATTTTAGTTAGCGGCTCTTTCGTCCGTTTTAAATTGCGCGCCACAAAGTTGGTATTATACGTCACGGAGTGGCTGCTATACATCACGGAGTGACGTATAACAGCCACTCCGCGCGCTTCAAAAGAGCGGGAGTTTCAAATGTGGAGAAGTTGTCACTCCGACTAAATTACGTCCTTCCTGCGGCATAAATATTGCTAGAAAAAATTTGTTGCTTCGTGGAAGATTTGTTTTGTGACATGCTTGTCCGATATAGGCTCTTTAGAAAAACACTTTTTTTTCTTTGCAGTTACCCTTTAAAGACTGAAAGTGACATATATGGCGAATCACAGCAACTGTTTGTTTCTGTCTGAAGACTGCATACTAAGCATTGAGCCATCAATGGGACCGACCTTGTTATGTATGCTCGCCTGTACTGCAAAAGTCTTTCACTATTGTGGTTCTGCATTTCTGGTATGTCTCATTACAGTATCTTGAGCACAGTTGTTTTTAATTGTTTTCATAGCTTTTAAAGCTGAATATGTGTTATCTGGATAGATTATAATAAGAAGCTGAAGCCGTAAATCAATGGGGGAACCCAATATCCTAATCCAAACGGACGGTGACTGGTTGGTGCAACAACCCCCCTCTCACAGCACGTCTCCCCTCTCATTTCCAGGGAGATTATTTCAGAGCAAAGAAGAAGCGGGCAAGTATTTGCACTTACGGTTTGGGTTGCTGCTACATACTACCACACCTTCCGGACTATAGACCGTTTCATTGAAGAGAGAGAGAGAGAGAGGGAGGGAGTCCTTTCGGGCGAAGGCACAACGCCTACCCTTTTCCTCAAGGTCGTCTCCTCGTCCAGAGGGACTGTTAGAAATGTCCGCAAAGCACGTGTGCAGCGAGCCTTTCCGGTAACATTGAGCGCCGTTATGCGAATGTAATGGCTTGTTTCGCGCGGTCTGTCATTTGAGAATGAAATTGACCAAACAGCATTACACTGTTGTTGGTTGTACAAATAACGGGGAGAAACATAAATTAAACATTGAAACAGTGTGCGCGACCAGGCTGTCAAACCAAATAGATGTAGATGTGGGATTTTTATGCTGCAGGCAGTTCCATGCCTACCGGGACCTGCAGCGCCAGTAACTGTTGAAGTTAGAACTAAAAGGCTTTTTGCCGTTGAAAAACAGTCGCGTCTGCTTGTACCTTTTTTTTTTGTAAGTCTCGTGCCAACATTCATGCTGGGCTACCGCGGAAGTGTAAGCGGAGCACAGCATTGGCTTTGAGAAAAACAGTTACATGACGGCTAGATTGACAGTTTATTGCCTATATTTCTCTTCGGGTAGTAATTAGAAGGCGATGCCTGGTAGGAAACAAAAATGCGCTACTGATTTTGAAGCGTCGAATGTGTGTCACTGGATAACTTTTAGAGCTAGTTTTTCTACGTTAATTTTCTGTTTACACCTCAATGTTCCGGAATAATTTTCAGAAAATATAGAGCAACACCTGCACAATTGAAGTTGAAGCAAATACTTAAGCAATAAAGCTGATTGAGAACAGACATTGTAACCCTGGAGCGTGGGGAAGAACAGCATAAAAATATGAACACCAAGCTCCAAACACAGCTCAATTTTATGTTCACAAATCAGATTTCTCTACAGCCCCACAAGCAGGTAAAGCACCGCCTGAAGGTCAAATGCATGTGGGAACCTTAAAAAACCGCAGTCTCATCGGGGGTCAACAGACAGAACCCTGCAAGAACTTCGACACAATAGCATCGTGGAGGCAGGGAAGAAGAGGGGTGAACCCAGAACAACCAAAAAGGGGTAAAGGAAAAACAAACTGCAGAACCCTTTTTGCTTCCCTTCCTAAAACAAAGAAAGGAACTAAGGCACTGCAAAACCTGCATGAAAACGTAGTTAGTGCGCTGGTGACTTCAAAGTTTGGTCACTCCAGCCGTGCCAGCAGAAGCAGCCGCCTTTTGACATTCTCAAATAAATTTAAAAAGAAGGAAGGTGGAATTCTTTATTTTGAAGTTTTGCTAATGCAATAAGTAAATTCCACAGTACCTAGTCGGAGAGAAGAGAACTCGAAACAGCAAGTCAATTTCCGACGATCTTAGCACGCTACGCAATGCACACTCTGTCCGGGTCCCCAAATGGCGGCCAATCAGCTGGATGGCTCCAAAGCTCCGAAGTACACGGATTAAGGGGAGGCGGTTTTGCTTTTATTCAAATGGCTCATTCTAGTAAAGCCATACTGAGACAGGCTGTAGTCCACACTCCATGCATAGTTTGCACGTGAAATTCTCATACACACCACACCTTGAAAATTGTGTCCGCTTTGTTAGCACACAGAGAAGCTTGAACAATACAGAAATCATCATTATTGTTACCTGCCATTCACAAACTCCACGACATCTCGTCATATTAAACAATCCTGGAAAGAAAATCCCCATGTAATCCGCACCTGTAGCAGTCTGCACTGCATAAAATTTTAACTTTTAAACATGTATAGTTTGCAAACTATAGTCTGAAAAGTGGTGTATCTATTTGCTTCCATTTGCTCAAAGCTCTTGGTCTTCCGGCATCAGTTTGAGTCCACACGTCGTGCAATCTCGGTTTGTTTGTCTTCCGCTATGACGCAGGACTCGCAGAAGGGCGTCGTGTTCATGGAGGCGGTGTCGGCGGGGCCCGGAGCCTCCCACCGGCAATCCACACCTCCCGTTGCCATGCCAACGGCCACAGACGACAAGCAGGAGAAGAAGGACGAGCGCCGCAAGAAGGCCACCGGTGAGCAGACGGCAATTCGGTGACAGTCTGTGTCGGTTGGTCGGGGTGTCTGTTTCTGTGGGTTTGTTAATGGGTGAACCTGCTGCTGAATTTTCATTTGTATGTATATTCATACTCTGCCTTTTCTTTGCGACTGTTACCATCTTGAAGGGTGGGACTTCCAGTGTGACAAAACAAATACAGAATAAAAATGAGTAGGTAGTAAAAAAATCTTCAAAAACTATGAACAGTCAGGTTAAGATCCACATAAATACAGTCGAATCTCGTTAATTCAAACTACAGGGGGACCGAAAATTTGTTTTAATAAAGCAAAGTTTGAATTAACGGGAGTTTTCTCCCATAGAGACACATAGGATGGGACCTGTATGTTAGTTTGAATTATCCGCAAGTTTGAATTAAGAGAGTGAATTAATGAGAGTTGACTGTAGCAGGTTAGGGCTTCTTGAATGTGTCATATTGCCATTAAAGATGCCATTGAAGATGATAACCCCTCCCCACCCTATCGTTTCCTTTACCTTGGAAGGACATGAGCCCACTAAGAGGACATTTTGAAAAGGAAAGTCGAGGTACGCCGACATTGAACCGATGCTTGACGTGGGATGGAATGTATGTCACCGGTAGGCCACGAATTGCGCAGGTGGCAAGTCCGGTGGCGGCACCCAGGGCCGGGAGACCAAGACCAAGGCGGTCAAGTCCAAGAAGCGGACGGGCGGCAAGGGCGGCCGCGGCAACGACTCGGATTCGGAGGAGGACCGCCCTGGGGCGGACGCAGACCGGGGGGGCTCCTCTTCCGCCCGGAGCCACAAGGGCGGAGCAGAGCTGGAGTTCATGACGGTGCAGGAGATGCAGGCACAGCTGGAGCAGCTCAAGATCCTCGAGGACTGCCCCAAGGAGCTCAGCCTCAGCATCGCCCAGAAGATACACAGGTGACGGAGGGGGAACGGGGCCAGAGGGCCGAATTTTTTTTGTCACCTGGAGAGGCAAACATGGGGCACAGATTTGATGTGAGTGGCACTTCAACGTTTGGCTGAGGCTCGTGTGCTCACCAGTTAAGGACTAGTCTCGGCCGAGCACTGATGCAGCACTCGCGTCCAGTCTGTGCCCCTTATTTGACTCTCCAGGTGATGTAAATTCAGCACTATGACCTTGTTTAGAGGGTGTTCCTTAAAGCCACTGGACGTTGCCGGAGCACTCGTTCCGTGGTGTCTGCTTGACCGTTGAAATGTAGCCAATCGAGCTTTCTGGCCGACTGACATTGGACATTGGCTGAAAAACGAAACTATGCTAGTAAAATTCTTTGTAAACTCCCTCCCCCAAGATTATAGCCCATCTCATTTTTTGTCCGAATATCTACGACGTAAAAATTGCAGAGCGTCGCCCACCCCCTTGATTCCCATCAAACATTGTGCGATGTCCCATGGGAATCGCATCAGCCGCGCACTCTGTGGTACCGATCCGTGTGACAAGCGAGTTTGTAGCGGCTTACCGCATGTTTATCGCACGACTGGGAGGTCGTTTATCGCAATGTGGAACGCGAATTCACCATGTCCACGATCTGCAGTATTGGCTCCCGTTTGACGTGGCTTGAGCGAATGCCCCTGTGTTTATCGCTAATTTCTTTATAAAATTTTGCTGTGGCATCTTTAAAGATCAATTACACCATATTTATCTCTCTATTTTGTGTGGGCATTCTTGTGGGATTTTATATGTAAGTTACTACCTACTTCTTAAGCTGTGAGTTGCAGCATTTTTTATCTTTTTTCTCCCGTTTCGCCGGTGTTGAGACTGAAGCCAAACCCTTCCGAGTCCAACTGTTGGCAAAATAACCGAGCAAATTATCTCTCGCCAAAAGGTATATATCTTTCCCCTTTCATCCCATTAAGGGGCAAGGCCATGCAGTTAGAAGAAAAATGGGTGGCCGTAGAGGAAAAGGAATGTGTGCTGCTTTTTTTTCGTGAAAAGCAGCCCCATGAAAATGAAAACTTTTTCTGCTACGAAAAAATTGGCTGTCTCTGGCATTTTCAGGATGCGTTTTTAATTCGTAGCATTTAAAAAGCATTGGCTCTCATCTGCCAAAAATCACAATCTGTCGGACATGTCACACAACACACTGGATGAACTGTCGGTGAACTGGCACTCGAACCGCCGCTGCGTCATGGCAGTGACTTCCTGTTGCGGCTGAGCCTGGCAATCTCATTTTGCAGCCGCGACCCTCGCTCCTCCCTCTACGCCTTGCTGTGCCCGCCGTCCTTGCTCCTGCATCACTTTGATATTACACGAAAACCCGCAAGCAAGAGCCTTCATAGTTCCGCCAAGCGCTCATGGAGGGAAGTCTCAGCTCCAAGAGCAGTCGCCAATTGCACATGGAGTGTGCTAGAATCAGCGACTGCACGCTTCGCGCTGCATGGCCTATTGAGGCTACATCTTGGATTCAAACACGAAAGCACTAAGGGCTGGCCCTATAAATGCTATACATTTTGAAGAGGGAGAGAAAGCGGCACGTCCGGAACTAAGAAATGGCGAAACGGGCCTTTGTGCAGGCCCCTGACGCGGCAGTACCAGGAGGTGGCCCGGTCGGTGTTCCTGACGTCGTCGAGCGCCTCGGGGGCTGCCCGGCGCAAGACCCACGCCGAGCTGCAGGACAAGCTGGCCACTTTGCTCACCAGCATCCAGCTCTTCGACAAGGGCCTCAAGCTGCTCCCGGGTGAGTACTGTCTTACGTATTTACACCTCTGTACTTGCTGACGAAATGAGAACGGCAAGGACTTCGGTCGTCCCGCTTTCTACCATCGACATAAGGTTGCGCAAATATTCAAATTTTCTAATAGTAGTTTCGAATAATATGCTATTCGATATTCTCTTCGAGATGACCCGCAATGTTCATAGTACTTTCCGAAGTGTTGATTGCAGCTAGTTAGCCTTGTCGAGTGCGCTTCTCACCGAGCACCTGTGCACTGCGGGGAAGAAACACCTGCGGAGCTTGCGGGCTCCATGGGTATTGCTTCCCCACAGTGCTTCGATGTTCGGTGAGAGGCGCACCCAACGGCCGCAATTATGCGAGAGTACATGTTAGGCTGTGATGTCTTAACAACTCGCGTTCATCATACATGCTTGTTTTCTTTTTGTCAAGTTTGAAATGGAAGAAAAATTTATTTGCATATTGCGAGCGAAGGTAGAAATTCTTTCAATTAGGATTGCTGCAGCAAATTTGTGTCTAACGTGCCATAGTTTACAAATATAGTTATATTAAATTAACCGAGCTTGGAAGCAAATACATGGAAGCTCGGGAACAACCTTCACGAGCTTAGCTTGGGTTTCGCTTAAACATGGTGCAGTAGTGAAAGGCTCGGAGAAACTACTGGATATTCGATTTGAAACTATTCAGCCAAAACCACTATCGCTTCGAACCCAGAATCCACTATTCGCACATGACTATATCAACAGCGCTGTGGCGTCTCGCGCACCTCAAGAGCACAAACGCTGCAAAGAAATGTGGCGGAGGGCACAGAGCGCATGCTGGAGGCCGGGCGTTCCAAAGACGCGCCCTGCCATTCTCATTCTTTCAGCTACTATACCATGCAGCAAAATTTATTGTAATTTTTATTTAATGACTTTATCTGATCGGCCAGTCAGCGTGCACCACTCCTGGCCCAGCATGGTGCACTTGTGACGCCCACAGTCGGGATTGCAAGCCAATTCACCAGTCGCTTAATATCATTAGATGAAAATGACATTAAATGCCAAACATTTAAAAAAAGGCAGTGAAGTGGCACATCTGGAACAAAGAGACGACGAAAGGCGCCCGTGCGGTAGAGGCCCCGGACGCGTCGGTAGCAGGACCTGCTGTTTGACAGGCGCATTACTCTTTTGTTCGATGTCGTCCTCTGTCCCTTCAATAGTGTCTGTGTCTTTGCACAGACAACCGCATTGGACAGTGATGTGATTGCTGCGCCAATTCTGCCAAACTGCGCCAAGGGGCTAACCCTGCTACATCCTGCTACATTTTGCCAAAATATGGGTAATCTGTGCCAAGCCTGCGCCAAAGGATCAATTTTGGTCGCTTTTCAAAACCAAAACTAAACTGAGTACCGTAATTGAAAACGCGTAAGCTAGCTGGCGCAAGCGGCCGCCCGACACAAAGTACCCTGCATCAATCGTTCACCCGGTCTTGCATGGTTCTTCCCGCCGTCTCTCGTTTCGTGCTCTCATTGCCTCGCGTCTTTTTAAAAAAAAATTCAACGATAGACGCGGGCATCTGCGCACGCTCCGACGCTAGCGTTCTGTTTACCAGCCATTCCGTCATATTGTGAAACGAAACCCCGTTTTTGCGCGGCGGGAGTTAGTTTGTGAGCTGAAGCAGTCGTTCCTGAAAGCAACAGCCATGGGAAAATTCTTGTTGGTCCCTGCCTGCCAGTCACCATGGTCGCGCGACGTCGGGTGTTGCCGTCCCCACGTCGCTGCAGATATGGCGCTTCCTAGACTGAAAGGCAAAGACCGCCGCATGTTCATAACATTCCTGTTCTTGTTTAATACGCTGCTACAAAAAATCCCTCTAGCTCCAAGACTGCGGTGTCGAAGTATTGATTACCTAGGTTTCTCTTGGTAGGCTTTCTTTTGAGAGGGACCCCCGTGCGTGAAAAATCTGCCGCAAAAGAAAGTTGGTGAAGAGAAGTGAGCTAAAGCAAAGAAGACAATGTCTGCACGCTGAATACGCACTGCGTGCTTGTCTGTCTCGAGTTCAGCCGTTACACAAAGCGCTACAAGAACTCTGTGACGCTGGCTCGCAATGTCTTGCATCGATGTGCTCAGTTTTTTTGTGTGTTTAGCTTGTACCTTGCCTGCCGGCCTGGCAAGCACGTGCCGCTGGACTGTTTTTTGTCGCATGCTGAACAGTTACATTTTGCGTACAATTTTGGGATGCAGTTGGCGATGGAGTGGAGTGGCATGGTTTAGATCGAACAGCCATCTCCGCACGCGCGACAATTTCGCCCTGCACTGCAGTAGTTACGTGTTTCATTGATTGGAGACTGCTTCCATTTATCATAGAGCTAGTACACCTAATGCTGTGCAATTTACTACTAAGCTGGTCCTTTTCAGATAAATTTTAATATGTGCAGTTTGATTCTTATTTACCTATAGCGGGTACATATATATGTATCATATAACTGAAGAATTGCAAAATGTGTCCTGTCATAGGCATTTCAGTTAGATCAGGGATGGGCAGTATTTCAAATACTTTCTGTATTTTGCATTTGCATTTAATTACGAATTGGGTAATGTATTTGATGTGTGTATTTAAATACTAAAACGTGGGTATTTCAAATACAATTGTAATTAAATACAATTTTGTGGGCGAAAATACATCCCTCAAATTTATTGTCACGACTCATTTTGCTTATCCTAAGACGTGTCCGAAGCTGCTCTTTCTTCATCTCAACGCCAACGGCAACAACAAACCAAGAAACTCTTCATCTCCTCATACACCAGTCCTGCGGCAGTTTGTGTCTCGCTCACCGCGGGTGCCCGGCTCACCGCGGGTGCCGCAGGTGCCCGTCTCGCTCACCGCGGGCGCCCGCGGGCACCCGCGGGCGCCCGGGCACTTGCCTCTATTACGTTAAATAAATGTTATTGTCAAAGTTACAATTCTTGTTTTTATGAATGATGTAAGATATAGTCTCCATCTTTTATTCGGCCATGGGGCTTTTTTCTTTTTCTCCTCCAGCTTTATTTTGAAGGCCCTGTCCAGAGCAGGAAGAAAACTATGTTCTGCACCGAATGCAGTGTCTCTCAGTCAAGCACAAGCGTTTAGTGACTTTGTGATTACGGTGCTAGTCCAGGGCAAGAATAGTGACGAAATCGACGTTCACAGGCAGACTGGCTAAATAAGCGCCTGTGACAACTTGCGATGCTTTCCAGCCTGGAACATTCTAAATGCGCGGATTGTCCAGATTTTCGTAACTGGTGCGAGTTGCAACGATAAAACAATTCTCTAGCTAGTGCTGCGCGTCTTGGTTGTCTCAGTTCTTTGTTGGTCTATACCAAAATGTAATCAACAAAAAAAGCTGCTTGAAGCTCTGTACTTTTTTCACCTATTACGTCCAAGCTGATTACATTTTTTTGTGATTATATTTTTATTAGGTTACTAGAGCCTCGCACACTAACTCCCGAGTGTGCGATGCAAAATTAAAATGAGATACTCAGAAACCCGTTGCAGGTGCCCTGAAGTCGCTGACGCAAATTTTGAGGAATGTACTTGAAAAAGTATTTGGAGGAGACCAAATACATTTGGTTGTATTTCTATCTTGTACTTAATGCTTTTTTGGAAATGTATAATTAGATTGGTAATTAAATACATTTTTGACGAAGTATTTTGTATTTGTATTTTGATACATATTTGCATGTATTTTGCCCATCCCTGAGTAAGATGTTGAGAGACTCCCAGGTGGTCTAACTTCACTATAATTTGTTTATTGCGGCGAGCAGAATGTCCTTCATTTGTCCAGCACTTGAAATTAATATTTTTTTTGTTCTAAGAATATCTGCTCCAAAAGCCACTTTTGCTGCTCCTAAAGACTGTTCCAGCTGCTCCAAAAGCCACTTTTGTTGCTCCAAAACATTGTTTTGGCTGCTCCTAAATGTGCTCCAAGACGGCTTAGGCCAATCACATCACTGCGTTGGAGCGAAGGCTTCCGTCGACTTCGTCATTATTTGGGCCTCTTCCTTAAATCGCAACAATTCTCACCTAGTGCATGCAGTGAGTTTCACTGCAACATAATTGAGACGAGGGGACAAGGAGAATGAAGAATCAATAAGCAGGATAAGATAGAAACAAAAAAATGGGACAGGCAGTGTCTCAAGCTCGGGTACTTCATTTATTTGGTGCGCACCTTACATGTCCTCTTTGAACAATGTTTGTAAAGAAAGAAGATACATAATGTGTGTATGAAATAATTGCAGCTGCTGAGTCTGTTTCTTTCACTCGTTAGTTTTTCGTTTCCCTTTACGTTTAGTCTCGGGCTAATTTATGCAGTGATAAGCGCATCCACCAGCTGACCTAAAATCATACTGTTGTTTTGTTTTTGTACGGTCATGTACCACGCAGATAAACAAGACAATGGCTTGGTTTTCGTTTGGTCAGCTGGCATTATAGAAGTAAAGTGGCAGGGCGACTTTTTTTTCTACTTGCACCGACCTTTGAGCAGTGATGCAAGGAGTGCCTTGTTTGGTGGCTTTCTAATAATTAAAATAAATTTAGGCAGCCTTTGCAGTTGTTGAAAAGTGACTGTTCTGAATGCATCAAAACACACAAAAAGAAAAGATTATAAGAAAAATTTATTGTTTTTATGTTGCTAGGTGTCCTACCCAACTTTTTTGTTAAAGAGTATTTGACAAAATATTTTTTAGCAGAAAGACCACAGCATGCGGAAACTATCTGAAATTACCGAACTTAGACTTTAGAAAATTAAATAGAAGAAAAGAGCATGACATACAACTAGTTTGGTGACTGTCTGGTCTATCAATGGGGCTATTATCTGTTTAGACTACAATCTCCTTAGTTACTGTTTGGGAGACCCTGTCACGTGTTTCAACAGTAAAACTAAGCTTCAAGATTCACTTCTTAAGTGGCACAACTGTCACGCTGACTCTCTCATGTCCCGCGATTGGTTGCGCAGACGACCTGCAGTCGGTGCTCGGGAAGCATCTGCTGAAGACGCTGTGTTCGGACTTCACCAACCTGGTCGTGGGTTACCTGGCCGTGGAACAGGGTGCGGCCAAGGAAGCCGACGTGCCTCCCAACATGGCCCCGGAGGTACCGGCTGCTACCCACACTTTTTGGCCTCATCGTTTTCTCGTTGCACAATTTGTGTTCACACTAGGGTTAAAAAATTATTTTTGCTGCTCACGCAAGTGGGCTCTTTGCTGCCATTGTCTTCCCCACCCTATGGCTCAGCCTGCGGGCTCTGAAACTGCATTCCTACATACCTTTGGACACAAATCTGGGAGCTGTACCCATAAAGTTGCTCTGGGAAAATTCTCCAGAGTACCCTTATGGGTCCCTCCGGCTCCTCAATTTTTCTCGACTGTCCCAGCCCCTGAAAAAAGTGTCTTCCTAGTTTGGGCTCTGCTTCACCAGATCTGAGCCACTCGTTCATGCGCAACCATGAGCCGAACATTCCCTAGTACAGAAGTCCCTCGTTATAATGATGTCAACGGTGAGGCAAAAATATTCTATGTAATCGGTAATTTGATAAAGGCAAGAGAGCCAAAAAGACAGCGTCATCAGCCTCAAAGGTGGACGGAAACACTTCGGAAGACTCGAAGCATATTTTCACGCAGAATATGTTATATGGCTACAACGTAACCATATCTGGTCAGGTGGCAGCGACGGAAGTTGACAAGCCGATTGCCAGCCAATTGCTGACACAGCGCTCATCTCCTGACTGGTTGGACACCAGTGCTAGCTGAACCTCTTCCTCGATTGCCTCCGTGTTACACCCGGCAGGGGCAAAGCATTGCGTAAAGCATCGCACACTTTTGGCTTCCCGAGAGAAAGAGTGCGAGAGAAAGCGACAAAAAAGCAGACTCTTTTGCCGCAATCAGTTGAGGTAGCTCAGAGTGTTTGGTTCTCTTTTACCACGAGTTGGTGCCATGGTTCTGCTCGACGATGCCGCTTTCCAATGGTTCCGTTTTCCACACGCTCTGTCCACTGCGTCTCACACTCCAACAGGCTCCGACAAGAGGCTCTTGACGTAAAACTGCCTCTTGGCATTTCTTTCGGACTGCTGTCGTTCTTTCGCGCGAGTCATCCAACCCTGGGCATCTGAGCACACCCCCCGTCTGCGGGCCAAAATTGTTAGAAACATTGGCTGGTTAACTGTTTGTCGGTGCACAAGCAACTCAAATTGTAATATGCTTACCGGTGTTTTTCAGCAAACAAGAAACAGGATAGTTGCGTTAAGAATGGGCTAAAAGTGTGTGTGCATGATCCAATAATTGTGTTCAATGCGCTGGAAAATTTTGTGAGTGAGGGAGACTCGAGTGAGCTGGCAAAGTTGCATTACAAAGCCAAAAATCACCCGGTGTTTTTTTCTGCTTCTCGCCGAGTGAGAATTAATGAGCATCGAAGTTGCGAGCTTGGTGTGTACCGTCCTTTGTCCACTCTGCTTTCCTGTTTATGGCTCTGGCCCTTTTGAGAAGTTCTGGCCACCCTATGATGATTGCTGCCCTTCTCAAGCTTGCGTTGAAATGTGTACTTTCAGCTATGAAAGTACATACTGTAAAGAACTTAATTTTTGCAAATTTCACGACTTGAAATTTTTTGCCAAAAATTTATTGTGCAAATATATCACCCCAAGGTAACAAATACATAGCATACCACTCCGAATCGTAAAATTTTGTGTTCGCGAAATGTTCCCAAAATCTACACTTTGCAAGATTTGCAAAATATTGAGCCCACAAAGATAGTCATGCATGATACTTTTGCTTGTTTTACAGACCCGTTTTTCTTTTGCTGGGCACAGTGCACTTACTGCTGACCATATTGAAATTTGTTATTATAAAGTGTTGGTGCCTTCCCTAAAAATTTTGGGAGGTTTTTCCCAAGGAGCATGGGTATTTTGTGATGCAATTTGGGAACATAGCAGTCTTATTTACGCTACAGTATTATGAACACCAACTCTGTATAGTTTACAGTTGCCAACTGATTTTTTGGACGCCGATTTTTCGGACACGTCCAATTATTTGGTTGTTTTTGTCGAACCGTCACTCACTTCATAAAGTTAATGTATAACATTGACCAAAATTTCGGGCACCATAAAGCTTACTATGGTTCGATATATCAGACATAATTTGTATGATTTCCTCAGTTTACAGCGACAAAACAGCGCCGCAATAGAGCCGCGAGCTTAGTCGCTGCCATTTTGGTTGTTTTGATTTTGCTCTGTAGCCTCGATACAACATTCTATGCAATAAACAAGCTGGGTTGAGGCTATAATCGGGTTATCCGGTTCCGCTGTAGCCAACATGGCAGCCGTCTGCCCATTCTTATGGCTCTTCCAGTTCTTCTCGTGGCCTGTGTTTTTCGACCACAAGAACGGCCGTCTGCTGTTCTTGTGGTCTTTGAGCGTGAAGGGTTTTTGCCGATAGGCTTAGTATTGAACTGAGCTTGATGGACTAAATGTTGTTTACAAATGGTGCCAACAAAGGCACCGACAAAGCGCAGCACTGTGATCAAACAGATCAACAAACAAGTGAAAAGTGAACAATATAAAGCGGAAGTTGCACGAGAACTTAGCAAGTGGAAAGTGGCCAATACGCTGCAGAATATGCGCGGAAATTTGATATTTTGGGCTCAAATCGATTTGACATACCAAGCAAGTGGAAAGTGGCCAACACGCTGCAGAATATGCGCGGAAATTTGTTATTTTTTTTTGGGGGGGGGGCTGAAATCAATTTGACATACCGCTTGTTTATTTGGGCAATTTCGGGGTCTTCTCAGAGTCCGAAAAATCGGTTGGCAACTGTATATCACTCAAATCAGAAAACCTTGCCCTAAAAATATGCACTTTCAAAACAGATAGATCAGAGATTCATTCATGTTCCCCATACTTAACATGCTTTTGTAATGTAGAATTAGGAAGAAATGTAGCATGTCTAGAAGTAACAAAAAACTACAGGGAATAGCATTCTGTGCAACGCACACATCTAGGGACCAGCTAGAGTTTGCATCCAAGACCTTTGGAGAGTAGCTCAATTGTTAAGCCGTTGCTGCGATAGACCTTTTCCGATATTCAGCACTTTCTAGTAACTCAAAATGCAGTCTAACTTTTGCCATCTTTCCATCGGACACCATCAGTTTTATAAATCAACAACAGACGGAAATATATTGTCTTTGCCATCTGCCTCTTGCTCAGTTTCTTTCAATTTCGTAGTAACAGAGTACAGTATAGACCACTTACAACGTAACCACTTATGGTGCGGGACCGGGTATAACGCGGCTTTTTTAAACCACCGGTTCGCCTCCCATAGAACTCCATGTATTTACATACCGCTTAAAATGCAGGCGCGCGAAGGGAAATACCGGTTATAGTGCGGTTTCTCGAACAGCCCGGTGGCCGTGCCGACTGACCGACGCAGCGAGCACGCTTCCCTGTGCGGCGCTAGATAACGGCGCGAGCCGCAAGCGGCACCCGCGGGGCAAGGAGGATGTTAAGAAGCGGGAAGAAGCGAAGAGAGAGGCTTCAGTTGCCATAGCAACGGAGGGACGTACGCACGTGTCGTTCACGTGCGTGCGTCCCTCCGCTGCATAGAGATCATACATACTCTCCGCTGCGACGGTTGGAAATAACCGCAACGACAGACCAATCGCAGATCGAGGAGAAGTGTTCGCGCGCGTTGCATGCCGGTCGCGGGCCGGCTGGCCGGCTGCTTCTATCCGCAAACATGGCGTCGGTTGTGATCGTCGACGTGGTAGACGGCGTGGTGGAGCTCATCGTTCCGCGTAAAAGCGCTATCCTTGACTGTGAATTTTCGTTGTGTGTCGCTATGATAACCCAGCATGTACTAGAAGGGAAGATCCACCTACTTGTGCGGCGATGTTGTGGCGGCACTCTCAAGACGGCAAAAACGCCCGTGTCGTTGTGTTTGTTTACTTCGACTACAGTGGTGCTTTCTAAGCATTTGTGTTTTCGAACATCGCCCGGATTTCTTATTTGGAGCATTTCATGCCTGTGCTCAAGTTGAAGGTATTACTGGCGCGTACCGTATAAAGGATGCGAATTTTCACGCGTTTTCATCGCCGGAGGAAAGTGATTAGGGTTAGCAATGCTGAACGCTCGCAACGTCCGTCCGCAACCCGCGACGCCGTTAAAAGGCTCCGCCAGGCAAAAGTCGCTCATTTCTTTCAAAATGTGTGACACACTTGAGAGAAAAGTGTACTAGTGTGGTAAAATAAAGACTTTCCTCAAACTAAGCTTTATTTTTCATCTAACATAAAGTAAATTCTTTTTCAAAGGTAAGTTGTCTAATGGCATGTATTTTGGCCTGAAAAATTGATGTTTTGGTTATAGTGCGGTACCGCTTATAGTGCGGATTTTCGCGACTCCCGCGACATACGTTATATGCGGTCTACACTGTAATTGGACTGGTGTTTGAGGCCAATGCTGACCCAGCATTTGTATCTAATTATTGAACCATATTGTGCTGGTGCCTTGAGTGCACCAGTCTCGTGTCATGCACTTGCCAACCACTTCCCTCTTTGGCCATCAGAAAGTTGCCATCGGTGTGGTGCACACACCATATGCTCGGACAATAGTAGTTATCAAAGCAACTAGACTGAATTTCAGGAAGTGTGTGTTGACTGTTCGAGATGCCTACATGGATAATGCCGACATTCGAATGGTTTTGGTACTCCATCCCACTGGGCATTCAACATGGAATTTTTTTTTTTTTGGCAGGTGCGGCTGAAATGGATACAAAAACTTCCTGCAGATATCAAGGGACCGGTGCTAAAGCTTCACCAATCCCTGTCCGCTAAGGTAAGCGGCATTGATCTTAAAAAGGTTAGGACACAAGTTGCTTTGTCATCACTGCACACAATCCCATAATATGCCTCAATTTGTGCTTGCTTGATTACCTGGACAGGGCATGACTTGACTCGATTGCCTGGGACAGGGCATGACCAAACGGTCGTAAGAGCCAATACACTTTTTTGCAAAATTGCTCGGAACACAAGAGGTAGCATGCTCTGAGTGTAGTTAATGTGCTGCACATGCTGGCACCTGCAGCAGTAACTGTTGTAAAGTAAAATAATTAGGCATGTGCAAATAGTAGATTCTGAATTCAAAGTGAATTCGAAGGGAATAGTAGCTCTGGCAGAATACTTTCTAATCGAATATCAAATAGTTTCTCTAAGCCTTTCACTATTGCAACACAGTTAAAGGAAAACCCAGATTAACTTCTGAAGGCTGTTGCCAAGCATCCACTTCTCCATTTCTAAGATAAGTTGATTTTAATCTAACTAGTATATTTATTGACTGTGGCCTCCAAAAGTCCAATGCCTACATTGGGATGGCAAGTAAACAATGAATTTGATACAAAATTAAGCTTATAGAGATGCCCAGCTATGCCTAATCAAGAGGGTTTATAAACATTTTTGCTATATGTAATTTTTTTTTTTTTTTCAGTCATGTATGATTAACACAGGTTGTCAGGGCATCTCTGCTTAACATATGCTCATGCATGCCAGTTCAGTTTTTAAAATTGCACTGCAGTGTAGATATCAACATTCATAAAGTTTCCATTTCTTTTTAAATACATCAGGTGCACACATGCATTATCCTGCTTTGGAAATAAGCTTTCTTCCTAAGCACGCGGCTGTTATGTTTCTCCTTTCAAAGTGTTGATTGCTGCGGGTTAGCCCCTTGGAGTGTGCTTCTTACCAAGCATCGGTGCACTGTGGAGAAGGCACACCCGAGGAAGCGAGATTCGTGGGTCTTGCTTCTTTGCAGTGCACCAGTGCTCGATAAGAAGAGCACTCAACGGGACTACCCTGCCGAGATCAACACTTGAAAAAATATGAATATCCCAGTTCATCTTGAAGTGAATATTGAATAGTGTATTATTCGAAACTACTATTTGAAAATTGAAATATTTTCACAACACTAAAGATAATATAACAAACAGCCCTGTACATGTGCATTTGTCAGCACCTTATTTTAGGCATTTACTTCATCAGCTGTATTCACCAGACGTGACTACTGCCTGTTTATCCGCTGACTAACTACATCATGGATTAAAATGATAATGTGGCAGATGGATAATGTGGCAGGTGGTAATCACAGCTAAGCAAGCACTTGGTATTCACCAAGTGCTTCACTATGTTTAGGGCTTAGTCGCCCTGAGCCACTTAGAAGGGGACTAAAACATCTTGGTCGGGTGTACGGCCACTTTAGCCGGTGCTTAGCGAGTGACTAGCGGCTCAGCGCGATGGTCGACATGTACTATCACTGCTGACCGCCAGCGCTAAAGGAGCCCTGACTGCCTGGGAAAGCCGGGGACACATCTAGAAAATATTTGAGTAGCAAATATTATGGAAATAGACATGTTCAGAGGTCAGAGATATTGCTAAAGTGATCTCAGCAGGGCACTGGACAACGAGAAAGATCGCAATTATGGGCGCTTCCATATTTGTTTATGTCACTGGCAATGCTGCTTCCGTGTTTACTCCCTTGCCTTTTTTATTTTTTTTTTAAAACTCTGTCTTGGCCATATTCAAGGGCTACGACCAACTAGCGCTGTTTTAAACTTAGTAGCGCGTCTAAGTAGTCGCGAACTAAGAGAACAATCAGCGACTACAGTCTCTCATTATGACTTTTTTTCCTTCTAAACATTTAAATATTAGTTTTTAATATGATAAAATCTCCATTTACACAGTGACGTTTGAGTAGGCGCATGCGTGACCTATCTTTTGATGTCACTTGCGCTTGTTACTCCTGACTGGGTAATCACCCACTCGCTTCATGCTCGTGAATTCCGCAGGGTTAATTGCTCTGTAGTCGCTGATTGTTCTCTTAGTTCGCGACTACTTAGACGCGCTACTAAGTTTAAAACAGCGCTAGTTGGTCGTAGCCCTTGAATATGGCTGCGTATCTTTTATACAACTAGCACAAGCACATACAGCATATCTATCTACGTACCCAGAATGCTGCTTGTTGCTTGGGTAACTTGGTAAAAAGTCTGTTATTGTAAGCTATGCACATTAGTCTGAATAACTCGTAACCAATCGGTTGGAATAACTTGCAATAGAGACAGTTGCTTTGGCTCGATTGTGTCACGGAGCTGGCTCCTCGAAATGACTCGAACAGTTCAGGAGAATAGCAAGGGGTCACAAGCACAAGCATGGATGCTTGCCCAGCATCTTATGGGAGGTGTATTGTAGATTTATTGGCCACAAGGCGAAAACACATTGTTGTGGAAGCATAGAAAATGCTGTCCTGGTGGCTACTCTAACAACTCGTTTGGACCGGAATGCAGACGACGGAAGACTTCCTGGCGGACGTGGATGTGGTCCTGGGAGCGGGCGTGTGCGACATGATCATCCGCTCTGACAAGAAGAAAGAAAGGTGGGCACCTCGAGCACCGGTGTGGCAGGATTATCCTTACGATCGCCTCACTCATTGTGGAGGCAGCAGACACCTGTCAAATCCTTACATAAGGAGGAAGAGCACTGTGTCCTTGGCTGCAGGTGCACTAGTTTGTCTGCCCATCTAAAAATTACAGAGCCCCTTTCATTTTCTGCTCAAGCGTCCCGTCTACAGATTGCCTTTGCAATATATTCGCAGATCTGGGCAGCGAGAAACAAAGTAACATCACAGTGTCAAGAAATGTGATGTGACGTGGCGTGACCCATAGTGACATCCAGCTAAATTTAGCAGGACGTTAGCCTGCTAGATTAGCTGATGATGGCACAGTATGGTGATGCATTACAAATCTTAACTTCTCTTCTGTTAAAATGCAATTTGCATTTATGAAGTAGTTCCAGACGCAGTAGAAGACAGAATTGAAAAACAGTGACATAATGACCCCTATACTTCGTTTCACCTCATGTTGTACCGCAGCGAAGGCTAGAAGCTCGAGCTCATAGCGTTGGCAGCTGCTCTTAAGTCACGAGAGCTTGTGCTGCCGAGATGTGCCCCAGGGCAAGGAGCTCGCGCTTGTAGCGTTTCCTGCGGTACATCATAAGGTGAAACAGAGTATAGTATATAACCTGGGCCAAAGGAGTGGTTTTTGTATGCTTCATCTTGAGAGTTGTGTGCTGAGTTTTTCTCTGCGAGGACGAGCATCCTCTCTCATCTGGAGTGGTACGAGCTCGCATGACGAAAGTAACGAGCGTGAAAATGCGGCGCACCACGTGCAGGAAGCGGCGGTACGAGCTAGATTCGACTGAGCTGCAACCGGAGCGATAAATATCCCGCACGGGTCGCCCTTGATACACTAAGCCATCTGGAACAACTTTGAGATGGACTGTCACGATTTAATGCACTTCACGCGCCAATAGCATCAATAAACGGTGCTTCCGCCATTGAGCATTCACCTCGCTCTGTGTGTTAGCCCAGTGGTTGGCACGATGCTGCACCTTAGTGACCTGGGTGCCATCTGTTGCTTTAATTTGGATTTTAGTCGTCCTGTCAAGAATAGCACTAGCCGCCAACTCCCTTCTGGTTACTCCGCATAATTCTGTCTATACATAGAATAGAATTAAAGGGACCATGAAATGATTTTAAAATCGAATTTCATTCACCGCACGTCGCAAAAGATGTGAAAAGAAACACAAAAATAGGGAGCCAAAAAAAATTTTTTGCTATAGAACTTTTAAAAGAAAACTGGACTCTTTTGCGCCTTCTTTCCTTCGCCTTTTCACTACGATGCATCCGCAGAAACGGGGCACGTCAGCCGAATCCACGTTGCCTATTGGGTAAGAGCCTACCTCACCAGCACCGCGATCGTAAACAATAAATAGCCGACGAATGTTTCCTAAAAGTTTTGTTAAATAATATTCAGATCCACATTTTGTAGCATAATTAGAGATGTGTGGCGAAAATTGCCAAATTTGATAATGCTGAGAGCCAAGCGCCATCTATCGTGTGGTAAACGAAGCAACTACTGCGCGTGCGCAGTAGGGGAGGGCTGGCAGGGCCGACTTCAGAACGGTTATTTCCTTTGGTTTCCTTCCTCTCAAAACTCTGACTGACTGAACATTTATTTTTCTACGTGTTCATCTCGCGCGTGCCAAATTCAAGCAGCAAGAAAGAAAGTACTTAAAACAGACCACGACGAACAAGAACGCTGGCCACGAATCCACCGACTCCGACGAAGCGAGCTGGTCAGAATATAGGCCCAGCAGGCACTCCGACTCGGCGCAGCGTTGCTTCGTCGCAAGACCGTCTGCCTACGACCGGCTGGCATGCTGAATGGAATATGCCCGCGCTACCCTTGTGGACCCTTCCCGCATTATACAGTAAAACCTCGTTATAACAAAGTTGAAGGAGCGGTTGTAATTATTTCGTTATAACCATTAGTTTGTTATAGCCAATGTCCATTTCTTCCCACCATTAGCAAGCAAGGGGAATTATAATTGGTTTGTTATATCCATTAGTTTGTTATATCCCATTTTGTTATAACGAGGTTTTACTGTAGTTTGATCGCTGACCTCAATTTTAGATTGAGAGGGGAGGTCAATCTCTTCCCCTTGTTTTCCGAGGCAGTGTTGACTAACACTCGTCGAAAAGGGACTCTCGTCGATTCTATCTTCTTGTTTTGTGTGATATAGAGCTGAAATAAACGCCGTATGGATTACCTTCGTAACACGGTATGTACACTTTGTTATTGGTATGCCATTTTTATTCTGACAGACTGCACGTCACTGTCGAGCTATAACAGTTCGTGCAATGCCGGTCCAACCTTTCTTTGCCGAGTGTCGCGTCAGTATCGAGTTGCAATCGTAAAAGATCGGTCCCGAAGCGCTTACCAATAGCGCGAATACAGCACTTCCATCAAACGCGCGCGTCCGCTTCGAGTATGAACAGGTATTTACGTGGCTCTTGCTGACACTCGTACATCAAACATATCTTTTTTAACGTCGGCTCACTCCTGCATCTCCGAGGCCGCGAAAAACGCCGCGGCAATTTGTTTCCATCTACGTCGCTTTGCAAACGACTGACACGGGCCGCCTTTTACCAACAATGACAGTTGGGTTGACTTCTGGAGTCTTCACCGGAAGACTCGCTGCACTTCCCAACAGGCATACCGGCGTATGGGACTAGTCCCATGCTGTCGCTGTAGCGCAACATATCTCGTTGAATTTCGCTCAGCTGCGATGCGGCGATGAGAGGCGCCGATTCAGAAAATACGTCGGTGACATCAGCGCAGTAAAACCTACCGGCGCACCCCAACTCGTCGCCGCTAACGCTCCCATTCTCCTACTGCCGAGAGAACTTCCGGTTCCAGAAACAGCGTACGTCACGGCTTGTTTTGCGGTCAGTTGGAGAGACAAAAAAAGTAGATATTTCATTACTTTTTGTGCAGAAGTTAATAAACCGAGACGAAAACGGATGCCTGTTCGGCATTCAGTGAACATTGACGGTTTAATGTAAAAGTTATCTGGAAAAAATGAAAAGGTCATTTCATGGCCCCTTTAAAGTGTTTTCTGCATTGTTTTTTAAACAACTCAAATACAGTTGCTGCCAATTAATCGATACAGAAAAGAAAATTTAAGGGGGCACACCCCCTAGGGGGGTCAACTTTTGAACCCTTGTCTTAAAATTAATGAAATTTACAGGGTAGGCTAATGGTCATGCTAGAGGGTGTATAAGAAAATTTCAGGTCTGTCGCTCAAATGAGAAGGAAATAAGAGTAGCTTCTATCAGAAACACGCCTACCTTGTTTAGTTAATCTATCGTCAGAAAACTATTGCGATATTAAAGATTTTTATTTGCTAGATATGTAGCAGAATGCCTAAAGGGTGCGGCTATGGAAATTTTTTTCTAAAAAGCAATTCATTTCTATAAATTTTCTCTTCTACAAAACTGGTCAACTTTTTGGTCTTCTGTGTCTTCGACAAAATGTCAACATTTTTTACAAAAGACATCCGTAAAGTGACAAAAAAGTTCCATAGCCGCACTCCTTGTTAAATTTCAGTCAGGAAAAGGGAAGTATGAGCTTTCCCTGTTTTGCCATTATCAAATGATAGATTGACTAAAATGGAATTTATACCAAAAAGTGGAACGGAGAAAAATGTGTTCAAAGTGCTCCAAACCCTACCTTTTCTATAGCTTTGGTGGACAGAAAATAATTTATAAAAAATTAACTATACAGTGAAAATTAATGAAACTTTTTTGCAATACACTCTAGATGTTGGTGGATGTAAAAATGTCATTTTTCAAAATCAGCTTTTTTTGCAGAATTTTTTTTTTTCTGGGCAGTGTCTCCCCTTAAGCACGTCTTGATTCTATCTTCTAAACTCGGAAATGCACAGAATGTGTTGTGAATGAGCTGCACAGATGCTGCGTGCTTGTGTGAGACGTCGCACGACTCTGACGTCACGTGACATCATCTTGTTAGGGTGTCACGTGACACACTGATGTCCAGGTTCTAAAAACAATAAACCTAGTTCCTACAAGGCTATATTGCTTACACGACCTTGACACACGTGTCGGTTGTACGTAATACTTGAGCATTAGTTTCGAGCGGTCGAGACCTGCCAAATTGGCAGCCGTCCCGAGCTCATCGTAGCTCGAGCGTGGTGCCATTCCTATGCACGCAATTGAAGCATCTGTCCTTGGGGTCCTTTCGGGAGCAGGCAGGCCCTCCACGGCCACCGGCAGGCCCTGCTGGCGCAGCTGGCCGAGGCGCGGGAGGCGGCGCTGTGCCTGCACCTGGCGGTGCTGCTGGTGGCCCAGGCCCAGACGCAGCGCATGGTGCACGCCTCGGGCAAGTTCGTGCCCCAGCTGGTGGCCTTCCTGCGGACCCAGCTGCCGCCTGAGGTCTTTGCCACCCTACACGAGGCACAGGGTGAGGACCTTGTGGGTGTTCCATGGCGTTCGTGGCGGCTACCCTGCTGCACGATGCTTTGAGGTGCCGTGTTTTCTGGACGTATGGCGCGGCGTCGCCATAAGGCGGTGTCGCTCGGCGCACTTGCGGGGCTCGAAATCTCGCCGTACTCCATGGTGACGAATGTTTGCCCCGTGTCTTTTCACGTGCTCAGTTATAGAAGGGCTGCGTCATTTTGCGCCAGATTTCACCACGAACGAAAGTCTGCTACATGTTGTGCCAAAACGCCAAATATTTTTTGTGCCCAAATGGGCTTAAAGAGATACTGAACCAAAATTTGGATTTCGCAAAATAAGGCCGCAGAAGCTCTGAACGGGAAGCTACGAACTCCAGAACATCACTCATACATTGATATTTCAAACGGATGGTCGTACTTTTGGAAAAGAAGGGCTGTGGCATCATTGTCCTCCTGGAAAATTTAAGAATGAGGGGAAGCGGCCTCATTTCTTTCTTTCTTGCTTCGGTTCACCACCTCGACGGGACATAGTAAGGAGAAGAGGGAATGAGAATCGTGACGTGACTTGTTTCGTCGGCCGTGCTCAATCGCACACTTCTTTTCCAAAAATACGGAGATATACAGAGATATTGCTGTATGAGTGATGCTTTTGGGTTGTGCAGCGTCCCACCTATCCGTCCAGCCTTGTTTCGTGAGCTCACAATTTCAGTTCATTATCCCGTTAAGCGAATAAAAAAATGCAAATATTTTATTGTTAGTCGACCCTAATATTCGGACAAGTAGAAGGAAAGGAAAATGGTACAAACATGTATTTCATGGCGTCTTTACTCGCAGTACGGTTTGTTCATCTTGGGTCAGAGCATGGTCGAAGACTCGAATGCACAACCATGAACACGCATACTAAAAGTGTGAGTCGCGGGACATTCGCTGCACTCAATTGATTTGGTTGATGAAAGAACACAAATAGGAAAAGGAATGTAATAACAAAAACGGCTTGACATAACAAAAATAACAATTTAATTAAACGTTTCGCCTCCATGCGGGAGGCATCTTCAGTAAAGCATAGAGCGAGTGAGGGTCACGCAAAAAAGTTTGGCTATTTAGGCATAAAGTTTCTGTACACCTCCGGCAGGGGGCCACGGTTCTTGTTTACCAGCGATGAATCACTTCCGCGTTTGTCGTTCTGGATGAACCAAGATTCCAGCAGCTTTCTCGGTCCCCACCTTTTATCCCTCGCCAAGGTCGATGCCTTGTCAAAGTCAAATTGGTGTCCTGACGTCCATGCGTGGTCGACGAGTTCGGACTTGAAGCGGGTGGCGTTCGTGGAATTGGCGACATCCCGTGCGTGTTCTTTTAGTCTTGTTTTTCTTTTTCGTTCCGTCTCTCCAATGTAGGAAGCGTCACATTCCTTGCACTGCACCTGGTAGATCACGCCCCTTTCTGCCTCTGGCGGGGTCGGGTCTTTTGCCTTGGAGATAACATTGGCAATTGTTCTGTAGGGTTTGTATACAGTTCATACCCCCAACGGCCTAAGCGCGCGTCCCAATGCCTCCGAAACCCCCTTAACGTACGGGATGCACACAACGTCACGTGTTCGTTCGACTCGATCCGGGCGCCGACGGGACATTTGTTTCTTAACGCGATTGATAAATCGGATTAATCAGTGACGACCTATACCGTCGTCTCTTCTCCTCTGACGCCGCGACGCTCAAGATGTATGGACTCCCCAAAATTCACAAACCGGGTTGCCCCCTACGCCCGATTGTATTGGTTCATCCACTTACAACCTTTTTAAATATCTGCTTGAGATTCTGAGCCCTCTTACGGGAAACAATGAGTTCAGCGTTGGGAATTCCCATGACTTTGTTGAGCTTATACGCGCTCAGACCCTGCTACCGCACGAGGCTATGGTATCCTTTGATGTGATTTCATTATTTACGAATGTCCCCAACGCCCTGGCGGTTGATGCCGCCCGTGACCGGTTGTTGGCAGACCAGTCGTTGTCCACTCGCACAACCCTCCTTGTTGATGACGTTATACTCCTTTTGCGTTTTTGTCTCAACCAGTGCAATTTTAGTTTTAATGGGGACATATATCATCAGGTCAGCGGATGCCCTATGGGGAGTCCAGTTTCCGTAACCGTCTCGAATCTGGTCATGGAATATTATGAGGAAAAGGTAATGTCTGGCATTGATTTCCCCGTGAAGTTCTACCGTCGTTATGTCAATGACACTTTTGTAATAGTTAACAGAGAGAATGTAACCGATTTTCACCGCGATTTGAATAGTGTCCACCCCTCAATTCAGTTCACCTGCAAACATGAAACCGACAGTACCTTGCCGTTTTTAGGTGTACATGTCCATAGAACTAGTGAACCTTTCTTTAAGATGGAAACATCCGTATATCGTAAACCATGTGACACACAAAACTTTCTTGACTACCACTCTCATCACCTTACTCAACACAAAAGCTCAGTTGTAAGATCGTTACTTCATCGTTTAGAGACAGTCCCATCCAACTCAACACTTAGCAATCAAGAACTTAGCCATGTGCGGGAGGCTTTGAAGAAACGTAACTACCCCGACCGATTTATCAATCGCGTTGAGAAACAAATGTCCCGTCGGCGCCCGGATCGAGTCGAACGAACACGTGACGTCGTGTGCATCCCGTACGTCAAGGGGGTTTCGGAGGCATTTGGACGCGCGCTTAGGCCGTTGGGTGTACGAACTGTATACAAACCCTACAGAACGATTGTCAATGTTATCTCCAAGCCAAAAGACCCGACCCCGCCAGAGGCAGAAAGGGGCGTGATCTACCAGGTGCAGTGCAAGGAATGTGACGCTTCCTACATTGGAGAGACGGGACGAAAAAGAAAAACAAGACTAAAAGAACACGCACGGGATGTCGTCAATTCCACGAACGCCACCCGCTTCAAGTCCGAACTCGTCGACCATGCATGGACGTCAGGACACCAATTTGACTTTGACAAGGCATCGACCTTGGCGAGGGATAAAAGGTGGGGACCGAGAAAGCTGCTGGAATCTTGGTTCATCCAGAACGACAAACGCGGAAGTGATTCATCGCTGGTAAACAAGAACCGTGGCCCCCTGCCAGAGGTGTACAGGAACTTTATGCCTCAATAGCCGAACTTTTTTGTGCGACTCTCACTCGGTCTGTGCTTTACTGAAGATGCCTTCCGCATGGGAGGCGAAACGTTTAATTAAATTGTTATTTTTGTTATGTCAAGCCGTTTTTTTTATTAAATTTCTCATGTCTTCGCCCGGCTTCTGGAGTATTTTTGAACAAACAGGAAGATGGATGAATGCTATGATGTCGCACTTTGATGCAGTTTAGTTAGTCCCATTGGCTCGTATCGTCGGCTGCGATATAAATTAAGGTGAAACGAAGTATAGAAATTGCTCATCAACCAGCTGGAAAATTGATCGCCGACATTGCCTAAATTTTCAGGAAATGTCAGCAATGTCAGGAGCTAAAAGTCGCGAGAAAATAGAACAAAATAGTAGGATGGCAGCTACTATAATAAGACAGAACCAGGTTTAGTGCTAGAAAATGGGTTCTTATGTGCCCGAAAAATGTTTAGATAATTAGAATCTCCTAACCAAAATGTTGGTGAGTTCGGAAATCTCTTTACGATCATATTCATAGCATCATGCAGTTCACTTGCAAGGCTAGCCATACATTTTGGCTTACGATGGCAAGCACAAAGAATAACTCTTTTATGATAAACCTGAAAACAGATGCAGATAAACTCAGTATTCAACACTATGTTCACACAGTAAGAAACAATACAGTCAGCCATTGTAACCAATACTCCACCACCAGATCTAAGTTGTCCGTCGGAACGGTAGACATTAAAGAGTTTTTCACAATCAAATATTTCGTTGTCTTCTTATTGTAGCGGAAAGCCACGTCTCAGTGAGAATCAGAGTACCTGCTAATGACGAGTCAATAGCGGCACATAATTCATCACGGTTTTTACAGTGGAGCTGTTAAGGGCTGGTTTCGCCTGTATCGTGTGCGTGGACAAAAAAATGACGACACAGAACTGCAAACAGCTATCGTCGTCGCTCAAAGTTGGCAGCAACCTTTCCAGCTTTTCCACTCTGGTTTTCACCAGAGTGGAAAAGCTAAATTTCTCTAGTCGTCATCCTAGAAGTCGTCCTTGTGGTCGTCCTATGCGTCGTTCTCTAGGTGTGCTCTTAGAGGTCGTCTTTGACTTCGTTCCTGAGGTTGTTCTAGACGTTGTCCTCTAGGTGTCATCCCTGAGGTCGTCCAAGAAGTCGTCTTTGAGGTTGTTTTAGACGTCATCCTCTAGGCATTGTCCTAGAGGTTGTAAAGATAACAGCTTCACTGGTCCTCCATCTTCACGTGAAGGGGAAGGGCTCTACATTTTTTTAATATGCTTCTTATATTAGTGAAAAATATTTACATGTTTTCAGGTGGTTGGCAATGGCCTCGGTCATTTCTCTTGTGCTATAACGAAGGGGATGCACTCGCTGAGTCAACAGAGCCGCCAATGGAATTATCAGCGTTTCTTATCGTTCGAGCCCAGAGTTCCTTATGCTATTGCTTTCAGAGCAGTAAACAGAAGTTTTGTTATCTAGGTGAAGTTTGTTGTGACATAGTTTAAAGTTAATTTTTGGATTGAGTGTCTTAGCAAATTCAATGAATTTCTTTCAAGCGAGACCCGTAACTGGTGAAAAATCTTCGTTAACTGACACACCACTACTTTTCGCTTTTGTTCTCAACATTGATTGTAGGTTGATCTCAAACGCTAAAAACTGCACCAAAAAAGAGAGAAAACAAATGTGTGTCTATATTTGGATAAATACAGTTGTCAAAGTAGTTCTTGTGCAGCTATGGATCAAAAGAGCAGTGAACTTTGACTTCACTCTGGTTCCAACACTGCTAAAGAGCAGTCACTTTTACAAAAACAAGTGTAGGTTTTCACATATTTGTGGGTGGCTGTTTTTGCAGTTTATACTACTAGTATTAGAGTCTTGACTTTGGTAGGTTCATAAAACTTGGGGGAATCATTTTTATTCATATACATGTTAGCAGATATGCTGGGCTGGATTTTGGTGGCATTTTACAGAAATTATATTTACAGGCTAAACAAGCTACCAGGTGTAATAGCGGGAGGGGAGAGAGGCTTTATCCCAACTGAAGTTTTGCACTATTATTCAATTTCATCTATTTTTTTAGTATTCATTGTAAATGAAACCTACTCTCACCACAGATTCATTTCTAAAAAGAAGGCTCTGCGTTCTTTTTGCACCCTTTCTATTATTACAAATGGTAATAAGTAACATGCTCCAGTATCAAAGATGGACTCACTAGCGATACAACCACTTTTTTATTTTCAAGTGATCCGCTAACAGATGTTGGCATCTGCTCCAAAGGCGTCAGTGGTTACTCCAAACCAGTATTCTGCCTGCTACAAAACCCCACTACAGTAGGTCAAATTCCACTTCCATCACTGTGTGCGGAGGCAGTGCTTTTTACGTCGCTTGAGTTCCTTCGCGTCAATCGTGATTGAGCTGCCTAACGTTCTCGGAGTACCGCATTTCGGAGCAACTGCTCGATCTGGAGGATTGTGCGAATTTTTGCCGACGTTGGCTCTCTCAGAGTCGAGACGAAAAGAAATCTTTCTAGTTCTATCATATCGTGCCATATGTAAGTAGCAACGCCAATTTGACGGTTTGCTTCCATTTTTATACCACGCGTAGGGAAAAAAAATTATTTTTTTCTCGCATTTTTTTTTATCAGACATTTACATTTACAGATTTTTAATATGATCAATGCATCACCTAAAAGCACCCTTGTGAAAGTTTCCTGGCACTCTGTTCACTCGCTTACTTATACAATTTTTTATGCCCGAATTGTCTTGAAAACAACCTGTAAACGGGAGATGAAAACAAAACAAAAAACATACACGTCTCTAGGATTGTGTTGAATCCAAATTTTATGAAATCAATGTTCTAGACCAGTGGTTCTCAAATGGCGGTCTGCGGACCCTTTGGGGTCCGCAAAGTAGTGATGCAAAACTATCGATAAATTGACTATCGATACTATCGATAGTTTTTCCAAAACTATCGATAGTGTCTCAGAACTATCGATAGTCGACTATCGATAGTACTATCGATAGTTTTTCGATAGTCGACTATCGATAGTAGTATCGATAGTTTTTCGATATTCGACTATCGATAGTTTTTCGATAGTCGACTATCGATAGTACTATCGATAGTTTTTCGATAGTCGACTATCGATAGTTTTTACTATACTGGCAGCTAACGATACTATCGATAGTGCTATCGATAGACTTGCACCACTATAGTCCGTTACAACTCAAGAAGGTAGGGCGAAGGTAAGACGGGCCGGGGAGGAGGAAGCAGACGGAACGCTTTAGAGAGAAGGAGGTTTCACCCTTCCTTCTCCAGCGTTCCGTCTGCTTCGTCCTCCCCAGCCCGCCTTACCCTCGCCCTATCGCTCGCCTCCCCCTTCTCCTCTCCTCGCCCAAACTCCCGTCTTCGTCATCACTGAAAGCTGAACGAATGTTGGGATGGTAAGTGCCTGGCCTAATTGGTGTCCCATTTGAAAAAAAAATAATAATAAATAAAGCGATAAAAAGAGAAGAGGGAGCGACGGAAACTACTAGTGTCTCAAAACTATCGATAGTAAATCGTCGACAGTACCATTAATAGGTTTACGATAGTCAACTATCAATAGTTTTTTTATATTTGATTAACGATAGTTTTCCGATAGTCGACTATCGATAGTTTTTCGATAGTCGACTATCGATAGTACTATCGATAGTTTTTCGATAGTCCCTTCTCCCCCTTCTCCTCTCCTCGCCCAAACTCCCGTCTTCGTCATCACTGAAAGCTGAACGAAAGTTGGGATGGTAAGTGCCTGGCTTAATTGTTGTCCCATTTGAAAAAAAAATGATAATAAATAAAGCGATAAAAAGAGAAGAGGGAGCGACGCAAACTACTAGTGTCGCAAAACTATCGATAGTAAATCGTCGACAGTACCATCAAAAGGTTTACGATAATCGACTATCAATAGTTTTTTGATATTTGATTAACGATAGTTTTCCGATAGTCGACTATCGATAGTTTTTCGAAAGTCGACTATCAATAGTACTATCGATAGTTTTCCGATAGTCGACTATCGATAGTTTTCCGATAGTCGACTATCGATAGTTTTTCGATAGTCGACTACCGATAGTTTTTCGATAGTCGACTATCGATAGTACTATCGATAGTTTTTCGATAGTCGACTATCGATAGTACTATCGATAGTTTTTTTCACTATCGATAGTCAGATTTCTGGCGACTATCGATACTATCGATAGTACTATCGATAGTTTTGCACCACTACCGCAAAGGCATTCTAGCGGTCCGCAAAGCCATGCCACATCAGTCAAGCCCGCAATAAAAGTTGTCTTTTTTCAGATCGAGAAGGAATTTTTCCATTTCCAAAGCGAGTTTTCTCGTGTGTATGTCAATAAAAGAATTCTACTTCACATTAGCCCTTAGTTAAATCCATGTATTATATCATTAATATATTTAACCTATACCTTACCCCTCCCCTCACCACAAACAGGGTCCTTGATCATCTCCGCCGATCCACAAGGGGTCCGCGAATAATTGATGGTTGAGAACCACTGTTCTAGACATTCTACAATGAAAATGCATGTTCGCCTTCCATGAACTGATGAGAGACTATAGCAGACTTTCAGGCAAGGGCTCCATGTCAGTCAGCTCGTAGTGCATGGGCGTTCCCTGCCAAAACACCTCAAACAGGTGATTTCTAAAAAAATGTGAATGACTTCGAAATTTATCTGTTTGTGGTCTCCTAAGGCCTGGTGGTCTCAGCCTAATTAACTCAGCTGATGAACTGGGTATGTGTGAGCGGAGGTCGGCATTTTAGGTCTCCTCACTCACCCTCACCCTCACAGCCACACTTACCTAAGCCCCTCACTCATCCTCACAGCTACACTCACCCTCAGCCCCTCACTCACCCTCATCCTCACTGTCACACCCTCCTTCAGCCTTTCACTCACCCTCACTGAACCTCACGGCCCTCATGCACTCATGGCCCTCACTCACTCACGGCCCTCACTTACTTATACCCCTCACGCACTCATAGCCCTCATGCCCCTCATGCCACTTATGCCCCTCCCGCACTCACCGCCCTCATTCCCCTCATGCACTCGTGGCCCTCACGCCCCCTCATGCACTCACTGCCCTCACGCGCTCATGGCTTTCATGCCCCTCACGCACTCACCGCCCTCACGCACTCAACGCCCTCACGCTCCTCACACACTGATGGCCCTCACACACTCACTGCCCTCACGCACTCATGGCCCTCACGCCCCTCATGCACTCACCGCCCTCACGCTCCTCACGCATGCATGGCTCTCATGTCCCTCACACACTCACCGCCCTCACGCACTTTAACGCCCTCACGCTCCTCATTCAGTGATGGTCCTCGCACACTGATGGCCCTCACACACTCACCGCCCTCACACCCCTCGCACTCGTGGCCCTCACACCCTTCACACACTCACGCCCCTCATGCACTCATGACCCTCACGCCCCTCACGCACTCATGACCCTCACGCCCCTCACGCACTCACTGCCTTCATGCACTGATGGCCCTCACGCCCTTCACACACTCACCGCCCTCATGCCCCCACGCACTCATGCCACTCACACCACTCATGCCCCTCACACACTCACTGCCCTCACGCACTCACCGCCATCACGCCCCTCACCACTCTCACACCCCTCGCACACTCGTGGCCCTCTTGCCACTCATGCACTCATGGCCCTCACGCACTCACGACCCTCACGGCCCTCACGCACTCATACCCCTCACATACTCACGGTCCTCACTGCCCTCACAGCCCTCACGGCTCTTACTCACCCTCACACTCATGAATTTTCCTGGTTCAGAAACTCACTCACGCTCACCTCGCCTGTGAAGATGAGGGTGAGTTAGGGCCCTCATCAGTGAGGTTTGCTGAGGTATGTATGTGAGTGGGAGGAGGAGGAGGAGCAGGAGCAGGAGGATAAATTACTGATTGCAGCTGTACAGCATGACCAGCACCTTTTGAGCTGTACACTAAATGCAGTCATGTTGAATTAACCTGAGACTGGGGCAGAGAAGAAACATCAAAACGTAGAAGGGACAAAAAATAGACAGGACGACGTCTCAAACTCAGCTAACTCGTTTATTTAATCCACCTCCTTATATGGTCTTAATCTCAACGTCATCTCCACCAACACAAAAGCACGACGTCTATACAGTTCAAGCGCCACAGTCTTCATCACACAATGCAAGAACGTTGACAACCCTTACAGGTCGACGCGATAAGTTGTCATACTGCCCACCTTCTCTTAGTTCTGCAAACTATTTGCTTGTGAAAGGTGGATGTTGAATCGGCCACCCCTCCACAGTAAATCATTCATGTAAGGTTAACAACAGCTCTTGTAATGATTTTCTGAATACTATCGGAGATTGTGTATGATAACCCAAAGTGCTGTAAACTCTATTGCAGACCTCTTCTAGCCATGCAGTAAATCGCTTGCATCCGTTGGTTGCTAACAATTTTGTGGATGCTAATTAGAAGTGTTGATTCATATTTTTTTTTCTCTCTCTCTGTAGAACTGGTCATGAAACATCTGACTTTGGATGACACTTCGGAAGAAAAATCTGAGGTGGCTTCCAAACTTGAGGAACTCATTCCGAGACTGAAGGAGCTTGGTGCAACGTACAAGAGGCAAGGCACTACGGAAGAATGAAGCAATCAACGGATGAAAGAAAGCTCTGTTTCACGTTTATCTTAGCCGCTTCAGACTTTTAAAAGTTTAGAACCGTGTGGAGTTTTAGGCACTGCACTCCAGTGTGATTTGACAATAAATATGGATATATTTTTGACAGAATGCCTCGATGAAAGTTCAGGAGCAAACTTTCCCAAGTTTTAGTCTAAAGTGGTAAGTGTGCAAATTTCTTATAATGCTGAGCATAGGGTGACCAGAGGTCCCATTTTTGGTTAGGTCAGTTTCGTTTTATGGGGTGTCCAAACAGGATACTTCAGAAATCGTGAGGCAGCACAACTCCGTTATGCGTCATGCGACGGCCTGCTTCCCTCCGTGTTTTTTTTGGGGGGGAATGGTTTCCTCCATCAAAGTTCGCTTATGTCCTTCAATGGAGCCTTGAGCATGCTCATCACGTGGGTCCGGACAGCTACTCACGTGCTCTGTTGGCTGTCAATCAATTGTTCAAGGCCTCCGCTGCTGTTCCAAGTCCCGAAAACGGGAAAGGGAAGGACACAAGGGCACGGCAGAACGGATGGACATGCAACAAGTAGACCATTGATAGGTGGCGTGTGACGTCAAGTCTGACAAGCACCGAGGTCACCGAAAAGCAGAGGAGGCGAGGAGGAAAGTCGTGACGTTTGCCTGGTGAATGTCCAAACAGAATATGAATTGCCGCACTTCAACTTTCACTTCATTTGACGGAGTTGTGTAGCTTCACAATTTCTAAAGTGTCCCTTTCGGACAGGCCTTTAGAGGGTTCATATTTCTACCATCCCGTCATTTTGTCTGAATATAGCCAAATGTGTCCTGTTTTTGTGGGAACTTGCTTGCGAAATCAGTGCCAGGCAAGTGGATGGAAACAAAAAATGATTACTTGTGAGTGTGTTAAAATAAACCTACCTTAAAATACCTCAAGCAAGCACCCACTCAAGATTTGAAGATAATTGTGAAAAAATAGGGGATATGAGGTCATCAATTTATATGTACTGTGTATATTTTTCAGATGTTTCAAGTTATCGGGGTGGGTGCTTAGTGCTGAGTGGGCGGATGCACGGTATTCTACTGTAGTATAAAAACGTTTGCTTTTTATGCGACTCCACTTGCCGTAAGTTTTGTTTGCACACAGGCGTGTGTATACATATATTGTCATGCAGTACAGGTCATTTTTTTTAAATATATATTTGGCATGCTTGGGTTTTGAAAAATGGGTAAAAAAGTTGCTTGTGTACTCAATGAAAAGCACCAGAAAAGCATGCGTTTTCACAGTGAACAGAGCTTTCTTTTTCTTTGTCCCGCTTTACCTCCTCCCCCCCCCCCTCCTCTCCTTTCCCGCCCTCCCTCCTCTGCCCCACCACCCCCTCCTTTCTATCCTATTCCTCCCCTTGATGGCCTGTTTTCAACTCTGAGCAGGCAGGGTGATGAGTAATCGCACCGCATATGTTGCATCACTTTTTTTTGTGCGTGCGTGCGTGCGTGCTTGCGCGCAGTTCTTAGAACTCGAATCACTTTGTGAAAGCGAAGCACTTTTTTTTTATTTTTTTATGTGATTTAGTGGTAGGGACACTGGCAGGGTATTTATGCTCGCCAGGGTTTTTATTTGTGCATTCCTACCGAAGACCGCCGACCGAGAACTGGCCGGTTTGAGCTGGTTTGAGTCGCGCTCACTCTCCTCTCTGTGGTCACGTGCCGTTATCTACAACCGCCAAAGATAATCAAAGTCGTGGGTCATCGAAGGCACACACTCAATACTAGAAATGGGCAAAAAATATGATGGCTATTTTTTTTTTCGGCTTCTATAAACTGCAAATACGTTGATTAAAAAAAAAATTAACTTCCGGTTGATGTTTTGTATTTCTTTTTTCTCGTCAATCCAGTTTCGGTTTCGAGCAGCTGCGTCTTTTGACTTTATTTTAGAAAATACGTGACACTAGCAAAATATTGATTGCCTAGTCTTCTGACACCGTAGAACCATAATAAATCGCCTGGCCAAAAATTTTAAAATTTTGGGGGATGTCAGTGTCCCTTTAATATGTGCAAGCTATGGAAAGCGATATTTCTTTTTTTGGTCTTCAAGAAGACATTTAACCAACGTTGCATTTAACTTTAGTGCGTTTGTGGAAATAAAGGAAAAAACGAGATCGTCATAAACATAAATATCATTAAACCACTAATGTGGCTGGAAACACTGTATCCTAATAACAATTTGCGTTTTTTTTTTTTTTTTTTTTTTTTTTTTATGGTTATCGTTGCGTAAACGGCAGCTTCAAAAGAAAGCTGACAAGGCGCCCCAATACGGACCCTTTTTCAAAGTCAACGGGTCAACGGAAGAAATACGACTTGACAACGCCACAGGTAACGCCAGCAGCACGAAGCGCGAGCAGTCCACCCCGATTCCTCCGTTACCTTTCTTGGCTCGTCTAATAGCGAGTTCGTTTCACGGCACTCGTGCCCACGCGTGCCCACTCGCAGCGTGGAACGGGTTCGTTTCGGCCGGCACTCCACGAGTGGTTGCACTCTCCGAGTTCGTTTCAGCGCTGACACCCCACGCCTGCATGCACTCGCTGCACCGAGAAAATCGGGAGTGCGCCAAAATGCAATCCCGTCATGCCTCGCTCCGGCGGGGTAGGCGAGGAGCGGGAGCAGACGACGAGGGTTCGTCTGCTACGATGTGTCGCGGAACCGAACGGAAAAAAAGTAGATTTTCTGATAGAAATCGCGTCCCACGGGCCATGAAATCAAACGCGAGCTTGAATTGTGAGCGTCTGCTATTTCCCGAAGGAAGCAATTGACAACCCGTGATTTATTTGCAGGTTTTAAATCGCTCTGTTGCCGCACAGACGCTGAAATATACCAATGTGTAAAGGAATGCTCAGAACAAACGTAAAAGCGGCCCCCGAGATATCTATCACCATCCGTGTGCGGGTAAAAAATTTAACATTTGTCGACAAAACTCTCTCAGCAGAAACCTCTGACCGCCCAATAAGCATCAGAGAAAGCTAAAGATGGTAACTTTACCCGAGGATTGGGCAACATCATCATGTTTAACATTTACCTACGTCAGCTAACTTGCCCCGTCGTATTCTGTTCGAAAATGCTCTCGTTCTCGACGCCCTCACCGAGGCATTATAGGTGGATCATCTGATCCACCTATAATGACGATCCAAATCGAAAGTCCCAGTTTTGCTGGATATTCCAACAGGCTAGTTTTAAGCAGCACCCTTTCAGTGGTTCACGCATAATACCATGCTCAAACGGATCATGCTTGTGCTCGGACAGCATCATCAGTTTTCTCCAGTGTAAACGGTTATAAGAATTGAAAGATCGGAACCAGCTGCTTTGTAGACAGCTGGTTGCGGAAATTTACGCCGTCTGTAACTATCTCTACGGCAGCCGAGCTGCTTGAAGTCATCGCAACTATAAACTACAGGTTGCAGCGACCAACGTTTGTAGATAAACGTTGGTAGCGACTGCATTCTCGCATTCCCACGCATCACTCCGATCCGAAAGGCGCTAGTTTCGGTTTAAAGTCGGTACCTTTTCTACAACATAGATGGCGGCAGCATCAGTCTTCTGCACTCGGTGCATTTGGCGAGTTCCTTTGAGTCCAGTTTTCCGTGCAACACTCTGAGAGTGCGATGCATTCTGGGAGAGAACTCGAACGGTGCCAGTGCGTGTGAAACGAACTCGCTATAAATAAACGCAAACGTGACACCAAATAAAAAGTTGATCAGAAATCGGCTGTGAGAGGGGCGAGCAGCAACAGCAACAGAGTTCCGTGAATGCCAAAAGCGAGCGAACGAACTAAAGTTCTCCTCAACCTCGAGCGCCTCGAGCGCACGAAACGACGAAACATCGGAACGCTCCAGATTCACGTCGTTCACGTGTCCTTTTCGGCCTCTTGTATTATTTTTATTGCCGGACGCGCGGCCGGTGAGCCAATGAGGGAAGGCTTCGTGTCCCGCCAGTTCCCGTTAGGCAATCCGCGCTGTTGTCCGCCCGGCAAAAGGCAGCGGCGGCAGCGGCAGCGGAGCAACTGGCACTCCTCGCATTCCAGGCGAGCTTCCCGTCGCCGTGCCTCGAATCCTGACGTCCCGTCTTGTTTTGCCTGCTTAAAGATTCCGGACCAGCGTCGCAGATAGTGCATCTCTTCACTGACATCGCCTCGAGCAAAGCGTGAGTCCTTGAATCAGTAATTTTCGCGGTCAGCAAACGCTACAACAATCGCGCGTGTCTTTTGTCGAAGTAGGAAGTTTTGTTTCGGTTTCGTCGACTTCTTGTCATTCCTAACGCTACGTGTACTAAGCGGGGATCGACCACTTTCAATTCGTAGCTTTCTGGATACCCGAGAAAAAGAGACCAATACGTATGAACAAACTTGTTGGTTTGTTTCTCAACGTTGACGGAGGGTGTACCAAGAAACAGCTGGGACTTAGAGAGTCTTCTCGAAGTTGTTTCAGAGAATTGTTGCCACTGTTTTAAGGGTTCTTGTAGGCGACTGGAAGTTTTCGTGGACATTGATATACGGCTCTGGTGAGGGCGTGGTATATATATCGTGATTATTTTCGCGTTTGTATATCACAATTCATGATCAAGTTTACAAAGGGCTTCACGATGTCCAATAAAACCGCTATATATATATGTATGTGTGTGTGCGTTTGGTTTGTTTTTTAATTAGCATGATCCAAGGCGGAATTATATCAATTATTTTAGCCGTATTCCGTACACAAATTGCGCTGAGCCGGTTTGAAGTACGAGCTTTGAGGCCATAACGCTGTTTCTATTTATATCGGGTGGGGACACGATGTCCAACAAATTTAGTCCTATTTATTTGCTGCTTCTACATATTAAATTTTTTTTTTCTTATTTAGCATGCCGAGAACTTTAAATGCGTTGGTGTGCCTTAAATGGCTGCTGTTTGTGAAGAAAAAGAAGAAATTCCATGTCCCCTAGAATATACCAAGATCCGTCCAGTATCATTGTTTGCGAGGTGATTATTCATCGTGTTGTCCCCTAAGAAGTGATGTCTGGCATAGGAAAAAATATCTTACCTCTCTTTTAAATGTAACTGGCATATGTGTCACCACGCTCTTGTTCCTTCTTTTTCTGATAAGTCTGGTCTTTTTGCTGCCAGAATGTTTTTTTTTTTTTTTTTTTCAGCACCTTTTTTGCACATTTAATATCTCGTCGATTATTCCAGTAGCGTATCCGCTTTCCTCGTTATGTTTATATTTTTCTGATGCACAGTCTGTGGAAGGCATGGCTTAGGAAATAACAACCTTAATTAAATTTATATGCTTAAATCATCTATCAATCAGATTGTGAAAGAAGCATGGGATGTGCACTTGTCTCATAAAAGCATTTGCCTTGGGTGCTCGGAATGTGAAGTGCAACGGAAAGCCAAAATAAGGTGGTCCACACAAATAACCAGACAATTTTAAATTATCCAAACAAACAAAAAATACAAGCGACAATTCGCTAGCTGTAAACTGGAAAAATTACACTTTTGCCTGGTAAGCTGAAACTTTTGTCAAGCATAGTTTTTGTAAGTTGGTTTTTATCTGCATTTGATCTCTATACTGTAAAAAAAAAAAAAAAAAAAAAAAAAAAAAAAAGATACCAAACATCTCTAAACTTTTAGAACTGTTGATTGAGACACACTTAAAGGAGCGATGCAACAATTTTTGTACTTTGCGCAAATACCGCTTAAAACGGATCCATAACGTTAATGACCTATGAAACACGCGTTCGTTTTTCACCCCACGCAATAGAAGTCCCAGAAAAAAAATTAAAGAAAAACGAGCAGCGTTCACCCCCTCAACTCGCAGCCAGAACAAGCGGCCACGTGATCTGGAGCCGATTATATGCCGCCAGTGTTGATCATAGCCACGCGCTAGGGTTGGCAAAGCGCAGGACACGCGCTGAGTTCCAGACATTGTTATGGCTCGGCTGTGGTCGTCGTTGCAGCGATTGGACACGGGTCACAACCCGAATGCTTCTCAAGCTAGTAATTGTCACGAGCCCAAGTCGAGTGCCCACGCAATGCTCGGGTCCAATCTATGAACCGGATTCAAATATCGTCACTTGGGTGTACTGCGATCCCCGAGTTACGTCATCAAATTTTGCAAAGGAGAGATTGAATGAAAATGATCGCTTTTGTCCTTGAAATTACACCGCAACAAAGGAGTTTCTTGGCCAATGGCGTTGCGTGTGAGTATCCTTGAGTCCCAGGTGTGCCAGTAAGCTCGTGTAAAGTGAAAAACATTCCAACTGAATATCGTTGCACAGCTCCTTTAAAGGGGCGATGCAACAATTTTTGTACTTTGCGCAAATACCGCTTAGAACGAATCCCTGACATTAATGACCTATGAAACACGCATTCGTTTTTCACCCCACGCAATAGAAGTCCCAGAAAAAAAATTAAAGAAAAACGAGCAGCGTTCACCCCCTCAACTCGCAGCCAGAACAAGTGGCCACGCGATCTGGAGCCGATTATATGCCGCCAATGTAGATCATAGCCACGCGCTGGGGTTGGCAAAGCACAGGGCACGCGCTGAGTTCCAGATATTGTTATGGCTCGGCTATTGTCGTCGTTGCAGCGATTGGACACGGGCCCCTACCCGAATGCTTTTCGAGCTAGTAATTATCACGAGCCCAAATCGAGTGCCCACGCAATGCTCGGGTCCAATCTATGAACAGCATTCAAATATCGTCATATGGGTGTACTGCGATACCCACGTTACGTCATGAAATTTTGCAAAGGAGAGATTGAGTGAAAATGATCGCTCTTGTCCTTGAAATTACACCGCAACAAAGGAGTTTCTTGGCCAACGGAGTTGCGTGCGAGTATCCTTGACTCCCACTAGTGCCAGTAAGCTCGTATTAGTGAAAAGCATTCCAGCTGAATATCGTTGCACTGCTCCTTTAAGGAATCATTATGTTTGCAGCCTTTATCCATAGATGGTCCTATACCAGTGCATCCCTGCTTCATGCCATTAGTGCACACCGAGTGACATACATGTTACTGCACCCAATTTGGATGCATGATGCTCCTCTAAGGTGTGCTAGGGGCACTCACTCCAACCAATTGAGGTGCTGAACTAAGACCAAGCAACTGCATGGTTCACAAATTAAAGCAGGCAAACATTGTGGAAAGTGTGCAGTCTTTCAAACATGGCATTCCTCTTTTAAATTTTTTTTAATTTTTGCATGCATCAATCTTATTATGTCTTGTGCCTGTCTAATGTGAATGGGAGTTAGATTATATGGAGGTCATGCTTGTATTATATTGTCCACGGCTGTTGTGCCATCTTTTGGTTTGGGTTTTCCGGCAAAGCTGTACCGAACTGAAATGATGTGCTGCTTAATCCACCAAGGGTGGTGGTAGCAAAAGCGTTTCCATCCCCATCTCGGCCCGCCATCCAAATCTCCAGGGGTTTTTCTATTTTTGCAAGAAGAGCTGAATTTCGATATATAAAATAAATAATGAATAACACTAAAATACAAATATAAGGGGAAGAACCCACTGGTTCTTCCTCTCCTGGAGTGCCACATAGAACAAGGAGATATTCTCTTTTTTTACCGCCAGCTGGCAGCTCTCATAGTCTGAGATCAATTCGGCAGGTCGCTGCAAGGTTCCACTTCACATGAACTTTCAAGGCTCGGCCGTGAATGTTATTGGCTCAATTTATAGCAGTCAGAGTGCCTGAGCTACCTTTATATTGGTTGCAATCTCTGTGTGCCTGCTAACAACTTTTTACAGCAAAATTAATGTCATTTCTATCGAATGACATAAGCTCAGAATCTACTTTGTTTCTGCTGCACGGGAACATTTGATGACATTAGCTAGAAATGACACTCACTACCGAATGGGTCAAGGGAAGTCAATCATAGTTATTGCTCTCAGTCTAACTGACTAATCTTGATGGCAGAGATTCAGCGAAGAACAGCAGTGTGAAATTGTAATAACAAAAAGGTGCAGGCAAAACGGCGGTATTTATATCTGTTGCTACATGCTATGTGCCTATGCTATATGTACCGTAAGATATCGCGGAAGCACCCACTCCACTCAAGCGCTCGCTGTTAACATTTCCTAAACTTGGGAATTCTGAAAATTATACACTAAGCGCCTGATTTGATCAGACCAAGCACCCATGTCTAGATGAACACAGTTTTCAGTGAAAGTGTGGTGGGCGCTTCCCGGGTATTTAGTTGTTTTTTTGTCATCCCGGGAATCATTGTAGATATTGAAATAACTTCCTCTGTAGCTTAAAATGAAGAGGAGCTAGGACCTATTCTTCTTACTGTTATTTGGTGCCAGACGTTCTGATAATTCTTGAAGGTACAGATGCTATTCTGCTTCAATTTTTATGGCGACTGGCATAAAATATTCTGAAAATAGTGCTAATAAAACCAGCATAGTATTAAGTGCAGTCAAAATCGTACACTATCACATTTGAATAACGTTGAAGACATTTCTCAGCCTTCAAACCACTTTGTTTTTAGTCGTGTGCAAATAGTGGATCTTGAGTTTAATGTGAAATAAAAGAAAATGGTGGTTTTGGGCCGAATATTTTTTAATCAAATAGTTTCTCCAACCCTTTTACTACTGTTGTACTACCATGCTTTAAAGAAAATCAAATCGTGAAGGTTGTTCTTAAGCTTCCAGTTGTTAATATTGAAGCTAAGTTAATTTTAACCGAACTATATTTATGAACTGTGGCCTCAGAAACTTTACTGCCTAGTTGCATTGTTATGGCAAAAAAGAAAAAACCCGACAAGTTTGACATAAAATTAAACTTATAGAGATGCCCAGCTATACCTAATTGAGGCGATTTATAAATCTCGCTAAATGCAAATACTCTTTCTTCAATCTAAAAAAAAAAAAAAATTGAAATGGTAACTGCAGTTGCTCTTGTATAATGCCACAGTTTTATTTTGAAAATTTTTATTTCAATGTAGATATCAACATTCACAAAGTTTTAGTTTCTTCTTAAATACCAGGCACGCCCGTGCACCATCCAGCTTTGAGAATATGTTTCTCTCTTTTGCACGCGACTTTGTAATTTTGTATTTGTAATTTTAAAATGTTGATTTTGGCGAGTTCACCTTGTTGAGCGTGCTTCTTACTGAGCATCGGTGCAGTACAGGGAAACAATACCACGGAGCTCACTTCCCCGGTTATTGCATCTACACAGCGCACCAGTGCTTGGTAAGAGCACTCAACAAGGCTAACTTGCTGCGATCAACACTTGAAAAAAATATGATTATCACTGTTCATCATGAAGTGAATATTGAATAGCATATTGTTCTAAATTACTATTCGAATATTTGCACAGCACTACTTAATTGTTTTTAATCTGCTACCCGAATGGTTTACTATAGTGAATTAGCCCAGCCATCGTCAAAAGAATGCATGTGGCATGGATCAAGGTTAATGTCGTTCATAATTGGAACGACTTTTGCACGAAATAGCATTAATTTTTGCGTTGACAGGGGCAGGTCATATTTTTTGTACTAATGTTCACACAGTTCAGAGTCCATCTTGCAATCTTCATTGTATTGTAGCCATTCAACCAGCGCAGTACGACTGCTAATCGCACAAGGGGGAGTTTTGAAATGCGCTGTGCAGTAGTAATGCACTCACGTACACCTTTTATCTATATAGAAACTGATGGGAGAAATAATTGAATCCTAACACGATACTACCAATTTGTGCAACGTTGACGAACTCGGCCACTGAACACCTCAGCAGAATGGCAGGGTGTGGCACTGTGCAGAAGAGAAGAAAAATCGCTAGCGAGCAGGAGCAGAAATGGCTTTGTACAAGATGCTTACGTGGCACTTGCTGTAAAGTACCCAACATCAAGTGCTTTCAAAACGTGTGAAAAGAAAAAAGCAAAGAACATTAGGAGCCCAACCCAGATTAATTCTGAGCACACCTGCCTAACCGACGTTCTCCTCCACGTCAGCCGCTTCTCCAAGCACGCCTGTAGAAGCTAGATGCGCACGCGTTGGTACTAAGTGGTGAAGCCCACTCCCCCTTGTAGCACTTCCGCATGTTTGCTGTCGGACTTAACGAATCGCCCATCCCCCGGTTTTTCGAGATCATCTCGGTGGGCGCTTAATTGGTGTTTTATTGTATAGGGTGCATGCACGACACCACAACGCAATGCTGCTTCCAGCTCACTCTTTTGGAATCCATGTCGGTACCTTTTATCCGCTTTTGTCCTACATCTTTTTATGCACGGATGCCACGGAGGTAGTGGCCTCCAGATCGGTTGAGTTCTGTGGTGCCACGATCACCTGCGCCGGCTGGACTACTCCGGAATAGAAATAAGCATCGGCTGGATTAAATTTTTATACACACTGGTCTTTATTTGGAGTAAAGACGAGCCAGCTCTAGAAAGTTTCCTCGGTGATCAAAATGGCTCCAGTTGCCGCCGCCATGTTTCTCCGAAGAAATGAGAAGCGGAGTGAACTCGGGAGTCCCAAATATGTCCCCGATATTACTTCTTAGTTTTGTCATCGACAGAGCCATCTGCTTACTTCTGCCTTCTACCAGCACCAAAGGCGACGCTAGGAAATATTGCTTTCGTGTAAATGAATAAGGAAAATGGAGGAGAATGGTCACCGGCAGGGCCGCAATTAAGCACCTCATTTCCGTTAGGTTTCATAGTTTTTGAACACACTGAACCGTTGGGTTTCATAGTTTTTTAACACACTGAACCGGAACTTGAATCTGGTGCAAGACCCCTACATCATGGAAATTTTCCGGTTGTAACCTCTTCGTTGTCCCTCTGCAGGCCAAGATGAACTGGACCAGCGTGGCACTTCTGGGAGCTGCGTTCTGCGTGGCGTTTCTCGCCGACCTGTTGGAGGCCCGAGCAGGAAAGGACTACTACGAGCTGCTCGGGGTGGGCAGGTCGGCCACGGACCGGGAGATCAAGAAGGCCTTCCGCAAACTGGCCATGAAGTACCACCCAGACAAGAACAAGGAAAAGGGCGCTGAGGAGAAGTTCAAGGAGATCGCCCAAGGTGCGTGTTGGGGGAAGGGGGGGGGGGGGGGGGGGGGGGGGGTTGGTGCCTGGAACGCGCCTTTGACAGGCATACTCGCGTCCTGTCCCGCCCATACGTCATAAGTGGTCTTAAAGTGGCGACAAATGATGTCGCAGAAGCCGGCGTGTCGTGCTGCCGGATGTTGCCATCCTGGCGGATGGTGCCAGACATCTCGGCAAAAAGTATGAGCGAATGGGAGTGTTGCCGTCATCGCAGAGTTCCTAACCCTGGCTGCTTTAGCCTCTACGGACAGTCAGGCTGAAGGGTCACCTGCAGTAGAACAGGCCTGTGCCACATACACCATTACTGCTGCGACACCTCCAAGATCGCGGCCGGTGACAACGAAACACTTCTACGACATCGTAAGGCGGAAGTCGATAAACCACTCGTTAGGACGTGCTAAACGCACCGGTCAAAGGTGCGTTCCAGGCACCATGGTTACGGGAGTTGGACATCCTGATTTGTGCGTAGGACTGCTCAAACCCCTCGGGCTGTCCGGCGTTCCGTTTGGTCCATTTAGTCAGACGGCGACGTAGAATGGACTTTCCGCGAAGTGTACTCCACCATCTGCAGTCCGGAAAGGAACACTGGGAATGGCCTCTTAGAGAACCGGCCGTAGCAGATGCAAAAGAGTGGCTACTGGCCAGCGCGAATAAAAATGGTGAAATGACCACGGCAATGACTAATCTGAGATGCAGCCGAAGAGTGTGCCCACTTTTTCGTACGTGGATGCTCGGTTTTGCTGGATGGTCGGACCACTAAACTCGAGCAACCCGCTCGCAAAACCTCGCTCAACACCTCGGGATGTGACTGGTTAGCAGGCGAGGCAGGTTAAATAGTGATCACCACTTGTGTTTTGGAAAAAAAAACAAAAAAACGAAAACTGGTTTGGAGTGGAAAGAGTTGGCGGGAGGTTCGAGGAATATAAGAAACCAACTACTTTTCATCAAACTGGTTAGTCAGTCGAGGCTTCTGGATGCAGGCTTCATTTAGATCTAGCTGATGATTTGGAGGACTTTTACTCTATACGCCTCGCAAGTAGGCTCATATTCGTCTTCTGCGCATGAGAAAGGAAGTAGCGGTGACGTCGGAACGCCGAGCCCTGATTGGCTGATCGCAACCCCCTATCTCAGCGTCGTCTGCTCCTTTGCAATGTCGTCTGCTCGCAACGTCGTCTGTGTCTGTCTTACCTTTCCTGCGACTTTCGGAAGTGCAGGTCTTTACGAGCGAGCTCGACTTCGCCTTTCGGAGAGGGCAGACGAAATAAGTCGAGCGGTACGTTGTTTTTGTCTAACAACTAGCAGACGCGCATCAAGGAGGGAAGTCAAAGGACTCACTGGCGAGGTATCCCGAGGCGCCAAGGTTTGCTCGCTAAGAACCGAGAGTGAGCGTGGTATAGTGTCTGCAAGTTCCCTCCCAAATATTTTTCCCTCCTTTCGTGTACGGCGAGACTCCTCATTCTTTAATGGCGTCGGCGGGTTGGCGCAGTTAACGTCATCTGCTTTACGTCTGCTAGTCAAAGCGATGGCTGCTTTACCTTTCCTGCATCTGTCGGAGATTCACCGCTTTTTCACCGGCAAGAGTCATTGTTGCCTCGGGAAACAAGGAGATAACAAGAGGGAAAAATTGACCTCTTAATCTCAAATTGAGGTCAGCGATCAAAGTATAATACAGGAAGGGTTCACAAGGGTCACGCGGGCATATTCCATTCAGCACACCAGGCGGTCGTGGGCAGACGGTCGCCGAGTCGCAGAGTGCCTGCTAGGCCTAACTGCTGAACTCACTGTGTCGCGTTCGGTGGAATCGTGGCGGTTGGGGCTTTTCCCGGTGTTTGTGGATCCAGCGTTCTTGTTCGTCGTGGTCTGTTTCAAGTACTTTTAATTTTTTTCTTGCTGCTTGAAGTCGGGACGCGTGAGAAGCGCACGTAGAAAAATGAACATCCAGGGGTCGTCGCGACCACGACGCTGTCGGCCATGCTGATTTGATCGTAAGAAGTGCGTAAGACAGCTTCGGAGCTGTCGTAGGATTTCGTCGTAACCTGCGCAAAACTTATGAAAATTTTATTTCGTGAATACAAATTTGTTCTTAAGTTTTGTCTTATGCACATTTTTGGCGTAAGATTGTTTCGTGAATCTGGCCTCTGCACTTCCGAAAGTCGCAGGAAAGGTAAGACAGATGCAGACGACGTTGCGAGCAGACGACATTGCAAAGGAGCAGATGACGCTCAGATAGGGGGTCGCGATCAGCCAATCAGTGCTCGGCGTTCTGACGTCACCACTACCCCCTGCGCAAGAAGCAGACGAACTTGCCCTCCGCATAGACGGCATTCTTTAAAGTCAAATTTTATACAGCTATATTTATTGTGTTGAATTATTAGAAAATTCAAGTACTAGGAATCTGAAAGTCGGATTGAATTGTTCGGTCGGTCACTGTGTCAATTCGAAAGTTGAATTGATACAGTGACAATATTTTGCACGCCCATATTTTATGTGCATTTCTTGTTTGTCCAGTATTTGCAAGATGCTGGTGGCTGGGAACCTGAGAAAGTTTCCAGCCACTATACCAGGGGTGGCCAACCTGCGGCTTGCGAGCCGCATGCGGCTCTTCCCGTGCTAAATTTGTGAAGCTCGGGACTCCCCCCCCCCAAAACACACACACATGCACACACACACACTCTCTCTCTCTCTCTCTCCTCACCGCCTTCCTCCCGGTCGCACGAGCTCTTTCTCAAAAGAGAAATGGAACGCGTTTTACATCGAAAAACAGGATTCGGTTTGGTAGTCTTGTGATACTGCTACCTAACATGCAGTTGGACTGCTTTTGACTCAGATAGATTGAAAATAGTTCGAGTTTTGTTTATTGCTCTGGACAAAAGTTTGCCCCCCCCCCCCCCCCCCCCCCCTTGCGGCTCTTGGAAGTTTCGTGGTTTTGTTTGTGGCTCAGCCGGCCACCCCTGCACTATACTTTGTTGCTCCTCCCACAAAGTGCTCCCCTCTTTCCAGCTTAGCAGAACGAATGGTGGAGAGGAGGCAGGTCCCTCTTTGCATTGTTTCACCTCCTCTCTGGCATTCGCTCTGCTAACGTGAAAAAAGTAGAGGGCTTCACGTGAGGAGCTTTTTCCGCTTTTCTCAACCCGCAACAGAGTATGGCGACGATTTGGCCAAACAGTTTGCTGTATCGTGCAAACTTGTCTTTCGCAGCCTACGAAGTGCTGAGCGACAAGGAGAAACGCGAGAAGTACGACGCCTACGGACACGAGGCCTTCTCTCAGGGGACCGGAGGCCAGGGCCCGCACTTCCAGGACTTCAACATGCACGACTTCTTCCGCCACTTCGACGACGCATTTGCGTCTCACCAGCACCACGGCCACCACCAGAGGTGAGGCAGGAGGTCTTCCTCGACGCCACGTCGTCTGTAACGCATCTTCGACCGGTGTCTGTACCGTCCCATATCCCGCCTTGTGCGTCAAAAGTGGTCCCAAAGTGGCAACAAAAAATTTGTCGGTGGTGGGTCGTAGAAATGCCGGCAAAAAACGCGAGCGGATGCGAGGGTCGCCGTTTTTGCGTCATCCTCAGAGTGGAAAAGCCAGAGCCAGAGTGGAAAAGCTGGAAAGGGTGCCACCATCTATGAGCGACGGTGGCAACCAGACAACCGCCAAGCCAGTTGTCTGATCGCCACCATCGCTGATAGATGGCGGTAGCTGTCCAGCTTTTCCACTCTAACTCTCACCAGAGTGGAAAGGCTGAATTTCTCTCGGTGTCGTCCTAGAAGTCGTCCTTGAGGTCATCCTAGAGGTCGTCCTCTAGGCATCGTCCTAAACGTCGTAAAGATAACAGCTACGCTGGTTCTTCATCTTCACGTGGAGTGGAAGGGCTATACATTTCTTTTGCTACACGACTGAGCTGCCTAGTTTCGAATTTTGAGGGCGATGTCCAGGCATTGTTTTCAATTGTTTTGGATAATAAAAAAAAATTTGATTTTGACCTGTTAGTGCCTCTTACACATTTCACGTGTCTTGTAGTACTTTACACATCGTTATTGCTATAATTTGCGAGTGACACTAATTTTTTCCGTGTGGCATCGAAACACTTGAAGTGACATTCGGTGAGCTGAAGAACACTCAGTTGAAACGCACTAAATTAGCTCCTTTGACAGGGGTATTAGTTATTTCTCATTAATATGAATCCTGTTAATACAGATACAGTAAACTCTCAATTGAGCAAACTTCAAGCAACTCAAAGAAATAGTTCACTTAACTAAAAATTACACAAATAACGTCTGAGAAAAAAAAAATTGCAGCTTCTGGTATTTTTGGAGGGGCAAAATACAAGCTTTCCCCCTCACTTTGTAAACAGGGTGCGACCCCCCCTCCCCATAGATTGTCGTGCCCATGCTGTAGTGTCTACTTACCACTGAACAATATTAGCTCAAGACACCGAAACTGCAGAAATGGCCAGGCTGAGCGCACATATCGACACTTTTTGCAGGGGTCATTTCGGAGGCCACCCCCACGGCCAGCATGGAGGAGCGCCCCCCCACCACCGGCAGGGCGGCCCCGGAGGATTCCGGTTCAACTTCGGGGACGGCTTCCTCAACATGGACGACCTGTTCTCGGACTTCGGGCCGGACGAGATGGAATCTGGGAGGGGCAGCCGCTTTGACGGCGGCCGCTTCGACGGCGGCATGAACGACATGTTCGGCAACGGAGACTCCTTCTTCCGCAGCTCCCACTTCAGCTCGCAGCAGCGCAAATCCGGTGAGTCAAGGCACCTCGTCTTTGCTTCTCGTTGCTGTTCATTGTCGAGGGGGGAAGAGGATGGAGGCTTGTAGTGTCTGCCTTCCAAAGTTTTAGCTCGGAATGTGCTTTACGAGTCGTTTTCAATGAAAAAATTGTCATGAACGAGCAACGGGAACGAGTATAGGGAACGATCGTCACAAACAAGTGACATGCTGGGAGTGTTGCACATCGTTAAGGTTATATATAATATTTATATACCGGGTAATATTTTTTATTCAAAATAAGTTTTTAAAAAAGGCGTCTTTACTGCTAAGTGAATGCCGTCTTCACCATATGTTTCTTGAGCTCGGCGGACATTTGAGGGGCAAACAACCGTCGCAGTCTGGTGAGTAATTAAATAAAATTTGTTAATTAACTTTTCACTTGGTGAAAATGGACATGTGGTTCCAATTAGAAACTTGCCGAGCATCATTTAAAACCACTAGGACAGTCATTTTCAGAAGGACATTAAGCACGTAAGAAGCGCAGTAGTGCGCTAAAGTTACCGCTTGTGCAGCAGGAGCAAGGCTACCGGTGCGATAGGGCGCCCGGGCGATTTTTTTTGTCTCTTATCATGCCCCAGCCTTGTACCTGCTGTACGACTGGTAACTTTAGCGCACTACTACACCTCTCAAGCGCTCAAAGTCTTCCTGAAAATAACTGATTTAGTGGTTTTGATTGACGCTCGGCAAGTTTCTAATCGGAACCATATGTCTATTTTCGCTAAGGAAAAGGTTAACAAATTTTAGTTAATTACTCACCAGACTGTGACGATTTTTCACCCCTCGAATGTCCGTCGAGCTCGGGAGACATGGTGAAGACGGCATGCTCCTAGCAGTAAAGACGCCTTTTTGTAAAAATCTGTCTAGAATAAAAAGTATTATTTGGTATAACAGGCCTGGGTGACTCAGAGGCAGGCAGATACTATAACCATTCAGCTGCATAGCACGGCTACTCTGGAAGCATTGCGCTCTTGGCAAAACGTGCCAGCGAGAGTGATGCGACGTTGTACCGCATGCCCGCTCGCCTCATTGACGTCGCGCATCGTGCAACACAAATATTAGGTAGCGCCTGTGCTGCTTGCTCATTTGTCAAGTCTCGCCCTAACAGATTGAAAACATTGAAAAAACTAGTAGAAAACAGACGCAGTGTGCGGTTTGTGTAGGACACATTCCGTGCTCCCTGGTCTTCATCAGCATGATCAGGCCGGTGTTTTGGGGTGGCAGGTCTCGATGCTTCATAAATAAGTAAATCTGTTAATAAAAAAAAAAGGAATAGGGATTGGCAGTTCCCTTAAAGGGGCAGTGCAACGATTTTCAGACTTTGGCCAGTTAGGTGCGGAAGTTAATCTGCGTCACCTATGGAACGAAAAACCGAGAGCCGCATTTTCTTGCGAGCGCTAGTTCTTATTTAAAAAAATGAAACAAATCGAAGGTCGAAGTGCCTCTCAACTCTCCACGCCGATTTCCGAGTGACGTCTCTGGGGGTTCACGTGGTTTCCCCTTGGGCCCTCTCTTCAGAGACCCCAGCCGCTTCCTCCGCGATTGTGGACTTTCAAAGGATTAGCCTCGTCGAAGGTCGCGGCGAGCGATAGACTCGATCAAAGGACGGTTCTCTATGGGGCTGACAGCGAGTGTAGCAGCGGAAGGGGACAGGGTTTGTTGACTTCCGCGTATCCCCCAGAGACGCCATCATTTTAGTTCCCGTAGCCGCCACCGGCGGCTGCAGATCGGCAAATAATTCGTTTTTTGCCTTGCGATTACGCAGCAGAATAGCCGTTTTTTTTGGGAAAGGTGACGCGTTTTTGGTCACCTGGGCTTGTATGAACAATATAAAAAATGCAAACTGGCAATTCTTTCAACATTAAAACCGTTGCACTGCCCCTTTAAGATAGCAGGGTCGTATCTGTGCGGCATATTCCTTATTCATTTGGGCAGTGGCATGATGCAAGGGAGTTTCTGAAGCTACTTTATAAGGCTGTCCCATTTCTTTTCGTTATCTGGTTGGTGCTCATAGAAATATCACTGAAAAAAAGCGAGCAGGCTTTTCTTTTTTGTTGCACACTTAATCCTTTCATGGTCAGGTTTTTCCTTTGTAAAGGATGTTTTATTTTCAAAGAGGTAGTCAAAAGGCATGTGCAGGTTTTTCCCAAATTATCTAATGAGCACACATGCAGTGCTTTCAAGCTGTTCTGGCTGAGAAGCGTCGAATGGCAAAATTATGGGCAAAAAGTTGTCGCCTTTCTTCCATTGGGTTTGATTTCGGCATGTCAGCCTTCGCGACATTCCAATGATATGGACTCCGAACAGGAGGTGCTTTATGGAGCTCCTCCATCCGATAAGGGGCTTTAATCCTCTAAATTCAATTTTGAAAAGCGTTACAACTCTGAAAGTGAAAGAGCTGGCGCTTTGACGTGCACGGAGCTTCTAATTTTTTAAACTGTTAAAAGCCCCAGCAAGGCCGCGAACAGTGTGAATATAATATTTATAGTTTGCCAAAGACATAACAAATAGCAGCACCTCCCGGGGTGGGGGATCGGCGTCCGAGTAGGCAAGCGCACTAATGCTTGCAGCGCATGGAGCGGAAGCTCGTGCTGAAGAACCCAGGAATCCTGGGTTTAATCCCCACCCCTGCTTGTTTCGATTTGGATGAGCATCGTACCGGCGTGCGGTCGCATATCACTACTGCGCGATGTATGTTAGACCCTAGGCTATCATTTGTAATGCACTGGCTAAATTGCTCATCTACAGCTGAGACACCAGACGCCCATTGGGGCTGACTAACTTCCGGCTGTATGAGCATACACACAAGACAATTACCTCCAGGGAAATCACAAATGTGTAATCGCCGCTTCGACCATCAGTCTTTAAGCTGAGACTGCAGCCAATGCCACAAGCTTGAGAGCTTGAGGTTGCTGCTTTGAAGCGTTCATCTGCAGAACGAGCGCTCGTGCTAGAAATGCACGTCTTGAAGCCAGAAGTGTGGGCTAGCTCTGGCTGCAGCCTTAGCTTAAAGGGGTACTCCAGCAATTTCTTCATTGTCCCCGATTTGCTAGAAATTTTGCTAAACTCGCCAAACAACATCGCCAAAATAGTATCCCAAATATTAGGTCAAAATAATTTTTTTTCACGAAGTTATTGAATTTACAATTTTGGTCCTCGCCGTGCTTTTCAAACTGAAAGTCTCTACTGGCAACAACGAAAAAGTGACGTCAGTGGAAGTGCCGGGGTTCACTCTTTGGACTGTAGAATTTGTTCCCAACTGATTCGAAGCAGTTTCATGGTGTCAAATGAATGCTTTGGAAGCTTGCTCCAGGACCCGCGCTCCAGCACGGAACAAGTGATTGGCATATTCTATATTTCAGAATGCTCGCTCGACTGGCAAGCTTGCCTTCCACTGACGTCACGGCACTGAAAAGTGCGGGTATATTTGAATGTTGGTTTTTGCATAATTTTCATTTGCCGATTTCGCAATAACTATTATGAATTTCGCGATACTAGATAGCATACAGGAAAGGGTAAAGGCCGGGGAGTCAGAAAATATAGTTAGTTTAGGAAGCTCAAAAAATCGCCGGAGTACCCCTTTAATTGAACAGAGTATAGAATCAGGTAATTCTGTCCACGTTTCCCTTTACTCAACTTACCCTTATCTTTTTAATGATTTTATATCTTGTTTTTAGGTCAAGGTCACTGCAAAACAGTCACACAGAGGGTTGGCAACATGGTGACAACATACACGCAGTGCTCGTAATGCGTGCAAGGCGCATGGTGACCCCCAAGGTCGACCATTGGAATGCAGTCCCGGCTCGGGAAGTGCCACCTCAGTTGCTCGAAGACTTTGCCCATGATCCCTCTTCAGAGGTGCTCCAGATGGGAAGAGGTCTTTCTGGTGCTGGCTGGCGATGGAAGAAAAAGGAAAAGAGAAGCAAGCCTCGTGTGCATTTTTGGAAGAACACTACACCTTCCCTTTTTGCACCTCTGCACGGCGTGTGGCTTTGTTAGTAAAACGAGGCTGTAGATGGTTGTGATGTCGGCAGCAAGTCGCTTGTAAAGATGCAGTGTAAGATACTCATTGTCCATAGCTTGTTGCGCAAAGATGCCCCATCTGTCGGTGACCAAGTGGTAAACGGGTTTTAAAGTAACTGTTCAGTAACTGTCCAATTTTTTTTTTTTTTTGTTACTGTTAAAAATATTTTTATTTGCTTTGTGCTTAAGTGTCTTGAACACATTAGCGGAGCCGACATTTGTGCCTTTTCATGAGCCACTATATTTTTGTATTGGGGTGAATTGCACGGTTTTGGAACTGTGACTGTAATTTATGCTTGTAGTGGCCTTTTTTTCTTTTTCGAATTTTAAGGTTTGTGGATGGGTGTACAGTTGTACAAAGTATTTATTGCTTGTAGAGTCTGTTTTTAAAGTAGTGTATGTTTTAATAATTTTGTCCATGCTTGGTTGTATTGATCCTGGAAATTTTGAAATACTGCAAAGTGTATATAAGTACTCGCTTAGTGTACAGAAAAGTATTTCACTGTAATAAGATAAACACAAGAAAAGCCAGTGGTGTGATTGCCTGAAATGGCTCTCCTAATTGAAGAATTCAGGCATTGCCATTTTGCACATTGCAGCAATCTTGTGTTCCTAGTTCTGTGGTGATTAGCTTAGCTTAATTCAGCCGCAGAAATGAGTGGCGCCTGCATTTTGACAGGCTCCTGTATTTTGTCTATGCCCAAAGATAACTTTTACTTTTTATTTTTCTCTTTTTTTTTTTTTTTTAGCTGTTTTAGTTGCATACTGGAAATTCCCCAGTGGTTTAATTTATGCCCCAGTCATTTGCTGAGGTGTATCTGCAGCGTTCCTTTGATAATGTTGACAGAAAGTGCAAAGTTTGAGAGTGCAGTGTTGTAGAAAGTTAAATTTAATTCCTAAGTGCAGAAAAAAATGTGACAATAAAATCAATATTTTTTTAAATAAATATGTTGTCCGATTTATTTGTTACTGTGATTTACAGCTTGGTCGAAATAAATCTAGGCCATTTAAAATAAGTCGCCAGAAACTTTCTTTTTTATGCTAGAGTACTATAACATAAAACGCATGGCTTTTCTTCTTTTTATGCTATTAATATGTGTGTTGGGAATAAACCCGAATTTTATTGTGGGTTGTGTCATGCATTGTAAGTTAAAGGGAGGTGCAATGGGCCATTGGGACGTTTAACTAAATAATGGTCCACATTTTTTTTTATTCCGCCCCTTTGATTTTTTATTTTTATATAACGTTCATTTGATTTTCTCAAAGCCCTAACTTTCACCTTACTATATTGATGCAGTATTTTTTTATAGGTACCTAAAATTATTGCAATTTTAGGGGTTAATTGGAGAGTATTACGAGTACGTATTTCTTTGTGTCTGTTTATTTTAGTGCTTGTTTACCTTTCCTAATTTTACATTTTTAGATGCGCTGAAGACGCAAAGCAAATAACGTTAAATTTATGAGAGGTATTTAAATGGTTCAACATTTTCATAATATGAATGATTTCTAAATACCAAATCGGTTCAGATAGAAGGAAACAAAACAGGTTCCAATAATAAAATTATGTCAAAATGCACTTCACAAAAATGAATATGTTCTAGTTCAGCTGCTACCAGAATACTAATAATTTGACGAGCATGAGTGAATGCATCTCGCGCTAATGTCTCTGGTCCGCGTGTATCGTCTGGAGGAAACGGCCTTGAACAGCGCCAAGTTGGTCATGGCTGGAGCAAAAGCAGCGGTATGGTCGTCATGGCTCACCAAGCGAAGACAGTTAGATATATATGATTAACTGATATGGCTAGAAACTATCGCGCTAGGCGCGCAGGCAGCTGGGGCTCACCAGTAGCTAATAAACTTGCCACGTGGTTTCTTTTATATATGTTCCGTAACGCTCCATACTGTGGTAATCTCAAAAGCATTGATAGGTATCGCCCAAGTCGCGAGCGATGCCTTTCGTTATGAGTCAGCATTAATTCACGCCGGTATCTGGGACGTCAGTCAAAGTGTGCATCTGTACTGCGCAGTTGGTTCGCCTTTTTACTTTCCCTGCCGGAGCATACATGAGCAAGAACGGACACTGAAAGCACTCAGCTAGCATGGACAGCCTCGATTCGGGCATGGATTCCAGCGATTCGAAACGCCATAACTGCACGGCATGTATTAACCCATGTTTCCCGCGGTTTTCGGCCTATTTAATATTGTATTGCCCGTAGGCGCACCCGTACAATGTGCGAGCAGCGCAATGCCCTCAAAGGCAGAATCCCCCCCTATGTGAGGAAGGATTTAAGACAAGTAAGGGCGCTTCCAAGGGCCGAGAGTCCTCAATGACCGTTGCACTTGTTGATATCGGTTGACACTACGGGGATTTACAGAACTAGACAGAATCAACGCGAAAATTCTAGCAAGCTGCACCTGAGATTAGGCGCTTTCATGAAGACATTTCATAAATGTAAAATTTATAAAAATGACCGATGGCACTAATGGTGCGACTAGTTCTTGTTTCGTTTTAAAGTTACGCTGCTTAATTTAAAACTGATCTATTCCTAAATAGTTGCCTCGCAGCCTACAAATAAGTCGCATTCATGTGCGTGCTCGGATCAGCGATTGTCTTTTGTGGAAACCCAGCTTTTTACCTGAACGAGGACGAGATTTCCGAGTCGATAAGATGCGAAATTGAGGCTCTCAAGGTTACGACTGTCAACGCAAGAACGCGGCGTTTGTGTGTATGCGGGGGTTGTGTTCAGCGAGGCGTCGACGCTCTCTGATGCGTGTTGTTGTCTACAGTTTTATTCTATTCTTTTGCGAAACGAGGAAAATTTAGGTAAAAGGGAAATGGCAAATTTGACGAAGGCGAACCTCGTCGAAGCGCTTCACCAGAGAGGCGTGTCAGTGCCATCCGGCTCGCCGAAGAAAGAACTCCTCGTGAAGTTGTACCGGCAGCACGTTTTAAACGACGGTCGCTTCACATCGGGCGACTATTCGAGCGACGAGGACGTGCGAGATACTTCCAAGGTAGGCCGCGGCACCACTGGCACGGACTCTGTTTTTAGTGGCCCATAGAAACAAACGTTGTAGCCCGCGGACTGCGAGCCACCCGGCCGCATAGCCTATAACGGTTTAGTTTTTCTTTTCTTCTCTCGCGTTGTGTTTGAAAGATAGTTGCATAACTCGTTTTCCGGCCTTTTCTTATATGTTGAATGCAGGAACACAACGACAGCTTCACGCTCCCGAAGGTGTCCGACAGCGTCGCGTCGCTTTCAGACGACGCCTTGTTTGCCAAGCTCCGCGACTTGGGCTTCCAGGCGGGCCCTGTTGTAGGTGAGGCCGTTTCCCGCCTTATTCCACCACCGTCGCCTTTGGAGTCCACAGTGCGGGATGAAGCAGTACTCGAATGCCGAGATCACGAGTTGGCAGTCGTCGCGCCGAGTTCGTTTTTAACATGTCGCATTCTTGCGTCACCACGTACGATGGACCGTAGGGAACGCTACGAACCATCCTAGCCAATCCAGTGCCGTGTGTCATGTGTGACCCCCCAAAAGAAAAACAATTTACGCAGTTTCTCTTTTTCAAAAGTTACAAGCGATTTTCAGAAACATTCATTGAGAAAATGAGGCCCGTCCCCGGAAGTCGATGCCCATTCATCCCACATGTTTGTGAACTTCATCGATTCACTATTTCTGAAAATTGCTTGTAACTTTCGAAGGAGATAACAATTCTCAAGCTTTGGCATCTGGTCTGGACTGCCAGCGTTATGTTTGGGCAGAGACTTGGCGTTCAACAATGCATAGTTTTTTTGTATTTTTTTTAGGCAAAAAAAAGCTGACCGAGCTAACTGCTGCTTGGTTCAGTTATGCCGGGCATCAATTCTCCCGATTACACGGATCCAGTTGTCCCCTGACGAATTTTCAAGGGGGTGCTTGATATCGATATTATTTAACTCAGAGAGAGTCTGGTTGCCAACAGAATACTGACTGTTCGTACCCACGAGGTGTGGCACCGTACAATTGGGTTGAATGCAGCAACACTAAACACACACACAAAGCACCGGTATAACAGTAAAAGAAAAAGGGAAGGGAGAGAGATGGTACGATTAGTAAGTGGGGAAGGAACACACAACATCCCTACAGAAATCCCTCGTAGTCGACTCGCCCCGTAGGACGCCGGCTGTCAGTGTTTCTGGCAGCGAGCATCACAACCACACTGCTCGGATCAGGAATGACTGCCGACGAAGCTGCATGCATGCGAACAGACTCTGCCACGCGGTGAAAATGTGATGATGAGGTGAATTACAGGGACAGCCGGGCTGTTTCGATGGGCTTGAACACAACGGCAGTTGAGTTTAACGCTCACAAATGTCGATGCAATCCGCAGTTTGGGTAAACTTGACAGTCGCTCATGATGTCTGCGAAAGCACTTGCTCTGTAAGAAGACCTCATAAAAGCAGATATGCTTGCCTCAAGTTAGTTTTTGGGGTGATTGCAAACTCGCTCTGTAACAAAAAATTGTTTGTGGAGGCTTATAATTATCCTGCAAATTTGTCATATCATCCAGATGCTCTTCGGTCTTCCTCAATATCGGGGAAACAAAGATGCCGTCAAAGTTTCTGTTAAAACTTCACAATGACTGTAGTACTACAGAAATTACATTCTCCCATGTTGCAGATGAGCCACAGATACTTGTATGCTCAAAGACTTCACAAGCCTGAATTTGCTGGATGCTGATGTAGATCGCTCCACAATACCATAGCGGCTTGTAGGGACTGCAGGCTGCGCTCCTTCACAGTAATATGATTCGGCGTTCTACAAGAAGTCAAATGCTGCTGGTTCCAGGAGAGGTCCTTTCGCGTCATTTTAATATTAAGCTGGTGCTTGTCGTCACTTCCGTGAGGTGGTTCGGACGCAGGATCAACCAATTTTTTTGCCATAAGGGGCTATTAATAAGCCTACTCTCTTCCTGAGTCCAAGGCTGCCTCATTGACTCCAGAATGAAGTGCCACAGCATGGGTCCAGAGCCGATAAGCTCAAATCCTGGCTGAGGTGCCCAAAATCGGATCGAGGCTTACTGCCGTGTCTTTGACCCGTAATGGAGATTTCGGTTGCACTCTTAGAATTTTCGGGTTGTTCGAATTAATCCTTTGTGGTTTAAGAAATAACCTGCCTTGCCCCAGATTTAGTTTCAGGGACTAAATCAGGGACATTGATGTCTACCTTGCATACAAGTTTCTGGTTTGTGGGGATTCTCTTGCCATTCTTCATATCTTGTGGATTTGTTCAGACCTTGAAGCTGAGCATCATTTTTACCGGAATACCATAAAATCCTGATAGCCCACCTAACATCAAGAGCAAATCGGGTGAAAATATGGAGTAGGCTAACTTGCGATGTACAATCAAGAAAAGTTTTAAAAATTGCTATTGTTAGGTTGTGTCCCTTTTTAAGCTTGTTATGGTGGCGAGAGGCAATGAAGCAAAAATGACTGTACTTCTCAGTCAGCCACGTTTGCTTATTTCCCGCCAAAGCTAACTAGCCGCATTTACGCCGAGGCCATCATTGATCCCAACACTGCTATTACTAGGAGGGGGCTGTCTTTCGGTGTTTAGGGGGGACACTACCCGGGAAAGTCGGCTTCTGTACCGCTTGCTTGATTTCAACCAAATTTGCAGTGGAAGTTTATATGAGTGGCAAGCCCATCCCTGCCAAATTTCATTGCCCTATGTCAATTCTGAAACTTGTTATGAGTGTTACAATATGTAAGTCAGTGTGTTCACTTAAAAAAAACTATTGTTTTAAAATAAAATAAAAAATTTTGATTTTTATGTGTAATATAGTCATAATAATACCCATAGCACATACCCAGCTAGTTATTTTGCTATATTGCATTGATTTTCATAAGTATAACTCCATAAGAATATTAAACTTTTTTTCACATCTGCACTTTTTTACAAATGTAGTTTTTTTTTAACATAAAAGAATGTTAAAGTAGAAAAACTAACCAACCAGGCGTGTTCCTCCCAAATTCTATCCCAGAAAACCACCTAAGAATAATTCTCTATTGTGTAATAGGAAAACAGTTGTTTTCCTAAAGTGAAATTTATGCCGAAAAGTGGAATGGAGAAAAACGCGTCCAAAGTGCTCCAACCCCTCCCTACCTTTTTTTTAGCATCGGTGGACTGAAAATAATTTATAAAAAATTAACTATGCAGTGTAAACTAATGAAACTTTCTGGGAATACTCTCTAGATGTTGGTGTTGGTGGATGTAAATATGCCATTTTTTCAAAAACATTTTTTTGCAAAAATTGTTTTTTCTGGGTAGTGTCACCCCTTAAAAAATATAGCAAATCGAGCCAAAAATAGGGGTGGGCTATCTTTTGGGGGTGGGGCATTTCTCAGGATTTTACGGTAGTTTTACCTCCAAATTGCAGTTCATCCTGCTCTTTTATGAGGAGAGCATCTTGTCTCATTTGACCATGTTCAAGTTTCTGTTACTAACACTGGTCTTGTACACCAGATCGAACCTTGCCTAGTTTTAAAGTTGGCATTTCGTAGCATCGCGAGCATAGTGGCTTGTTTTGTCCAATTGGTCCCAGTATGACCTTCATAGCTTTTGCGCCATGAAGCCCGCTTGCGTCATTTTCATCACGCTGATGTCGTCTGCAATGTGACATTGTGAATGGTCCAACAGGTAGCAGGATGCAGTGAGGTATCGGTATTCCTTCGTATCTTGTGGCAGAAATGTTGGGTGGTTTTTCGACATTTCTGCTGCTTCTGTTTTGCCACGCTTACTTTTCCTGGGAAGCCGGCGTTGTGAACTACAGGACTCCTATTTCCAGCCTCGACTCGGAGCCTGTACGAGAGGCAGCTTCAGCAGCTGCTTAACAACGGCAGCGTCCCGACCACTCCATCCGCCCCAACCGACCAGTTCGCTGCCGAGTTCTCTGCCACAGAGGAGGAGGAGGAAGAAGAGCCTCAAGTCATCCCCGAGGACAACTCTGACGAAGAGGACGGTGGTACGCCCCTGCAGAAGGGACCCACGACCTTCTCCTTTCTAAGGTACGGCATGACTTGCCGCACTCTGTTCTCCCATTGGCTCGGTCTTAAAGGGATACTAACGCAATGAAGGGTCGTCAAAAGGGATCCAAGGGATTAGTTTGACGGTTGAAATGCGTGGAAGAAGCGAGACCTGACCTTGCGCTTGCAGCCTTCGGATCATTTGTCATCGGAGCTAGCTTTGCTGGATTAGTCGAACACTTCTTTGGCGAGATTGTACTCGTGGCACCGCACGGGAAAGCGGGGAAGGGTAACTTGCCTCCGTTATCCGGGGTGGTCCGTGCCACGGGCTATATGTGTCTTGTTCTTTGTTTCTTCCATGCTCGGGAGTCGTGATTACAACAGTTTGCGCTAGATCTCGTGCGTTGCAGTTTGGAAAGTTGTTTGGCTGCTTGTGGAATGCTGTTGCTCCGAAAAGCTGCGTGCACTTGTGCTGCCATTGAGCACTGTCTGCGTCATTTCGAGTGCAAGAAGTGTGTTTGCTACTGGATATTCTGCCTCTACTTCGAGGTTACTTTGATTCTTAGAACGGAACATCCCGCCCTTTGGAAAACATATGGCACCGTAACGTGATACAATCTTTAAGAAGATCATGCAGCAGGCATCTGGTAAAAAGACAGTCCTTTAAAAGCTCCGATGCCTGTCAGCTTTAAGAAAGGGGCTTGTCGTAGCCGGTTGTGTCTTGCAGCCTAAGCTCTTTAGAGGCGCCGGGGACAGAATTTTAGATTTGTCCAAATAGAGCCAGGCCCTATTCTTTCTAAAAATCCAAACATATGAAAATAGTCGCATCCTTTCTGTTCGCCAATTTTTCCTGTGCTTTGGAGCCTAGAAATAGTCGGACTATAAGGGTGCGTTTGAAGTCGATACCATTTGGTTTGCTCATGCCAGAAAAACGACACAAGACTCGTCTGCGTGCCCCATTTGTGCAGTAACACACAATCCAAGGTCGACTCGCTTGTAGAGCGACTGCAAAAGTACCTTTTACCTCCCTTGTGCCCTCTGTCAATACATAAAGAAAAGACATTAATTTCAAATTGCACCTTTTATGCAGAGGTGGGTCTGACTGTGAACTGATATACCAGGCAAATACTTTCAGAAATTCCTACAAAATGTGAGAAAAAAGAACTTTTAAGGAACAAACTGCCAGCCGCAGCAGACATGAGGGGTTACAAGACACACTAATTGGCAGAATGCTCACCTAATATTTACTAATTAACTTTCTCATTTGCGAAAATAAATGTGGTTCTAATTAGAAACTTGCCGAGTGCCATAGAAAACTCCAATATCGGTCAATTTCAGGAAGACTTGTGGGAAGTGCAGAGGTGCGCTAAAGTTTCCCTCTCGTACAGCAGGCGGAAGGGTGGCAATGCAAAAACGCAGATGATTTTCTAATCAGTGTTTTCGCATTGCCAGGCTTTTGCCTACTGCACGAGTCGTAACTTCAGTGCACTCCTGCACTTCTCAGGAGCTTTGTCTTCCTAAAATTAACCGATTTAGAGGTTTTCGACGACTCTCAGCAAATTTCTAATTGGAACCACACATTTCTTTTCACTAAGTAGAAAGTTAATTAGGAGTAAATTTAGAGTAATTATTTTGGTAATTTGCTCATCTTTTGCAACCCCTGAAGTCTGCTGTGGCTGGCAGTTTGTTGCCGCCAAGAGTAAATTTTGTTTTCTCAACCACCCTATTTTTAGGGGATTTTTGAAAGTATATTGCCAGAAACACTGAGTTTGAGGGCAGTTTGGATGGCCCGGATGCAGGTCTTGACCCAACTCTGAAGACTCAAATTTTTGTTTGTGGCGGCTCCATGGCCCACTTAACATAGAGCAAACTTGGCTATAGTTGCCGAGTTGCCGACGAGGGGAGGACGGCGGGGAGGAGCTCCAGCTGTGCCGCCTCCAGCGCGAGACTCCCACCTTCGACAACACCCCAGCGTATTGGCAGCTCGAGTGCACGCACGCAACCAACGCACGAGGGAAGGCACGGGGCGCATGCCAACGGCCGGGCGTCCGGGCGTTCAAAAGACGCGCCCTGTCATCCTTGCTCCGCCTGCGACCATAGAACTCTGGTATTACGAATCGGTCGTCGATTGCCGCAACTGCAATGCCCGGAACACGTCTTTGACCGGCATTCTTTTACCGCGTCATCAAAAGTGGTTCCCCGATTTCCGCCTGCCGACGTCGTACGAGTGTCGCGTTGTCGCTGGCCGCGATCCCCGAGGTGTCGCAGCAGTGGCGGTGGATATGGCGGGCGCCCCTTCCGCTGCAGGTCACTGTCCAGCTTCACTGTCTACAGAAGCTTTGGCAGTCGGGAGTTGGGACTCCGCGAGGATGGCGGTGTGCGCATTCGCTGGTACTTTTCTTTTAACCCCAACCGCCGGAATCTCGACATCCGACGACACGACACGCCGGCTTCTACGACGTCGTTTGTTGCCCCTTCGGGACCACGTTGTATGTACGGGCGGGATAGGACACCGATTGCACGGGTCGAAGGCTTGCTGCAAGCACTGCACCGCAACTGGCGACGCCAAAGTAGCTCCCAGACCAACCTCTGTAGCGAATCTGAGCACAGCGGGGTTCGAATTCGTGTAATAACCCTATTGTCATGTCGTTATGTCGAAAAAGAAAGATTGTTTCCTTCCCTCCTCGCATCCGAACGCAGTGCCCAGAGTGTCCGCTTCAACCTGAGCAACAGCAACTCCCCCGTCGTGAACGAGGTCGTGCAGCCGAGTCGGCGTTCGTTCACCTACAGCACCCGCAGCAGCAGCCTTCCTCAGGCCGGTTCACCTGTCCAGATGACGCTGCGTTCCAGAGTGTGAGCTGGGCCGTTTCTTTCTCTTCCGTGCCTGGGGGGGGTGTCATTGTGGCGTTCTTGTGCTGCCTGCTTTAGGCTTGTCGAACGGAGGGAGCGAAATGGGGGACTGACTGCGGGCACTTAACTGCGAACGGGAACGAAATATTTGTGTGAAATATGCAAAATGGATGACTTGTACTTTCGTGAATAATACGAGCCAAAACGCCTGATCCAGTCTCTTTTTGCTTCTGTGGTCCCCACAAGCTCGTCTCTCAATTTCTCAAATAATATAGTCCCAAGTATGGGACCTTAACTAAGCATTCCCTTCCTAGTTCGGACCAGTGCTCTCTCAAGAACTGGCAGGTATGCCGAAGAAGCACAAAGGACCGTTTCAGCTCGTGTTGCCCATGATAGCACGCGCAACTGATAATCGTGGAGACGCGCGTGAAGATTCGAATGCAACTACCTCGTTTGCCTCGACTAGGATTATGTCCTATGTTCGGTGGATAATACCTTATTTTTTTCGAGTATGGGTCGACTCCTATGCCAGAGAACTCGTTGAGTTAATACAGAAATGTTCCAACATAGATGCTTTGAGCACGTCAGTCACCCAAGCCACCACCGGTTGGCGCACTCCCAGGGCCGCCATTTCCAGCCTGTGTTTTGGCCGGTGCCAGCACTCCGGTTACCTCGCTTGCGGGTGTTTCTGTGATGACAAGCGACCGCAGTGTGGGACTGGCTAGACATGCCCTGTAGTTGGTTGCAAAAACTCCCCAAATGCAGGGAGAAACAATACCGCGACGAGTAAAGTATGCCTATGCAGCGATGGATAAGTCTGCGATGATAGCCTTGCTGTGTCAACTCGACATTTGCAGAAGTCTCTTTTGGTTTCAGCTACCTTTACTTTTGGAAAGACGTAACAAATGTGATGAACTTGCATGGTCTCTGAAGTCTAGGCCGTACTCCTGTGTCGTCGACCCATTCATAGTCTGATTCTAACGTAATATAACACCTTGGCGGTGGCTGGTGAGGCATTGTACGCAGTGCTATATGTAGCGCAGCAGTGGGAAAGTAGAGGCCGTCACTGGCGGACAGTTCACGTGATGCCAAGATGGCGGCACCCATGCAAAGTTGCCTGAAAGCATCTATAGGTTGACCCTGATTTTTAAAGAAGTCTACAGGATCAGAATATGTAAACATGTATTTTCTAGGGTCCATACTTAACCTATAGTTTAAAGGGGCACTGACACCCCAGAGGTCTTATTTTTTGTTGTTGTCTAAAACAATGTAAGTTGTCATACACACACAAAAAGGTTTCCACACGTGCTCGCGCCTTTTTGTTTTTTGCGCCCTTCTCTCCCTCTTGTCACTTCCTCACTTTTTTTTATTTGTAATGTCAAACATTATGAAATTTATAAGCTTTGTAAGCGACATTTCCATAACATTTACTAACGGCATTTGTAAAACATATTTTTAATGCAATTGCGAATGCACTATGACCCTTTTCGAAATACCAAAAGTGGATTCCGGAGTGATGTCACCTCCTGGCTTTTTATCCTCCCTCGGAAAACATGGCGGCGCTTGGCACATGTAGCTTTGAGGATGATTGGGGAGTTGGGGAATCGAACGAATTTCTCTTTTTAGGTGCCCGACGACCTCTCAGACTTTGAAAAGGAAATCATATGACGGTTGAAACGACTAAGTTTGGTATCTGTGTACCATAGTTTCGGTTGCGACTCCACCGGGGCAGCCTTTCACGCAGAACTGGCGTGACGTGGCCCCTCACGTTGCTCACGAAAGTTCACTGCACGTTCTGTTAGACCTCACACTGTTTCAAAGAATTTGAGATCGCTGAAAGGGCCCTAAAAGAACTTCAAACTCGAAAGTGAAGCATCGTCTGCTTGCAGCAATAGGTGGCAAGCACGGAGAAGAGCGTTTGATCACGGGATGCGAGCGGACACGACACTTCGGGTTGGGATGGTTCGGAGGTGTCAGAGAAACTCGAGTAGCAGGACGACTCAATCTTTGACGTCACTGCACTGGCATGGATCATGTGGGAACTTCAGATTTGGCTTCAGGAAACTGTTTTTTTACTTCACAAATACCAAGTTCCCAAGTTCCGAATTTTGAGGGTATTGTTCAGGCATCGTCTTCAATCGTTTCGGATAATAAAAAAAAAAAAATTGTAGAGCTTTTTTATTTTACGTGAAGATGGAGGACCAGCGAAGCTGTTATTTTTACGTCTAAGACAATGCCTAGAGGATGACCTCAAGGACGACTTCTAGGACGACCTCGAGGAGGATGACGTCTAGGACGACCTTGAAAATGACGTCTAGTACGATGCCTAGAGGAACTTCTAAGACGACCTCTCGGATGACCTCAAGGACGACTTCTATGACGACCTTGAGGATGATCTCGAGGGTGACTTTTAGGACGACGACTAGGACACCGCCTAGAGGACGACGTCTCGGACGCCGCCTAGAGGACGACTTCAAGGATGACGCCTGGGACGACCTCAAGGACAACTTGCGGACGTCCTCGAGGATGATGCCTAGAGATAACAAGGGACCAGGACCTCACTATCTTGTAATGCCAAGAAAGGCTGACTCAGCTGCTTGCCCCTTATTTTTAATTTACTTTATTCATACTTGCCACGACCAATGGGGAGTTTTCTGTCAACATCTGCAGCCGAATTTTTTTTTTTTTTTTTTTTTTTCAGATCCTAGTGCATAACAGCTTCTCTGTAAAATGATTTTGACCGGTCGGTGCCCTTTTAAACTCTCTCGTCCGTTGCACCGACCATGCCGTTGTCTGTGCTTTAAGAGCGGTCAACTAGGGCCCTGTGCTACATGGACGGGGATGCCGTGTAGCATAGGGCCCTAGGAGTCTCTGCACCATGGCACTCGCGCTGCACCGCTGGCATCAGGCTTAACCACTTCGCACCGGCGTGCTCGGGGAAGTGGTTAAGACGGGAGTGTCTCGGTTAGCTCAGTGGGGTCAGGAATCGTGCTTGCTGTTATAGGTCAACTTCTATAGTCGCAATTATAAGTCAACAGCAAATTTTAAGCAAATGCTCGAAAAAGTGTTTGCCTAATTCAGATAGATAGGGCAATTGTTGCAACAAGCTGTAGCCCCTGCTTGCCTGATGCCACTGTGTTAGTTTTCTGCATAATTATAACCTAAATGAACTCTGGGTGCGAAACTGCATACCATAATATTCCGAGAGATGCCCCACCCCCCAAAAAGATAACCTGCCCCCTATTTTTGGCACAATGTGCTTTTTTTTTTTTTTCCTCCCAGAAACATTGAAATATAGTAAAACATATAAAATAGCGCAACAGAAACAAGGACAAGAAGTAAACAGCACCTGTCCTGTTTACTTCTTGTCCTTGTTTCTGTTGCGCTATTTTATATGTTTTACTAAGATGAACCAACTAGCCCAACAACGTACCTTACTGAAATATAGTATATTTCTAGTAATTGGGGGGCCCTGGCCAATGTGATTTCGGCAGAAATGGTGTTGCTTATCCACAGCGGGAGATGAGCGAACATTGCTGTCTGAAAACGACAGTCGTCTTTGGTTCATCGCCCCTCCCTGCAATTACAAGTTTCGCAGATCACAGAATCTAAAACTAGCATTTTTTTAACTTTTTTGATAGCACACCGAAAGTTAGTTCACTCCTTGTTTTCACCCGATTTGCTTTCGATTTTAGGTGGGCTATCTCTCGGGATATTACAGTACTCGTGGTGTGCAGCCATATTGTCTACTGTAGGGAAACATCCAAATCTGAGAAGTGTTCATAATGGGACTGTCGTTACCTCGGCATTTGGCAAACCTCTTGAAGCCGTCTTGCTGGGCTGACAGACCTGACGACTTCTCTATAATAATAAAACTGCTCATTTTACCAATGACAGTAGCTTCACTCGATATACCTGCACCTCCCGCATCGGTGCAGAAAAGTGTAGGGAAGTGTACTTCCAGTATCTGTATTGGGATACGAGCGGAAGTTCTTGCACTTTTAGATTTACAGATGTGTATTGAACTCTGACTTTTAGCGTTTTCGGACCTCTTCTATCTGTATTGCTGTACGCCAATTAGTGAAAGGCCAAGATATGCAATGTATTCCACGTCTTAACCTTGCGCGATGAATAAAAGTAAGTTGCAAATTTTTCTTATTCAGTCGCCATGTTGCATCACGCAATCATGTAACCGGTGGATCACGTGACACCTCTAATGATCGTGTGACTGTATCTCGCACAATCACGTCATCTCATTCGACATTGGGGCGACAAATGTTTTGGAGCAACATGAGTACATTACTGGTACATTGCAGCAGCAGCGACTCTAATCCGAGCCACTTGGCTTGCACAGGGTAGAGCACAACACTGCTGAGCAAGAGATCCGAGATTTGGTTCCTGCAAAAGACAATGTTTTTACAGTGAAGCTGTTATGGGCTAGGGTCTGGGGAAAAATGCGTCCTCACATGTCAACAGAAAATTCCCCATTGGTCATGGCAAGTAAGAATAAATAAAAGTAAAGGGGCAACCTGTGTGAGTCAGCCTTCCTTGGCATTATTAGATAATGAGATCCTGATCCCTTGTCACCTCTAGGCATCATCCTCGAGGTCGCCCTTGAAGTCGTCCGAGACGACGTCCTAGAAATCGTCTTGCACAACAGCAGGGAGGTCGTCCTCTAGGTCGTCCTAGACATCATCCTCAAGGTCGTCCTAGATGTCGTCCTCTAGGCATTGCACTTGAGGTTGTCCTAGATGTCGTCCTCTAAGAATCATGCTCGAGGTTCACGTGAAGCGAATGGGCTCTACAATTTTTTTTTATTTTTTAGGCATTGGGAGAACTTTTGCAAAACTTTTTTTAGTAACACTCCAGACAGCAAACCCAGCCCCTAAACACATTCTGCATTGAATGTTGTGTCAAAATTAAGGTGTGCGAAGACCAAAACTTTTGATTGCAAATGAAAGACAAGTACAGTAATACCTTGTTAACTCGAAGTCATAAAAACCGTGAAAAAATTCGAGGTAAGCGAAATTTCAAGATAAGCAAAGTACCAGAATTTTTACCTCTGATCGCGTTATGTTCTAAATAAAACTTCTAACAATCACGGCAACATCAACTGCACTGTTTGGGCTGCGCCATCATCACGATCAATCGAGTCACACGCCAAGGTCAGAGAATTCACAACCGACGACCGAATTGAACACTTGACCCTTGCTCGTATGGCGCCACGAGACTATCGAAACACTCGGAAAAAAATGGCGGACAAGCAACAAAGAGCACCAACACTCCAAACGAACGAGACACCTCTGCGAAACACGAGACTGATGAGACTACGACTGGACCGGGAAGGGAAACGGAAGAACCCAGAAGCAAAGAGAAAACGAAAGACAGAGCGGAACAAAACGCTGGAGGGAAAGGGGGCACAGAACGCCAGGCATCCTGGCTTGCCATTGGCTTGTGTAAGTGGGAATCGTTAAAAAAAAGACAAACATTTTTGAGTCACACATCTCTCCGCGTCTCCGTGCACCACCGCACTCAGGGTTATCTTATTTTACTTTTTTTTTTCTCGCTTCCGCTTTTTTTTTTTTTTAGCAGTTTTTGTTGTTTATTGCGGGTTTTTTTTGCGATTTTTGCCGACAACAGTTCGAGATATCCGAAGTCCGTCCTGAAAACCTTTGGAGATAAACAAGGACAAAATGCATCGTGCCTATGGGAGCTCATTCCATGACAAGGAAATTTTACGACTTATCCACTATTTCGAGATAGCCGTGTTCGAGTTATTGAGGTATTACTGTATAAAAATTTGATTACAATCGAATTGGAATATTTTTAAATAAAAGTTTTTTACATTTAATTTGCATTGATGCGTTTAAGAAATCAATTCCAGAAATTTACTTTAAAAACCATATCTGCATTAAAAGAAAAAAGAAAGGGCCTTGATAAAGAGTTGGGTAAAACCATAGCCTCCTCTATACTCGCAAAGTCTGGCAGTTCGATGACTGAGCCATAGAGTGCCCGGTCGCAGATTTGAAGCGCGAAAATCTGGTAGCATGGAGCATTTGTCGGGGAGTCTGGTATTCAGCGCACAGCTTTTGCAGCAGCGAGGACTCCAAACGTGGTTTTCAACCCGAGGAGAAAAGAAGGGGTAGCCCGTGAAACACAAGAAGCACGAGTGGACATTCCATCGCTCAGGACAAGTGGGTTTCGGCGTCTCGCCGCAGCGGGGCAGCCGTTGCATGCCTCGTGTCTCTCGCTCTACCTTTTCACTTTCGGCGGCCGCGTCTCGTGGCGATCTGCCAGGATTTGTCAGTATAGAGGAGGCTATGGTAAAACATACTAATGGGACTTGGCAAGTGAAGCAATGACTACATTATTTATTTGAAATACTAGTCGAAATGTTCTTTTAAGCTTAATATCTAATACAAGTCCTATTTGGATTCAAAGTATTGTATTAATGTTTCTACAATGTGGGGTTTGAAGCTTGCTTCAACTTTGCCACGGATTGGCCCGGTATTGCACTGTCTCCAGTAGAGAATCGCAGACGTTGAAAATTTTTTGAATATTTGAACACTTCAGATACTTGGAACACTAAAGGTATGTGCTGTGAATCGAATCGAACGTCAAACACTATTTACAAGTTATTCGAAGGTTTGAATATTTTGCACACCTCTCCTCCATTCACCCCTAAGGTGACTGTGTGGTGGGAGCTACGCATTTGCCAAACCAATCGACCGCCCCCCTTCATTACCTGACCACGCTCTCTGTGCATGGGTATGAACGAGACATAATGACTGGTCCAGTTAGGATGTAGCTTCCACTGCACTGTCAGCTTAGCGATTAATGGAATACTTAGAGCGTTTGAGTAATCTTTTTCCACTGCTGAAGCAAAGTGTGGCATTGAAGCTCGTAAATAAGCCTAAATTTCTTCTGTAGGGGAACACGTGGAGAGGACATGGCGGGCCACAGTGCGGCCACCACACCGGCTGTTGGCAAGCAGCGGCGCATGTCAATGGCAGTCAAGGTGCTCATCGTGCTGGCGGTGATCACCGTGAACGTGCTCATCTACGCTAACCTAGAATACTTCAAGGGCAGCGATTCCGCCATGCCGGTTCCGTCCGTCCTGGAAGACTGACCTCGTGCCTGTTTTGTTTTTTTTTTCCCTCAAAGGCTTGGTTTGCTGGCAAGCAGTGCGTGATCGGTCATCTGTCTAATTTGGGTGCAGACGGAAGACCACGGAGGAGACAATCCACCACTTTTGTAACAAGCCTTGCTTTTTTTTTTTTTTTTTTAGTTTAGGTTTGTTGTTTGTGGTTTTTACCTAAGGTGGCCCCTTCACCCGGTTTAGTTTAGGCAAACTGAGTAGCTGTGGCTGTTCCTTTAAGATGTAGATTTTTTTTCTTTTGTTTAATGTTGTTGACCTCTTTCGCTTTCTGTAGAATGTTGCCGCTGCCCACTTATGTCGCTCGCTTTAGCTACCTGGAACAGAAAAGTGTGCAATCATTTTTTAAGTAGTTTACCAGCACAGCTCAAAATCCTCATTAATTTTTTGTTAACTGAGGTTATTAGCGGCATCTTTTCGTTTCAAAGTTTTTTTGTCATTGCTACATCCTTGCATTATGAGCATGAATTTCTGAAGCTGGAACAGATTCAGAAGTTAATTTCCACAATGTAAGGGTGTGGTAACACAGGCCACCTAACAAGAGGAAAATTTGCGTGCTTTGGTGTTTTCTACTTCCTCGCATATCAGCCTCACTTTCCGATTGTCTCGCATGGAATAATTGAATAAAAATTAATTCTGTTTTTAGAAGTGGCGTCTCGTTTGTCAAGCGTTCATTGCCATGAAATTCTCGTCTGCTTTTCAAATACATGATTCGGACCTCAATCCTTAGTTTGTCAAGAGTACACCAAATCCTCAGTATACGTGAAAACAAGCCTGTAATTGAATATGGCATTGCCTCATTCATACAACCTTCTTGTATGGCTGTACCAAAGGAACTTTTGTATATGGACTGCCTGTTTTGTCTATTGGCTTGAAACTTGGAAGTTTCGTTACAAATATCATATTAGGACTTTTTTTTCTGCAATAATTTACTAGAAGGTATCCTTTGTGGGTGGGGAAATCCTAGGTGCTTTTCGTGTTCCTTGTTTTCTTTATGTAGAAGTCATTTATATCAATCGGGGCTTTGAATTCTAAAACTGTGTACGAGAAGAGTTCTGCGAGTGTGCAAGTGTTCCCCCCCTCCTCCCCTTTCTCCATCTCATTTTAAGAACATGCATCATACTTCAGAGGAAATCGTAACAGGTGAAAGAGCAGGCTTCAGGCTAGAGTGTGCCAGCACGCGAGAGGCGACGTTCAGGTGCCACACCGCTCAAGTGCCGGGGTTTGTTTCACCCCGAATCTGAGCGCGGCCAACACTACGAGTCGGTGAGACCAATTGACCAGTGTCCAAAGCACAAGGTCACCGCATTCGTCAGCTTTGCGTGTAATCACTAGCTAAACAAATGTGTGCAGTGAATGCTTCGTGCCTTTGCACTTTTAGTTGGCGTGTTCGAACCTTTGACTAAGCTCTTGCCCAAGTTGATTTGAAGTGTAGCTTGGCAGGGCTTTTTGTCATGGATGCTGTTTTGAACAAGCCGGGGACGATGACAAGTCCCCTGGAAACGAAGTTAAAATGTCTGCCGCTCGGTGGCGTCTATATGCATGAAAGGCCCGTCGGATACTTCGAGATCTCCCGTCCTGCGAAAGCCTGGATTGGCGCCAAGCTTCCGAAAGCGGTCGGCACGACATAACTCGACGCGTCTTCGGGTACTATAAAAAGTAGGCACTTTATTTGACCGTGTAAACGTGGCTCTGTCCTCGTAAATGGCTAGCTGACCATGCGCAGGGCTCCGTCCAGTCGGATGACTTCCCCGTTGAGCAGCGGGTTCTCGATGATGGACTGCACCAGGTGCGCGTATTCGTCCGGGTCCCCCAGGCGCTTGGGGAAGGGGATCGTCTCCGCCAGGAACGTGCGCACCTTCTCCGGAAGAGCTTCCAGCAGCGGGGTGTGGAAGAGGCCTGCGTTCGACATTGCGAGACTGCCGTTGTTGGCTCGACGGCTGGCAGGACAAGAGTGGCGGGGAGATCTTTCAATTTTCCCTCTCTCCGGCATGATCTTCCTGCCTTCAATGGTGCTTCAGCGTCTTGTGAGCCTCCAAAGTGCGCGAGCGGCCGAAGCACCGTGGAAGGCGGCGAGTGCATGCCAGGCATTCGAAAGAGATGCCCCGTTGTTTTAATTCTTTCGGCGACTGTAGCGTGCGTTCCTGAGGCGTTCTCAGTTTACAAACGTGGACGAAAAATTGCAAATGCCACAAGGCTATCCTTTGGCAGCTTCTGCTCTTGTCTGAGTCTGTTGTGGGGATGAGAGGCTGAGCGTTGATGTACGGTAAATGTAAATCGGTTCCTTTTGTATTAGGGCTCAGTTCATGCACAACAAACTTTATCTTTACGGTAAAACCTCGTCGCTATGTTCTCAGTTCATTTTCCTGACTTGCGTTCACGAACATTTCCCATTTGTTGTGTCTGCCTTGTCGGTAGTTGATTCCAAAACCTGCTGCCGGACGAGACGCGATGGCCCACTTGTTTGGGCAGGCATGACCCTGAACTAGGCAGATTCAAGCTTTGCTGGTCAAAGCGACACGGGCAGCTTCACCGGTGTGTGCAGTGAGCTTCACCTTGCACCGGTGTGCACGGCAAGCTTCACCACTTTGCACGGATGCACGCAGCAAGCTTCACATAGTCTTTTGGTGTTTTCTACCTGTTTTATGAATGCTCCAAAACTGAATGTGTCCAATAACTAAGAGGTGTTCTGGAGGTATACACCGCCAAGTGAAATGCAATTACATTTTCTAGCACGTGGTTTGTGCTTCAGAGGTCCTCTCACCATTTCTCCTGCCACGTGCACAAGCACGTCGCCTTGTTTATGGGCTTTCTATGACAGTCAAAGAATCACCCAAAGTTTGTTGCATTGAATAAGCACCCAGTTTAAAGTGTTGTTTTATGTCGCTTTTAATGAAAAAGATTATTTGCATAGCTTAGCACGAAGGTAGAAGAGGTAGTCTCCCACCTGCCATTTACTTCACCAATCAAATATGCACATTTGCACGCATCAAATACCGAACGTGAGTATGGCCGCGTTTCGCACGAGATGAAATTCTGCATGTGACGGTTTCATCGATAGATCAAAAGACAGCTGCCATGTTTTCCTACCGTCTCTGGCGTGTTTGACCCTTTGTAGAGCAAACCTCCATGGCCAGCGGCGCCACTACAGTGTCTGGAATGCGTCTTTGACGGGTGCATTCGCCATCTATCCTTACCCTGCCCATGCGTCGAAGGAGGGGATAGCAACCAATCTCGTCACAGGAGCCGACGTGTTGTACCGTCTGATGTCGCGCTCCTGGCAACTGGTTTCAGGCATGGAGTTAGGAAGCCGAGGGTGACCAAAACAGCAGTGAATTTGGTCACCGTTGGGGGCGTGTACCTTCACACTTCTGGCTTCACCTCTAATGGCGTCGTGTCGCCTCCAGAAGCTTCCTATTTCCATCGTTTTAGGAATGCCCACCAAAAAGCCGAGGGTCCCCGTCGCTGTGACGTCCCAGTTCGTGTCTGCTTTGGTTTCCGTCGGTTGTCCGGCTGCAGAGCGACCCGCAGCAGAACAAGCATCGCATGCACCTCCGGCGCCATGCCACCGCCAAGATTGCGGCAGGCAACGGCACAATACTTTTACGACAACGATGGGCAGAAATCGAGGGACCGCCTTCGAGGATGCGGTTTGGGCACCATGCCGCCTCACCTGGTGCGATGGTGCAGACCCGGATGCCCTGCGGGGCCAGGTCCCTGGCCAGGGGCACCGTCATGCCCACGATGCCGCCTTTGGAGGCGCTGTAGGCCACCTGCCCTATCTGGCCCTCGAAGGCCGCCACGCTCGCTGTGTTCACCACCACGCCACGCCGGCCATCCGGTCCCGGGGCATTCTGCCCAATGAGTCCCACGGCCAGCCGCAGCACGTTGAAAGTGCCCACAGTGTTCACCTGCCGGGGTTTGGGTGGGGTTATGCAAGTAAAACAACGTCCAACGAAATGAACGACCCTGTAGATCTTCTTGGTCGATGTCTGCGGGGTTCCGAAAGGTTCGATGTTCCACTCTTCAACCCCTTGTCTACTAATAATGTGACGAAAACGATGCAGATCGTGCAAGCATTCTAAATGTTTTTGTCTTATTTTTATGTAAATTGCCCGTAAACTAAATTTTGTTGTCCGTTCCATAAAGGAAAAACACGACTTGGTGAGGGATTAACAATCCTGTATACACTGTTTCACCTTGAAGGGATGGTGCAACAATTTTTGTACTTTCCGCAAATACCGTTTCGAATGATTCCCCCAACGTTTATAATCTGTAGAACATGTTACTTTTCTCCCCTGCAATAGAAGTCTCAGAAAAAATAGAAGAAAAAACTAAATGCATTTACAAATCTTTGTAATGCGAAACTAGAGAGCAGTTCTTTAGGAGGAGGAGGAGGTGACAGTATGCCCCTCCTCCAACTTTGTACCCTCCCCTCTCCTCCTTTCCTCCTGCCGCTGAACTTGTTCGTGGGTGGCGTGACACGAAGTCGTGACGTCATTTTCCCTGATAAATTTAGTGGGGAAACTGAATTGGTGTTGGGGTCACGTGACATCAATTTTCCCGCTAAAGTTAGTGGGGAAACGTCCCATAATGCAACACGCGTGGTTACGCTGACGGCGACGCCGCTCAACCTGGAAACTGGTGCCTAAGAGCTGCACTTTAAAACTAGCACCGTTCACCCCTTCAAGTCGCAGCCAAAAGAAGCGGGCACATGATCTAGAGTTGATTATATGCCGCCAATGTTTATCGTAGCCACGCGATGGGGTTAAAAAAAACATGGGACACGCTCAAGTTCCAGACACTAACAGTTTGGATTGTCGTCGTTGCAGCGATTGGACACGAGCCACTACCCGAGTTACCCGTGCAGCTTTTGATTATCATGAGCCCAAAACAAGTGCTTACAAAATGCTCAAGTCCAATCTACGAGCTACATTCAAATATCGTTGCTCGGGGAACTATGCCAAAACTGCGACCTCTCGGCTAGTTCACCAAGTTTTGGGGGAGAGAGGTTGACACAAAACGCTCGCCTCCATCCTTGAGATTGCACCGCAAAAAATAAGTTTCTTGGTCACCGGCACCGCATGCGAGTATACTTTTAAAGTGATAAAAACATTCCAACTGACACTGCATCTGCGCTGCCCCTAGTGTTGATGTAATACTCTGATATATGTGTGAACCAGACTTGTATGTAAGGCATTATTTGTACCTACCGTAAAATACCGAGCATTTGCTCAGAATTTTAAGTGGGCGCTTGCTCTGGATTTTACGATAGTTATTTTTAAGAAAACAACTAACGCGTTTTCTTAACTCTTTGATGAAGTAATGAGCAACGGTATTTGCAGTTACTTCCGGGGAACGTGTACGACACAAGCACCCGACCTAGTTCTCGTCCCAGATCGCGCCTGTAATTTGCATGACGAGAAAACGTTGAGTAGATTGTGAAAAGATGTCCACAAGGAACGAACAAATGCATTAAAAAGTGAGGCATTGTTATTGACGACAAGTACTGGAGGCGGCTACCGCTTAAGGACGACACGTTCGGAGTAACGAAAAAAGCAACGGGTTACTTTCAAGCCGAGAAAAATGCGTTCTTTCTGTATCGCACTAACGAGTAATGTACTTGCCGTGAAATACCGCGCAAGCGCCCACTTCGTTCAAGCGCCCACTGTTAACCCTTCCCAAACTTGGGAATTCTGCAACTCATACATTAAGTGCCAGATTTGACCGGCCAAGCGCCCATGTCAAGATTAACCCTGTTTTCAGCGAGGGTGGGTGCTCCCACAGTATTTTGCAATAGTTACTTTTTAGGTGAGTAATGAGTAACGGTATTTAGTTACTTTATTTCAGTAATGTGTATAGCCTCCAGATTTTTTAACAATATTGTTCGAGCATCAACCAGCCGGTAGATTAGCGCCTTACAGTGCCGTGAAACAGCGAGGCTAGGCGGGTGCCTTCTGCCACATGCGCGTAGTCTCGCTGAGCTGCTCTTTCATGCCGCGATAAGGTGCTGATCTACCAGCCTACTCACGTCCGCGTGATATAGTTAAAAAATCTGGAGGCTGTACGTGTCTGGTGTGGACGAGTGATGGACCGCAGGCAATGCTACGAGCCATCAAAGACAGTGCTGCGAGAATCACGTGACTCTGGGAGGGGTGTAGGGACGCGCAGGGCACTAAGTCGCATGATATGTTCCTGGCGTTGGATTGGCTGGAATGGCTCGTAGCGTTCACTGCGCAAAATATAAATTTGTGCCTATTTTTTTTTGTTTTTTTTAATGTGACGCACAAGGGCTTAATTTTTTAAAGGAAACAACCCTCTGCGATTTAAAATCTGTTTTGCAACATGTATTTCCAATGGCGGAAAAATATGCTTTGTGGCACGGTAAACAAGAACTCTCATTCCCAGGTGGTCACTATTTACAGCTGCACCACAGTCCCAATGACGTACAATAAAATGAGGCTGTTCAGTACGCCCAAGCGAGGCAGGCCGCAGCGACAAACAACTTGTCCTTTTTGCTCCCATTACATCCGCCCCAGCGTACACCTGTTTGCATTCCAATTAACACTGCCGTAATGGCAGTCGAGAGGAATTGCTTCAAAAAATAAAATCACTTTTTATGGCTGTGCTCAACGCAAGAATTAAATGCAATGCAAAATAATAGTTATAATAATAATAACAGTATTAATAATATTAAATTATTATTATTCCAACAAAAAATAGGGGAACTAATCTAAACACATCCACACTATATAAAGCAACTTAACCATTCCTTTTCTTTTTGTTTTGCCTCAGTAGAACCTACAACATCGGAAAAACTGAAAACAAAAAATTCTTGATCGCAGGACGCTGGAGAGCGCAATCGACCCTTTGTCCTGCCCTTCCTTTTCTACTACAGCTCCTCATTTGTGCCTGTCGTGCATCGCTCATCTTACCATGATGACCTTGGTGAAGTCCTCCAGGGAATGGGGCAAGTTCTTGTTGAAGTTGTACACCTTGAAAGCCACCCCGATGCCTGCACAGTTGACTGTCACGTCTAGTTTCTCGTACTTCTGTTGGACTGTGGACAGGGCCTTCTTGACATCGTCCTCCGAGGTGACCTGTGGTTGAGCAGCATCCTTTTAAGCTCTACCACCACTCACGGAACGTGAATCTTGGCATTTAGTATATTTTGTCCTAACAAAGAACAAACCAGCACTCTATGTGGCAAATTTGTGGCTGATGATCTTCATCCTTTTTCTACGAGCCAAGATCACATTTGATACACTTGTTTGAGACTGTGTTTGTGTTGTCCTTTGGCCACACTCGTGGAATTCTTTGTGATTATATTCAATTTGAGTGTTGTGCGAACATTTGAATTTTCGAATAGTAGTTTCGAATAATACGCTATTCAAAATTCACTTCAAGAGGAACTGCGATATTCATACTTTTCTAAGTGTTGATTGCAAATTGCATCGACTTTGCTCTTTTGAGTGTGCTTCTCACCGAGCAACTGTGCACTGCGGGGAAGCAATAGCCGCGGCGGAGCTCGCAGGCCCCCTGGGTATTGCTTCCCCACAGCGGACAGGTGCTCGGTGAGAGGCGCACTGAACAGGGCTAGGCCGCCGTGATTATGCTGAAATAGAGGCAGCTATATCTGGACAACCCGTGCTCATCATTCATGCTTGCTTAGTTGTTTTTTTTCTTCTTTTTTTTCGTCAAATTTGAAATTGAAGAGATATTTGCACATAGCAATCAGCTTTATAAGTCCCCTCGGTTAGGATAGCTGTGACAGTTTTGTCATTTACATGCCACCATTGATAAATATAGCTGTATTAAAGTTAACTGAGCTGCTTATTAGAAGTGGACATGTGGAAGGTTGGGAACAAACCTTCACAAGATCAGCTGAGTTTGTTTAAGCAAGGTGCACGGTAGTGAAAGGCTCGGAGGAACTATTTGATATTCGATTAGAAAATATTTGGTCAAAACCACGATTCGCTTCGAACTCAAAATTCACTATTTGCACATGAATATTCAATTTCCACCAGCTCCTTTCCACCCTTATTTTTTGTTCATCGATGCACTCGTTTGTTGTTTTCTTGATTGACACAATTTTTAGTGAATAAGCCAAAGGTGCATGGGGGCTTTACAAAGATTCTGGTTCTGCTAAGCAGTTTCACTTGCAAAAATATTCTGGTCAACCGATAGAAGAGAAGTGTTGTTTAAATTAGTATCATATGCTTATCTCTGCAGAAGCTATTTCGGCAAAAATTATAAACGGTACATGTACCAAAGAGGACACCCACCTAATATAACTAAATATTCTACAAATCAAAAAGCAGTTACAGCTTGAATGGATGTAAAGACTGACTGCTGACGTTATATAGAGGCAGCATAGACTGGGAATTTCGTGGCAGCTTTATCTTTGTCTGTACACATGAAAGATAGACAATAAATCTGTACATAGTTACAACAAACTCAACCAATTTGTTATTCTGCAATAAACAAAATTTAGTCAACTTTTTTAAATTTATTTTTTATATATTTTCTTTTTATTTTGGGGGACAGATCAGGATGGGAGGCATAAGTGAAAGACCGTAAATAAAGCCTGATGGGGCCTCTCCATCCTTACGAAGTTCTTAGTGCAGGTCAGCCAGCAATTACGTTGGACACAAAAACAGCACCATTTAACCTAGTTGGTTCATTTTTGTGGGATGGTCACTGGAGGTAGTAACCGGAGGCAGTCTCCCAATCGGGGGACGCCAAGTTTTCTCCCACACATTGCAGCTTTCTCTCGAGAACGCCGCAACAGGCAGGTTCAGAGGTCAGCCACACCGATAATTGCTTTTCAAAATAAAGGAAAAGCACATACTACAACAGGACCAGGTTCAACGGTGTTTGCTAGAACACGAAGACAGACTGTCCCAAACCCCCACTCATCCGGGAACCTGGGTGAGACAAGGTGAGCCTTCGTATCTGATCTCGTCGGCGTGGAGGTCTGGGGACAGTGCGTCTTGGTGTTCTAATAAACACCGTTGAACCTGGTCCTATTGTGGTATGTGCTCTTCCCTTTTTCTTTGAGAAGCCATGGCCGGTGCGGTTGACGCTTGGTGATCTCAAGAGGAAGCTGCGGAGTGTGGGAGTAGGCTTGGCGTCCCGATTGGGGGAGACTACCGCTGAATCCTTCGGTTACTACCACGGGTGACTGTCCCACATATTCTGGCCCCTTGTCAAGGTAGCTTTTACGCGATTACCCTACCGATTGTAGGGGTTATTTCCCCACCCGTCCGCTGAGCCTGATAAATGTGCAGCGAAGACATTTGTGAACTAAGAACAAACACTTTGTAAATATATTGCACTCAAAGGTACCAAAACAAAGGGTTTAAACTCTCGCACGTCGCTTGGAAAGAACAATGCGCATGCAGAGCCATCTACTGTGCTGCAAGATCTGGTAGCTGGGCGATGCTCGTGCCCCGCGACATCTAGCCAACTTCGTAATAGCGCAAAATGGCCTCTGTGGTATTACAACAACTTCTTGTCTCGGTAGTGAGCAGAACCCCGGTCCAGTCACAGGTCTCCAAGCGACACCGTGCGACCACCATCAGCTAAATATTTTGTCAGGGAGCATTCCCCTCCAAATTTAGCGGTTAGACTTAAACTGCCGCACAGTAAAGGGGTGTCCAAACAGGACACTACAAAGATCGTCAGGCCACATGACTCGACAAAATTGTTCGGCGCTCTGCTTCCGGCCGTTCTTTTTGCCGGGGGGAAATCTCCCCCTCACTTCCTCCACGGCAGCCTTGCTCTGCTCATCACGTGGGTGCGGAGAGCCACTCACATTCCTGCGTTGAAGCGTACGCGTTTCGCTTCCCACAGGGAAAGGGAAGGACACCTTCGTGTCATTCTCTTTCCCGTTTTCGAGACCTGAAAAATGGTGGAGGCCTTGAGCGATTGACCGACAGCCAACAGAGCGTGTGAGAGGCTCTCTGCACCCACGTGATGAGCACAGCAAGGCCGCCGTGGAGGAAGCGACGGGGAGATTTCACGGGAGGAAGTTTTCCCCGGCAAAGAAAAACGGCCGGAAGCGGAGCATTGCATGATTTGTCGGAGTTGTGCGTTTTGTAGTATCCTGTTTGGACACCCCTTTATATGCCAGGTCAATTTTTAAACTAAACTTAGTGGGGAAATCGTATGTTAAACTTTCACATCTTTTTGGGGATTTTTCCAACGAAATCTCATAGCCCTATGTACATTCTGCGTCAAAAACGAAATCCACGGGATAACGTACGAGCAAAAGCTCCGAAACATAATAATCTCGAACAATATTGAAGGGCATTCTCCTCCGAAGGGTCTCAAAGGCATAGTCACTGACAAGGTGAAAACCGAAGGGCGCCTCTTTTGAACACCTGCCCCCGGCATATGCCCTGTTGCCTGTCACCGTGCTCTGGCTGCACATGCAAGGCTCACGAGAAGCCAAAGCGTTATTATCGAAGGCGAGAAGTTTGCGCCGGAGGCGGGATAACCGAAGAACCTCCCTGCCGTCCTCACTCCGTCAAGCGACTAGCGTGGCATTCGATCATCCGTGGAAAAAAGGGGGTTCGAAAGACAACCTACATTGCCGGGAGTGAAGATGCATCCGTCGCCAATCTCCTTGGCCACGCTCTCCCCCTTGGAGGTGGGCAGGTCAAAGATGGCCACCCGGGCCCCCTGGCGGACCAGCCTGGCGGCAGTCGCCTTGCCCAGGCCAGAAGCCCCGCCGGTCACCAGGGCAACCAGGCCCTGCAGGGACCATTCGCTCGCTCAAAATGCAATCGAAAATACGGAAGACAGTCCGAGAGTGAAACTGTTTGCTTTTTAGATATGTTGATAGATTGATTTATTCATTTTAGTGCCTGCCAACAGCTCAGTGGCCTGGGCAGCAATGCACTGTCCTTTAAAAACACAAAAAAATAAATAAATGAAAGTGGAAGGTGCAATGTCTTTGTTAGTCAGGGGCTTCAGGGTGTTCCATGCATGCTTGCACGAATTTGTACATCATTCTGCCGGATGTGCTCCTGGTCATGGCCAAGGCTTACCATAAGACTTCGGAGGCATGTCACAGGGAAAGTAAAAGGGACCCTCCTCCTTCCTAATATTTGCAAAAGCTGACCTAGGAACATGTATAAACATGCACGTAAAAATATTATCAAAATTTGTATTCTATGGGGATTATAAATTATATTTACAAATGCAAAATATCTGAGCAGCAGATGGAAGGGCAAGCAGCATATTGGAACTTCAAAAACAACTCGGATTTCGACGGAAGGAAAAAAATCCTAGCACATTTACGCTATCACGTAATGTGTCGTAGTGGCAGCAGCTCGGTGCTCGCATAATTCGCTATCATTGTGGTGTCGTATCCTCTCTACAGCCTTCCAAGTACAATCCTGAGGATTTTCACGCCATTTTCGTTTCTGCTCTCAACTCCACTCCCGTGCCAGATCTGTACTCTGTCTACAGCGAGCCTCCTCAGCATGCCGTAACTAAAAGACGCCTTCTGCGAATCCTCAACAAACTTTTCGAGGTCTAGCCATAGGGCTTGCAAGCTTGTCTGCTCGAATGGTCATCCGTACAGGCCAGTGCAATGGCGCGTCAGCTAAAGCCGACATCCCGTTGTTAGTTTTGTTATTCTGTCGAAGTGAAAATGTTAAGGTGCCCAAACTTTTTTTTTTTTTTTTTATAAGCTTGACTTTGAAGGTTGGTAGGGCAAGAGAAAAAAAAAAAACATTTCTGCCTGACGGGTTGGAACCTTTTCAAAATTCAGTCTGCTCACTTCACTTGCTACCATCATTGGAGTGTTAGGCACTTGTGAGAACATGCTATACCTCATTATAGCTAGTCAGCATATATTCATAGTACTTTGTTCTGTAGCACTGAAAGCGGGTGTAGAAAAAAATGGTCCTGAAACAACTGGTCCAAAGTGCAAAGTAGAAAAAAAGAAGATCCCACAATCGCAGTAAAAATAAAGTGCAGCAGGGTGAGTTCATTGAATGAAAATATAAGCTCCCTCAAGAAGAAAGAAAACAAAAAACTGAAGACTGTTTTTTTTCTATGAATGAATCCATGCTGAGCCTTTTCGTGCAAAATCATCAACTGGCATATTGGGCCATTGTGGCATTTTTGAAGAATGCAGAAAAGGTGTAATAGGAAGCAAGCAAAATTTGTTTAGATATCCTCTTCTGTTTTGCAAAAGAAACGGTAGTGACCCAAAAATCATTTGTTGTTTACACACGATTGAAGTATACAAAATGTAGATTTTTGTTTCTATACTCCTTTACTAAATGCACCAAGCATTCCATACTTTTACTAGACAAATACACCACCTTATACTTGTGTACCTATTTACACCGAAATATGTTTAGAAAGTTGATTTGGCGCTCAACTTAAGAGCCTGGCCGCCTTCAGATTCTTCTTGTATATTTCGTGTGCTTGCTTCATTTTGATTCAATAAATGTTTATCTAATGGATAAACATTTGAGACCTGCTATTCTGAAACAAGTGAATGAGGTCTTTAAAATGTTACTTTAATAAGTGTTGCGGGGACAAATAAGCAGCTGCGGTGAAAGTGCCAAGTAATTTTCTTTTATTTAATAATTTAAAACATTGTTGAGAAAGAAGTTCTTACTCAATAAGGAGTCTCAAAGTTCTAGGTTTCGAATATCTTCTGATAAAAGTCAGCTCTCTTCTCCATTCTTATTTTTCGTCGGGAGCCATCTACAGCTTGCATGTATTCCTTCTCCACAGAGGCAGGCAGAAATGCTGTGTTTGACTGCACGAGCACATACATAATTGATGAGGATTTCAATTGTTTAAATCCATCGAGGGGAGAGCGAAAGCTATCGCCAGGTGCGGGGACCACCAAAGCGATTTGGCGGTCCGCATAAAGCTATCAGACGCTAGCTGTTTCAAAGAGACCGACAACTAGAGGCTTGCACGGGGCGATATTTGGAAGCCCGGCCCAGCCCACGACACCAATTTCCACGCGCCCGCTGAGGCCCGCTCTATTTTTGCTATGACAGCTCGCTCGCCACTGCTACACATATTGACTACGGTACTGATAGTCAATGTAGTAAGCATATTGTTTAATTTTTTTTGGTGCTATTATTAGTCAGACAAATCTGCAGGCCCATAGTCGGTGTCAGGTGTAGTGGAAGCTCCTCCCACCTCTCCCCCGTTTGGCAGAGTTCTGGAGAGGAGGCGACCTCCTCTCCAGCGTTCGCTCTGCTGAAGTGGAAATAGGTGGGAGGAGCTTGCACCTCACTCTTAACCTGCCACCAACTATAAGCAACTCGGTAAAAAAAAAAGATACAAAAAAATACCGGATAGATATTTTTTTTTTTTTCAACCGTACTGAAAAAGACAGAAAAATGAAAATGGCAAGCAACAGTGAACAAAACCATGTGCCAATGTTGAAAAGGAAGGAAAATGTTGCGGCAGGATCAAACTTGTAACAAAAGATCGGCAAAGTTCTAAATCGGCCACACCCGCCGTGTACAACCGAAAAAATGTGTAAAAAAATACCACCGCCTTTGCGATGGTCTGCGAGAAATTGTTAAGGGAAAGCAGCCCTACGGAGAACCTCATCACCCATATTGTGGATGCACCCACTTGTTCGTACAGATGGTGTACTCCTTCGAGGGTGCACATTCTGCAGAGGCACATGTGTGCATGTTAGTGGGGAGAAGCGAGAGTATGGCGCCGGGTGGCCGACAACAAAATAAGAATACAAAAAAAAAGGGACGACGAAATTTTTTTTTTTTTTCTCTCTCTCTTTGTTTTAAAAATTAATGCCACGCCACTGGCACTGCTCAGCATTCAGTACACACATTCCGAACCGTGCAAATACATGCACATGCTTTCAGCATTTGGGTCTCCCCCACTGTGGTCTCTCCCCTAACCCTTTCGAACAAACCTATATAAACATTGCTGCTGCTAAAAAAAATATAATGATTTGCTTGGGCTGCCTTGGACTGTCTTGTAGATTTGAATGCAAGGCCCTGAGAAAGAGGGGGGGCAGTTTCACCGCTGCTAGCTCCCTTAACTTAAATAAATTGTGTGTCACTGTGTCCACAGTGCATGTTCGCGTCGCAAACCGGCATGCACTTTAGAAGTCGTAAAAAGTGGGGACTTTTAGGACGTGTGTGGGTATAATGAGAGATCCAGCTTCATGCAGTCGGGCTATCCTGCAACAAAGATGCCACCTGTGAATTGGACGTTGCTTTGAAAGCAAAAGACCACCCGGCAAACATAGTAATAGTAGCTCTTCTTTCGTCAAAGGCAAGCTCGGAGACTGGCTCGTAGACACATCTGGGGCCCTAATCTGGACACTTGGCGGAAAAGTTGGCGAGAAATCTGGCGGCTATGATTGGCTGGCGCCAAGGTCAAGCGCGGCGTCGGCCAATCACGGATGCCAGATTTCTCGCCGGCTTTCTCGCCAAATGTCCAGATTAGGGCCCCTGGAGTGTCGTTCGTCTCAAACTTTGGCAACAAATAAAAAAAACAATCCGTTTTGAAAAGGCAGTTTTTTCCAGCTAGAAAGGGTAGTGGCCCATTGAAGTTGCACAAAGCGGGGGTGGCTATAATCGGGTAGAACAAAAAGGGTGTCTTCTCGATGTTTGACGCTTGATGCTTGATGTTTAATCGCAAGCTACAGCTCGGGGAGAAATAAATAAAAAAAATTTGCATAGCTTTCCTAACCCCTCCCCTCCCCTTTCCCCCCCCCCCCCCCCCCCCTCCCCCTTCCCTCCCCCCCCCCCCCCCCCCCAACCCCAGGCATAAATCCTGGGTATATATTATATATATATATATGTATATATAGGTATATATTGGTTTTCTGTTTTTTCTTTTAGTAGCATTCTCTTTTTTCCATTTTAGGTTTCTGGTGTCCATGGTAATGCGTGTGCATGCTTGTCACCATCTGAGAGGAACGGAGGATGGCATCACGATGGGCGATGAATATTTCTATAATTTTTGGCTCCTAGATAATGTTGCGAACCTACGTGGAGTGCAAGTTCGTCTGCTTCTTTTGCTGGGGTTGCGGTCTGTTGAGAACGCCGAGCTCTGATTGGCTCTGATTGAAGAATAGTGGGTAGACCTCAAGGCAGCTTGCTTTGAGGTCTACCCACTATTCTTCAATCAGAGCCAATCGGAGCTTGGCATTCTGTTGTCACCACAACCCCTGCAAAAGGAGCAGATGAACTTGCGCTTTGAATATTATATACAGCATGTAAGTTAACGCTTCTAAGGCACTTTAGACGGCCCGCAAAAGTTCATTTCTTAATGTATCGCACTGCTATTTACTACGGAGGTGTAGCCAAGTGGTGGAACAATAGGGTGAAAATATTAGGGAAAATCCTTTTTCGGACTATCTGCCGCGGCGTTCGCAGATTACGTCATGACCGGCTCGCCTACATAGCAGAAGCTCCTGCTGACAAAGGTCGGAAGTGTTGAGCGTGCCGGTGCCAAGCTTAGCAGACAATCTTCTAAAACTTTTCACAATGCCGGCGTGTGTCTCTTTAATGTTAAATTCTAATTGTGTGATACTTTATTCATTAAAGGAGCAATGCAACGGTTTTAATGTTGAAAGGATTGCCAGTTTGCATTTTTTATATTGTTTATACAAGCCGAAGTGACCAAAAACATGTCACCTTTCCCCGAAAAACTGCTATTCTGCTGCGTAATCAAAAAGCAAAAAACAAATTATTCGCCGATCTGCAGCCGCCTGTGGCGGCTACGGGAACTAAAATGACGGCGTGCCTGGGGGTACGCGGAAGTCAACAAAAACTCTCCCCCTCCGCTGCTACACTCGCCGACAGCCCCGTAGCGAACCGTCCTTTGAATCCATCGCTCGCCGCGACCTTCGACGAGGCGAATCCTTTGAAAGTCGACATTCGCGGAGGAAGCGGCTGGGGTCTCTGAAGAGAGAGCCCAAGGGGGAACCACGTGAACCCCCAGAGTATACGTCACTCGAAAGTCGGCGTGGAGAGTTGAGAGGCACTTCGACCTTCGATTTGTTTCATTTTTTTAAAATAAGAACTAGCGCTCGGAAGAAAATGCGGTTTTCTATGTTTCGTTCCATAGGTGACGCAGATTAATTTCCGCAGTTAATTGGCCAAAGTCCGAAAATCGTGGCACCGCACCTTGAACTTAATAAGAAAAAGGGATTTAAATCTCTCATGGCTCCCTATTTTTGGTAGAGATAATTGGCTGAGGCGCTGCGCATTATTCTCGTGTCTCACACTGTGCCATCTGTCGGCAGCACATAACAATTCTAGGCAACCCCGGTCATGATATTGTCTCCAAATGCCGCAGCAGATAGCACAAACGAGGCTTTTTTTTTTCTTTCTTTTTCTGAGCGAGGTAAGCTCATTTGGTGATATTTTCACTCCATGCTTCCACATATGGTAGCACCTGTGTAGTAAATCGCAGCGCGATACGTTGAGAAACCAATTTCTGCGGACCATCGAAAGTGGGTTAGAAGGTTAGAAATGTCATAGCTTACATGCAGTAGTTGAACATTGTCTGGGAGACTGCTAAAATTCAATCATAAAAAAATTTCCATTGCTGCCCTTGCTCTTTTTAAGTTTTAAGGCAACACCTACATAGCATGAAGAAATTCAACTGACATTTCCTTTATGTTTAAGTAGCATGATTGTAAATCGAGAAATAAAAATCAGATCGGCAGAAATTGTTAGTTGTTCAATCGAGGAAAAAGAAGAGAATAAGAGGAGGCGGTATTCATCATCAATTCTAATGCTTAAAGAAGTACATGTAGCCTATAACACCTATCAATCCTTTGCATTATGCCCGAGATAAGTAATGGTGATGAAACAATGCATTACACTGCACAGCAAAGTGAACGCCACTGCATGCTTTTTTCCAGGTGGAAAAGCATTTGTGCGACGAGGTCGTACGATGCGCAAAGAGTAAAGCTACCGTAGAATACCGCGCATCCGCCCATTCCACATTAAGTGCCCATTACCAAATTTGTGAGATCTGAGAAAATATGCACAGTACATTTATATGTAAAACTGATGACCGGAAAAGCGCTCATCCCCCGTTTTTTTGCGATTATCTCCAAAGTTTGAGTGGGCGCTTGCCCGGTATTTTACGGTATATGCACTATGTCGTGCACCTTGACCGGAAATGGCTATACACAGAACAAGAAACTCATATAAAACGGATGTTTCCGAGTTTCCGAAGCGGTGTCATAACATAGTGGTAGGTAAGGTCAATTTCTGCTCCATACGCAGCGGACCCCGGTTCGATCCCCAGTGTGGGCTTACTTTTTTTTAGCATTTGGCTATATTTACAACATTTCTCTTTTACAATTACCACTGAAAAAAGGGGATAAAAAATAATTTTATCGACCATAGAGTTATTATAATGTACGCTAGAGGTTCAACTGGCGCTAGTGTCTATGCGACTTCCGTGACGCAGATTGAAGCAGACAGCAACCAGTCTACTTTTGCGGTGCTCCTGTGCATTCCTATGGGAAAACGCGCGTGCATTTTGCCTCTTCGCCGGAAAATAACACGGAACACTTTGGTTATTTGGGTCGTACCGAATAGTAGGTACCTTGATTAACACTGTAAAAGTGTAATTGCTTTAGTTAGCGCATTTTTCTTCATCAGTGACCGATGTTTAACTTCGCTACATTTCAGTCCCAAACGTGTGTTCCGCAGCAGGTGTGTAAAAACAAGCGACGATTCGTAGCAAAGTTACAATCGAAAGGAGTGTAGAGTGTATTCAAGGCTCGCCAGCATTCCGGTGACGCTTATATATTGATAATACGCCAGTCCTGTCACTACATAAAAATGACCCCGTCGTGCATGAGCGGATAAAATCCTTCAAAACGTAGAGAATAAAGTCCGTGGGCTATAAAAGGTGTTTCTTCGTATTGTTCTCTCTGCCGGGCAGCTTTTATCGGGCACTTGTTCTCAAAGATTTTGAGCATGCGAGTGATATTTTGAACGTAGAACAAGCAGCTTCGTTCAGGGCAGAAAGAATAAAGCGGCACCACAGGCCTCAGGTATGGGCCAATGGTCTTTCTGTGGTGCCGCAACCCTCCAGGGTTGAATAAAGATATTATTATTATTATATTATTACTTATTTAAAATAGGAATAGATCATGTGGCCTTCAATTTATTTTGATCGTATATGCACGTGTATTTACTGATCCAGTGTCACTGCGTAGTTCTTGCCGTCTTTCTTAATTTCCAGATGTTCTTCGTTCGTTTGGCACGTATATCCCCCACGCTGAAAAGCGCTGATGTCGTGTTCACGCTAACAGTGTCCGACGGTGCACGTACGAAGCCGTTTTAGCACCGTTTTTAATGCGATGAATTTGAAAGAAAAACACCGTAACTGACCAATTATTTCGTCGGCCTGACTGAGAAATGTTCCAAGCTACCTAGTACGTACAAATTATTCGGGATATTTGCTCTTATGATCGAGCGCAGAGAGAAAATGCACTCACTTTTTCCCACAGAAATGCATTACCGGAAGTCAATTTTCGACTGGTTGCTGTCTGCTTCAATTTGCGTCAGCACACTAGCGCCACTTGAACCTCTAGCGTACATTATAATAACTCTATGTTATCGACGAAACTATGCTGAATTAAATGGCATGGGCCTCTTTCGGAGGTGCAATCGGCGACAGGGGGCATGGGTCGCCGGCTGGACGCCGGGAAGGCAAGGGGGCCAATCAGGCGGGGGGCTGGCTCCACAGTGACACACGCTCCACAGTGATACGCGCACCGACCGAAAAGGGTGACCCAAATGGTGTGAGCTCTCCGCGTCGTGCGTATAACCATTTCCGGTCGACTCACTACGTCGTTTGGCACGACGTAGTGAGTAACTTTTCGTTCAGATGAAGTGCTCTTGTGTCCTTGAATACGCAATTCCGGCAGAGTCCACTACATACACACACGAAAGATTGCAGCAACAGAAGCAAACGTAATTTGTTTCATTACATACTTTTTTTTTTCTCTCTAAGTTTGTAATGAATGCGACAACGCGCGCCGAAGGCGACGAGGAGTCCTCAGCATGCCTGCCGAAGTCAAGCATGCCGAAGCTCGCGAGCACGAGCTCGCGCTCTCGTGCTTGCGAGCTCGAGAAGATGATCGGACCGGACTGCTGTCTTTCACTATGTACTGTTCCGAACCTGACCTGTAAATAAATTTACATAAACAAGTGTAAGATTTTTTTTTTTTTTTTAATGAAATTAGCTTTGGCCGATGTTGTAATCGTGTAACCACGCTACCTGTTAGTTTCAGAGTCGCTTTTTGAGTAGGCTGCGCGATATCGCTGTACTTAAGGCACTCATTTGAGCGAGATAACTCTTCTAAAAAAAAAAAAAAAAAAAAACGAATAAACATCAAATTTAGTACGTCGATAATACCTTCACAGATTGAATTGCTCCAGACATGTCCTCTAGCCAAGGCCTCTAGCAGACGGATGAAGTGAACGTGTGGATCACGTGGTGTGGATGAACTTGTGAATGAATGGAGAAACGAAGAAAGTTAAATAAATCGCCAGACATACAAAAGTTTTTTTTTTTTTCAAATATGGGCCCTGACTAGCGCTACCTGGCCGTGGTCACTTACACTAGAAGGTTTTTGGCTCACTTGAATTACTACAGCAGCAGGGAAAGGCGATTTTATGTTAACATTTCGGCCGTCTGGGTGCTTGGTGAAAAAAGAAAGAAAATCTCAAAATCTTTTATACATTTCCACGGGGCCCACGCCGTCGCTAAATGAAAACGGCAGTGCAAAGCGGTTCGGCGTTCGGCTGCACTGCAATACTGCTGAGTGAGGCAGTGAAGACTCCCTTGTACGAGCTCGGGAGCTCCCGCTCCAATGTGCAGGCGTTCGGGAAGGTTGAACTGGACGGCCGACAATAGTGTTAATCGATTCAAAAATATTTTATTTTTCTTTGGAATTCAGCAAGTCTAGATTCGGGAGCTTAGCTTACAAGGTTCAGATCTGCCGATGTATGAATAACCTTCTGTGCTGTAGGTGTTTGAGCTAAAAAATAATTATTACACTCAGTTGCTCTAATATTCCCCATGGCAGTCAAAGGTCTTGTAAAAAAACAAACTGCATTTACTTTTTTTCATTTCTGCTGTTTGGTTGCCACCTAAGCCTCTACAGCAATGTAGAGCTTATCTAGATTGATATTAAAAAAAAAAAAAAGTACAATTAGAACTTAATAGTTATCCGAATAAGGCGTATAACTATGAAACATAAACTCAGTGGCAAAAAATTCCTTGAACAAAAAGACGAAATATTTACATTTGCCACCTCTAATTTAGCATGATCCCATCCACCGCTGTTACCATTTTCATCCTCAGCCCAGATTATTCAGTGAACGAGATGTTGGCCCGATTCAGTCAGTGTCAACGCCCAAATCACATAATTTATCTACCGAAAGCTTTTGGAAAACAAGCATTCTATTCACGCAAGGTCACATAACCAAATAAATGATAGTGGTACAGTAAAACTCTTAATTTCTACCAGGGTCTAATGATGGCACTATTTAAACAATCATAAAATATGTTAGAACTTATAGGCACTCAACAATTCTGACCACAAATAGGCGTGCACTCTAGGCTCATCTCAACACGTAAGGTCTGTATACCGAAAATTCCCCAGCACGCCTCTTTCTCAAAATAACAGGGGCCCGACACTAAGTAATTTTACTGTGTTCATCAAGGAAATCTGCAGAAAAGAATGCTAGCAGTCCAGGCAGACAAAACACTGTTTATTCCACGCCCCAACAGTGGTCACTTCAGACATGCCCTTTGCTACTTGTACTGCGGCAGGTGCTGCTTGATAATGGACTTGGCGAGATCTGCATGCCCTTGCTGCAGCTGAACATAGATGGCGAGCATGAGTGCCTGCACCGGAATCTCAGGGTCCTGCCCCTTACTGGCGCTCACCAACCGCAAGGTCTCGGTGGCCTTGCTCAAACCGCCTCGAAGCGTGTACGCCACGGCCAGGTTGTACAAACTGATGACTCTGGCGGTAGAAGTGGACGCCGGGTACCACGGTTTCCGGTACGCCTTGTCTTCAGCCTCCGGGGTTGCCGGCTTGCTGCCATCCTTGTTATTCCCGCTGTCGTCTGCTTCGCCCGGGAACCCGTACGAGAGGTCCGTCACGAGGTCGGGGTTCAGGTGCTCTACTGCGTCTGGAACCCGGTCCAGGAGCAGAAGTGCCTCGGCCGCGTAGAGGTGCCCCAGAAAACTGTGGATGCCAGATATCCTCGGCTGCGAGAGCAGGCTTTCCGCGTGTTCCAGCGCTATTACTACGTCATTCAGACACAGGGCAACATACGCGGCAAGCGCAAGCGCAGAGTTCCTCAGGGCCGCCACTTCGTCTAAGACGTGCGGCGGAGTCTGGACAGAACCTGCGGCTCCTCCGTTTCCCGGTTGTGCGGCGTCATCGCCACCGGCAACGCCGGTGGAGCTGCCGGTTTCTGGAGCGGCCGTCTCGGGCAGAAGTAATAGGGCGTTCTTCAAGCAAAGCGTGGCGAACTCGAGCGTTGGCACGGGTATCGCGGCAGAATGGTCCGATCCCACAGGCACGTACCGGTCAGTAGAAATGGAGGGCGCCAGCACGATCTTGCGGTACGGTCCGGAGCCAACCGTGCCGCGGACCATGTTCAGCTTGCGCTCCTTGAGCTGAAAGTCTACCGCGTTGTCCGACTTGTGACGGTACACGCAGCACTCGGCGATCCGGAGCCAGAGCCGCGCGTTGGTTGGCTGGAACCGGACCGCCTCCACCAGGCAGTCGAAGGCAGCCACGTACCTGCCCGCGTGCAGGTTCTGCACGCCCAGGTTGTACACGAGCTCGTAATACATTCGGTTGTCGAAGACGCCGGCCTTGGCGCCCTCGTGGTACGCCCGGAGCGCCTTGTCGAAGCTGAAGCTGCCCAGGTGCGGCTTGCCCGTGTAGAAGTGCACGCAACCGACGTTGTTGTGGTACATGGCCGTGACCTTGGGGTCCCCCTGCAGCTGCGCCGTGCACAGCACCTTCACGGCCTTGCGGTAGTTGCCACGCATGAACTCGAGCTGGCTCCGCAGGAACACCGTCTGGCTGGTCGGGGCTCCCGAGTTTACAAGGCTCTTGATCTCACGCTTGCTCGCCTTGGTCGAGCGCAGCAGCATAAAGCAACGCGTCTTGTACTGCTGCAGACGCGTCCAGTGGGCGCCCAGCTTGGCCGGCTCCCGGGGCTCCTCGTCCTTCTCCAAGGGCGACGCAGTTTCCCCGGCGGCGGCGGCGGCGGCCCTGCTGCCGAACACCAGGCTCTCGGCGTACGCGATCAGGCCGAGCACCTTCTCGGGCTGCTTGAGGCACAGGCACAGCTCGATATAGAGGAAGCAGATCTTGCGAGTCACCGACTCGTCGAGCGGCTCGATGAACTGGAACAGTCGGTCGAGGATGGCGACGGCCTTGCGGTACTGCTGCGCGTGGTACAGGGACACGGCGTGGTTAAAGAAGGGCACACACTGGTCCACGTCGTCTAGGCTGTCCGGGCTTGCCAGGTTCACGTGCAGCAGGGAGGCGACCTCGGTCATATCCTGGGCCAGCTCCTCGCTGTTCTTCTTGCCGGAGGCGTAGAAGCGGGCGATCGCTCGGTTGTGCGCCACCTTGCCATCCGTCGGGCGAAGGGCCCTCAGCTTGTCTAGGGCTTCGATGCAGGAGGCGTACCTGCCCGCATTGAACTCGGCTGTGGCCGTGGCTGCCAGCTGTTTCTCTTGCTCGGACACGACCACGGCTGAAGGGGCGGCCGTCGGGGCGCTTTCCACCGGCTTGCCGCCGTCCCCGTTCGCCTCTTTGTCGGACATGGTAGAACGATAAGCGTGTTAAGCGTTCTCGGGAACGTACCCGGTCTTTAGTTTTTCGCGCGTTAGGCGACAACAGTAGGCGTTAGTAGAAGTTCTTCGCGAACACACGCGACAACCCAACACCCGCCTACGAACACGACGACGCGTATGTTTACAATGTAATGGTTGGCTGGATTTTGTTGGCTATTCCTGGCTGTTGTATTTGCGGCGGAGGTCGATGCAACCGAGGCCAACCGAGGCAGCAGGGGGGGTAAAGGTGGGTGAGGAGGAGTGACAAATCCCGTGCGCCGACACCCGGGGTCCCGAGTGAACGATCGCAAAAGAGAGCGACAGAACACGAGAGAAAGAAAACAACGTTGCCGTGGTAAACGCGAAGAGTGAAAACTCTCAGCAATATAAACAGTGATAATTTAACGTTGTAAACTAAATTCTGAGCTATTCTAACGCTTATAAAAAGCAATAAAGTCATTACGCTGCATTAACTTCCCTTCTGTCGAAATCTCGGAAATCTGGTGATTGCGCAGTTTCGTATTCCTCAACCGCGCCCAGCCGCGCCCCACCGGCGAAGCCGGGTATATGGTTTAGTTTAGCGTTAACGCGAGGCCGTACATCTGCGCGCTTTTCAAAAAGAAAGCTTTGAAAGGAACGTGAATATTTTTGCACCGGTAAGTTCGTGAATTGTTGAAGTTCACGAAACTGCTCTGATGATGTAACCATGTTTGGGACCCCGAGGGTCTGCCTGCATGATACGCCGCTGGTGGCAGCCAGAATGTATGGGAAAATGGCGAACCTTTTCCTCTAGAGTTAGTATGTATGATCTTTATGCCTTGGACGTGCTCCCCGTTCCAGTCAAACTTTACCGTAAACTGTTTGCTGGAATCTTATAATTTATATTAATAATATTAATAAAATTACAATTAAAAAATTCAAATACCTAAACTAAAAGGTCAGTTTTCCTAAATTTTCCTTAGGTGTTAGTTTCAATCCGATCCGTAGCCTCACGTAGCCTCTTTCAGTTTCCTTGACGGTGAGTCTGGTGAGTCTACGCTGTTTACGATTGAGAAGTTTGTAGTGCGGAAGATCTTTCGGCCCACCACTCCCTCGTCGCCCTCGGTCAGTATAAACGTTCGTTTTCAGCTTCTACCGCCTTCCAGTCATGTCCGTGGTGTCGACGTTGAGTCGGGGCCCCCATTAAATGTTGCGGCTCAAGGAAAGCACCAGCAAGGCCGGCTACCTGCGCCTCGCCATGGACTCCCAGCCCCGCGCTGCTGACCGCGACACGAGCAGCTGCAGCGATGTGCCCGCGGCGCCCACCGTCGTCTCGTCGTCGGCTCCAGCCGCCACCCTGCTGGCTCCGCCGAGCGCCGGCGTGGCCAGCGCTGCGGGCACGGCGGGCAGCACGAGCAGCGACCCGTTCCCGCGCGGTGAGAGCGCTTTCGAGCTGTCCCGACAGCTGTCCAGCAAGTCCCCGCTGGCCAGGGTCATGTCGGAGACGTCCACGGAGGAGGCCAAGTCCATGCGCCCCAAGATGGAGTTCAAGTCGACCCCGAGGCGTGCGCCACGCAACGGAAAAGGTTGAGCCACCCCGTCGCTCATTAATGGAACGCTGTAAGGGGTGGTGCACGAAAGCACTTGATGTCAAAAGCCCCGCGGCAAACGCCCCGGCCTATTTGCCCCACTTTCAAAAGCCCCAGTTTCAGAAGCCCATGACGCGAATCCCCAATGTCAGGTGGTTGGGTCCTCAGCGGGAGGACGGATTAAGCTGCTTTTAACTCCTGTGTAACGATCATGCGTACCCGGGACTCAAGTAAGGATTGACGTAAAAGTGAGAACAAACAGAACATATCAGTCACCGGCAAAACATTTGAAGTTGCAGTTTTTATGAATAAGCAGTGAACCAAAGCATTTAACCAGAGACATAGAAACAATAAAATTAAAAAAACAAAAGACAGAACAACAAAGTCTGTTTTCTTTTTTTTTTTTTATTATTGTTCTTACGTCTCAGGGTTACTATGGATGTCATTCACCAGCTCGCCTGCGTTTTTTACCTTTCTGAACCAAAGCATTCGTCGACTTTAAAGAAAGCGCGGATTCACAGTTCCAACGGTTCTGTCAGAACTTAAACCCGCAGCTCATGGCGCCATACTTATTACGTATATATAGCACCAAACGCCAGTTCCATTCTTACGTTGTTCTAAAAAAAATGTGTATTCATCTAGATCAGGGGTGGCCAGGCTGACCTGGCCTAACAGCCGCAAGCAAAACCACGAAACTTCCAAGAGCCACAGCGGGGGGCAAGCTTTCGTCTAGAGCAATAAACGAAACTCAAACAGCTTTCAATCTATACAAGTCAAAAGCAGTCCAACTGTACGTAAGGTAGCAGTAGCACAAGAATACCAAACCGCAACCTGTCTTTCGATTTTGAACGTGTTGCATTTCTCTTTTTGGGTAAGTGCTCGTGTGACCGGGAGAAAGGCGGGAAAGTGTGTGTGTGTGTGGGGGGGGAGGGGGGGCGTAGAGGAGGGAGCCGCGAGCCGCATTTTAACACGCGAAGAGTCGCTTGTGGCTTGGGAGCCGCAGCTTGGCCACCCCTGATCTAGATAAATATAGTCTATAATTTTATGGGTGCATCGCTGGTTATGAAGATTTATGCAATTGGCCACTTGTATGTCATTCTAAGCTTTTTGTGATTCGAGTTAACCTTACTCTGTTGCTTATTTTACTTAAAATAGCCTTTGTAGGCCCTCAACGGATCAGTTAAAGACATAGAACAATGCTGGGTGAAGTGCGAAGAGGGTGGGACGGGGGTCAGTAAGGACGGGGTTTTTAGCACGCGGGGAATACGGGACGGGGTAATTGAACGCGGGGTTTTCAAAATGGGGAGGTAATGACGCGGGGCTTTTGCGACGGGGATCGTGCTACACTCGCTGTAAGGGTGGACTACTAGGTGGACCAGCCAGCATATCACTACACACGCATTTGTAGAACAACATCAGTAGCGAGGTGCCGGAGAAAAAAAGGGGGAGGAGGTAGTTGACCCCCCCCCCCCCCCTTTCCCCCCTTTCACCTTCCCGGAAAAAGTTTCTAGCTACGCCACTAAACCACTTACAAGTGCTTGGAAGCAGTACTATCTAATTCATTGGATATCAAGAACTATCCAAACTCCATAGCAGTTTTTTTTATATATAAAGTTTTGAGAAGTATTTCCGGATCTGCTAGAAAAAGGTCAATGCAAAAATCGAGTGTGTGCAGGCGAGCTGGTGGATGTGATCATGATGCAGATTACCCGAGACTGTGGTGAGAGGGGAACTTGGTGGAAGAAAAATGACATTTTCAGAACAGCATTTTGGTAGTGTACGTAAAGCTCACTTCGTGAAAACTCGCCCTGAACACACGCTCATCAGAAAATTGGTAATGTTGGTGGTGAAACGGTGCTTAGAAATATTGCTTATAGGTGCACTTATGACATACCGTTCAATTGGCTGTGAGATTTTTTTAGAGCGCAGCTTTTAGGGACCCGTTCCCGGCTTGAGCGGCGTCGGCGTAACCAAGGTCATCCTAAGGTCACGCGACCCCCCAAGGTTATCTCAAGGTCACGTGACCCCCAAGGTTACCGCACGGTCACGTGACCCCCAAGGTCACGTGACTCCGCAAGTCACGTGACCCCCCCCCCCCCCCCCCCCCCCCCCCCCCCGAGGTCACGTGACCCCCCTTAGGGTCACGTGAACCCCTCCCCCGAGGTCAAGTGACCCCCCTCCCCCGAGGTCACGTGACCCCCCCCCCCCCCCCATGATGTCATTGTCACTGATGACGCCATCCGCATCGTCATCATCATCATCACTGATGACGTCACCGGCATCTGCATCGTCATCATCGCTGATGACGTCATCAGTGACATCACCTATGACGTCATCGGTATCCGCATCGTCATCGTCATCATCACCGATGGCGTCATCGGTATCCGCATCGTCATCGTCATCATCACCGATGGCGTCATCGGCATCCGCATCGTCATCGTCATCATCACTAATGACGTCATCGGTATCCGCATCGTTATCGTCACTGATGACGTCATCAGTGACGTCATCAGCATCATCACTTGACCCCCCAATGTCACGTGACGCACCCCCCAGTACCCTTCCCTTCTCCTCAAGAGCTGCGCTCAAATTCGGCGTTACAGGGAGTTGTAAACGGCTTTCACTTTTTGCACCGCTATAACTGCTTCTGTTTAACTGCTATAACTGCTTCTGGCACAAAGATGTCATACTCTTTGATAATTGCTCTTTTTTCTTCTGGATGGCATTTCGCCACAAAAAGGTCCAGCTACGAAGCCACTACATTAGCAGTCCTAGACTGCACTTTTTATAGTAATCTGCAGTGGGCACTTTGTTCAGTTGTTTCTTGACTCCACAGCATGCACAGAATGTCTTATGTTGGCTTGTTTTCATCCATGGCCTATGGTTCTTGGTTCCTCTCAACAACAGGCAGAGCACCATCCAGAAGTTATAGGACAAGTCGGGGAATCAAAAATCTCTCTATAATGCAAAAAATGTGCCTTGCATGCAACACCATTTCATTGCCATGCTCGCACCAGGGACAGTCAGTTCTAGTGGAGTCTTCGAAGTGACGATATCTGGTTGTAAATTGGAGGTGCTGTGGATATCAAGAACGACACATTGCATCTTGCGCTAAAGTGCAGAGAAGGGGAGACACTGTTTATTTTTACATGTTTGACTTTGTATAGACCTTTTCATTTTAGTAGTTGCCTCACCGGCGGATAGAGGGCGCTGACGCACTCGGCGCCATTAGGTTGCTTCAATTTGGTTGGTTTCGGTTTCAACGGGAACGCGGCTATGTTGCTGTTTTACGTTGTTTTTCGTGATAGTTCATTTTTCTTGTACCACACAACCAATAAAACGTTGGTATCGAGCCACTTTGAGGACTACGAGGTGTATTTTAGCCTAAATTGCGTAATTGTTTTTACCAACTGCTTTGATGTACCTGATTATGGACGGTTGGAAAACGCCTGACTGAGGCACAGGGAAGATTACCATCGTCTACGGCCGTATTCAATGGCACCAGTTTTCAGAAAAAACAAAGTGATGACGAAAATAACACGGGGATGTAAATAAGCATATCGACAGCTTGGTTAGCAGTGTGCTGAATCGGTCAGAACAGATGGACTCGCGAGTTTACTACTCACTGTTTGGTTTTCGAGGGCACCCAACCTTTAGTGAACTTCGCTGACTAAAAACGTATTGTATAATGACGCAGATAATTAATATAAACAAGTAATATCGTCTGGAACTCTTTTTTTTTTTTTAATTCAGTACTCGAGCATGTTTTGACAGGCCGAGTAGGGAACTTTTTAAACTCATAAGCAGCATCTCACGATATTGACCCTAGGAAATAAATTATTGTTATATGAACATCTGCTTACTTAAGATATAAGTGACAGGCCCGTCAAATTAAATCTGGCATTTGTCTTCCGAAAATCTGGCCAAATAAAATTAAAGGGCGCAGGAGGAGAAATACCTCGGAACGTTTTGCTGAATTCTAGCGCTAGGCACCACTTCACGGACCTGTGTGAACAAATATTTATTTGTTTGTGAACAGATTGGCTTTGTAAATTTCGGCGTCGCCAGCCACCAAAAGTAAACCTCCATTCGCCATCGGCAATCCTGGACTCAAGTGATTGTCTTGCAGACGGTTTTTTTTTTCTTCTTTTTTTCTTTTTAGGCGTCAAACATTGCGGATTCCAGATACTGGCAAAAAATAAAACAACGTACGCAAAAAAAAAAAAAAAAAAAAGAAGCCGTCGTCATTATTGTTTATGCGTCGAACACAAACCGTGTTTTGGATTTGCAAATAGAGACAAACGACGTTATTTCTTAGTGCACTTGTTTTCTAAAACTCGCTACTGTTAAGTGCCTGTGTCAGTTTCTTACGCGGGAAGTCCCAATCTTTGTGTTAATATAAATGAAGTGGACTGAACTGGTTATTTAAATATAATCAATAAATCACTTAAATGACAGTTGAAATGGGAGCGAGCACGGTATACAATTATTGAGAACCTCCTACACGTGTAGGTCCGATATTATGAACAAATAAATCGCCTGATGTTGACGTACCATTACTTCTATACTCTGTTTCATACTTAGCGTGCAACGCTGTGAAAGCTACTGGCGCGAGCGCGTGGCTTCATCTATGGTTTTGTTTGAGCGAGAACGCGTGCAAATGATCAACGAGATCAAGCCCCACGCTCACGCCAGTAGCTCTGACAGCGTTGCACGCTAAGTATGAAACAGAGTATAGCCTCAGATAAAATACAAGTTAAACGTTCGTTGTTCATCTTCTCCGCGAGTTTCCTCACATAATAAAACAAAATTGTTTTCAATATATTATGATTGCAAAGCGGATACTTTCGGGAAATACAGATAGTCTCCTTGCGCTGACTATTCTTGACGCCTTACGATCCTCAATGCGCGATATAAATATACGCGCTTCTTACTGAGAATGTTCCGCCACTATTAGTAAACAAACATCAGTTGTCACAAGGACATCTGAGCCCTCGAGATGTCTTAATCGTCGAGTAGACGTATCGGACTACAGTTTCCGAGGTAAGGCAAGAAAGAGCGGCGAAATGCGACGAAAAACACGAATACAACCCGTCCTCCAAGGCGCAGAGGAGAGAGCGGAGTAGCAACTTGAAGCAACCTAATGGCTGCCGCGTCACGTGATTTCAAGATGGCAGCGCCCATGCTGAGGAGGGTGAAAAGGTCTATAGTAGGTCATGAAGACACAGGTTTTATACATGGATTTCAGAAAAAATTGTAATGCCAGCCTTGACTCATAAATATTTCTGAGGTTTCGCTGTCACTGAGCATGCACTAATTTTAAACAAGTTGTCATCGCTTCGCTGAAGCAACTGTGATTTTCGTGTCTGTCGAAGCTTTGCGACACTTCTGAGCATTCACTTTTGCCAATCGCTTGAACTAAAAAAGCTTTGCTCCCACATTGACGGCAGCAAAACGTTATCCTTAGAAGTATTTTTTAGTGCAAAAACCCACAAGCCTGACTGCCCCCTAAGAGTCATCGTGTCAGAGCAGGGAACGTGGCCAAAATCAGTTGCCTTATCCCTACAAGAGAGACTAAATCTTTTAACCGTAGACGACCCCTACCTAATCCGAAGTTCCTTCGAAGTCTTCAACTTCCTAGAAGAACGAAAACACCAAGAGATGCAAGTTTTTTCAATTGACTTTAAGGACCTCTATGATGCATTGCCCCAAGACCGGCTCTTAACAAGTATTGAAGACAGCATTGACACCTTTGGTGCTATTGCATTTCAGAATGCCTCGGGCATGCCCCAAAATAAGTTTTTGGAATTGCTTGCCATCTATTTTAAATCCACCTTTGCTGCCTGGGATGGACACACTTACTTGCAAAAGAGAGGAGTGTGCATAGGTTCGTGCATTGCACCTATACTCAGCAACCTATATCTTGCACATCTCGATAGGATCCTACAACAGAGGTTAGATGACACCAAAGTAGTGCGCTTGTTTCGATACGTGGACGATTTTCTAATTTTTTTAGCCACCGACGAAAACAATTGCTCAAGCTTGGTGGACAACGTCCTCTCGGAATTTAAAGACTGTATGAGTCCCCTAGAAATCACACATGAGTCGCCGGTTGAAGGATCCATAAGATTCTTAAATCTCTGACTGTTGGTGCTACCTCACCACGTCTGCTGGTTTTATGAACCCAGGGGTAAAAAACCACTTCTCCCTTTCAACTGCGCGCACTCGAAACTCATGAAAAGAGGCATAGTACAATCATGCCTTAAGAGCTCAATCGTAAAGTCGTGCTCACATTCCATACAAAAGAGTTTCGACGAGCAAATTGCAAGACTGAAGTCCGCAGGGTACCCTGTGTTGTTATTGGTGTCAGTGGTCGAAACTATTCTTAAAGAAATGAAGCAAGAGAACTGTGTCAAACAAACACACCGGGACAGGACAAGAAGACCAGTCATCGTCCCTTACATCCACAATTTTTTCCACGGCCTTAAGGAAACAGCGAACAGAGTCAATGTTGATATTGTGTTTTCAGCACCCACCAAACTGTCCAGCCTTTGCAAAAACGTCACCACACCCTCAAATCCTGCAATCCGCTGCTCTGAGAAGCATAGGACCAACTTTGTGCCTTGCGTTGAGGGGTTGTCTATTCCCCCTTTCCTGTGGCAGACAATACGTTGGACCAACTGGGCGATGTCTAGATGACCGCCTTCGAGAACACTCCAACAACATTGTAAACGCCAACTCTGGCCACTAAGGGATACACTGCCGGGATTGGGGGTGTGTCGCACATTTCTACAACAGCACCGTGTTGGGCAAAAGTGAAAACCAATTAACAAGGGAAATCATCGAAGCCGAGAACATCATACGCCTAGAGGACAAATGTGTTTGTACGCCGTCGATAACATTATCACGAAAAGAGATTAATTATTTAGCCTTAAATTAGCCTAAGCGTTAGCCGGGAAGTGTTTTACTCATATGTCGTCTTTTTCTATTTGCAAATCGTCTAAAATCTGAAGAAGTAGAAGCCGAAGTAAAACACGCAGTACAAAGTTGTTAGTGAGTGCTGTGTGAGAGGTGTGTTCTCTGGGTTAATGAATGCTTGAGTGGCAGTTTTTCGAGTGCGCTAATTGTCGACAAACATAGAAAACATATTTCCTGACAAAGCAATTAGGTTATTTCACCAGCCACTGAACGTAAACCAACCTAAACATGCTTGGAATTGTATTTGATAGATGGCAGCGCTTATAACCTCCATCAAAAACTGGCACGCGTTCCACAGAATGCGTTCTCCGTTCAAAAAAAAGTGTCGCGCATCTTTTAGACGCACTCCCCATTTCGAGGCCATAATAGAGGTGGGTCTAAAGACGTGCTCCCCAGTTGAGGGGTTAAGCGAGTGAAGAAAAATGGACTGGTGGTTTATGGTGTTCAACTGGGTGACCAGCAGCTACAATATCTAGGATTGTTTCCACACCGAGAAAAAAAGGAAGTTTTGCGCTTTATTCATATGCTGTGCAAAGTAGTTCTTACAAGATTTGGTTGTCAAAAGAAGAAACAATACTTTTGGCATTTGGAACAAGTATGTCTTGATTATATGACATAAAACTAATCTAAGATGTGCTTACATATATCTTAATTTAACACATGAAAGGGAAAATTAGTAACGCTCTGCAAGGAATTCAACATTTTTACTACAGTTCTTGTGAGGAATACGAGTATAGTCGAGTTGGTCCTCTCATAAATGCTTGCATGTGCTTTTGAAGTGCTGCTGTTGTGAATGCTTTCTTTGTGCCGGTGAAGATGTCGTCAGCCGCGTGTGCCCTGTGCTGTGTAATTGCACTTTCTTAAAAGCTTCCTCCTAGCTTCTGGCATGGTGTAGAAAGAATCATTGCTTCTGAGATTTTAGTGGGCAGGAGGAGCACTAGATGATGCTAATTATAACATCCTGCATCCAAGCCATTGGCATTACAAAAGTTTTGTAAACCCTGCTAGATATTTTGTGCCTCTTGGAAGTTTCTGGATGTAGTGTATCAGGATAGAATTGTACTTGAGGGCAGCCAGTTATTGCAGATGTTTTTTTGAGCTAGCGGTAATGTAACTAAAAGGAGCTTCTGACCAGGGAAGTGGGGAAAGAGTTGATGAACACTCCAAACTGGTTTTTCGTGAAAGTGGAGCAAAGAAGTTGGAATGGCGAGGACAGTATACAGGAGGGGAAAAAATGGAATGGAGGATTGTTAAAGGGTTTGTGTAACCACTACCGCGTGACGCATGTTGAGGGCCGTAAGGCAGCTGTCGTGCTGCACGGGCCAAATTTCCTGTTTACAGCAGACATACAACACAAAATTTGAAAGCCACCTGACTTTTTGCCGTACAGAGCAACAAATTTGAATTTTCGCTCTGAGACGGTGTATTTTATGGCATCTGCTGTTTTCATTACATTTTGCAATAAGTTGTGCATTGAGCCAAAGGAAGGAACGAAATAGTTAAGGAAAGATACACTCAATCTATTCCTAAGATGTTGCACTTCCATGCCAAAATCTTGCGAGTTTCCACCGTTTGCTTCGTTTGTGTAAATGCATTAGGATGAGCACTCGCAGCCTCCCGCCCTGAGCTTTCACTCTCGTCTTCCTCCCTTCCCCTCTCCCCCATACCTCCACTGCACCGCCTCCCTCCATGCACCCGTGGCTACCCCCCGTGGACGTGCACGCACGTGCTGCGCCTGCACCTCTTGCCACCAGGGGGCCAGGGGGGCCTGCTGCACCCGCCCTCGGACGGGGAGCGTGGTGGGGCGCCCTGCGAGCAGCACTCCTTCCTCACAGACGTGACGGACGTGCGCCAGATGGAGCAGGGCCTGCTGCAACTGCTGCACGACTTCCACTCCGGGAAGCTGCAGGCCTTTGGTATGTTGCCCGACGGGATATCCCTCTGTCAGAGCCCTAAACTCTAACCAACAGAGAATAATCCTAAGGAAATTTCTGGGTACAGGAGTCCCTACCTATAGAGGAAACCCTAAGGACAAAAAATGCTGTTTGGACAGGGGCAACTATCAACAGGGAAAACTGTGGGAACAGGGAAAGCCCTGGGGACAGGGGTGCATATCAACAGGGAAACACTTGGGGATAGCTATACACTTTGGGCGCAGGGGTGTCCATTAAAAAGAAAATCTCTGGGAATAGCTGTACCTATCAACGTGGAAAGCTCTTGAGGATTGGGAAAACCCTCGGAAAAGGGGTGTGTATCAACAGGGGAACCTTGGGGATAGGGAAAGCCCTGGGGACAGGGCAGCCTATCAACAGGGAAAACCTTAGGGCCCGTTCACACTTGCGACTTGGGACAGTCGCTGGAGCGACCAGCAACAAGCGACTGGCAACCACCAGTGTTCACACCTGATTGAGCGTCCGACGAGTCGCCAGGCTCGCTGTCAACTTAACGGATAGTAATCAACACCCTTTCGAGCCGGCTGAAAGGCTTTTCTGATCAAAGGTGTCGGCAGGAAAAAACAAGAAAACGTAATGGTGCTTCGGAACGTAAAACAACGGCTATCTCCCTCAACCATGATATTGTACGTACCTGCCACGCCGAAAAATGTCGCCGATCTCGTTTTAGGCCTGCAGCTTTTTGCCCCGATCCTTGTGGTCGGGGTGCCGCTTATTGCAAAGAAACAAATAGTCTTTGACAGCATTAATAAGAGCTTCCGCAGACAACTCCATGCCGCCGTGCGCGCGTCGCTATTTCCCGCGGGAAGCAGTGCCGGATGTAAACAAACGCACACATCACTTCCGACGAGACTCTGATTGGCTCCGCCGTCCAGCGACTCGGTTTTGCGACTTGAGAAATCGGTCAGGGAGCGACTGCCCAAAATTGGTCGCTACCAACCTGTTTTTGTCGCTCCGCGACCAAAAACCAGTCGCTAGTCACTGGTCGCTCCAGCGACTGTCGCAAGTGTGAACGGGCCTTTAGAGTCGGGGAAAGCTTTGGGGACAGGAGTGCTTATCAATATGAGAGTGAGATGATGAAAACATGTCATTTAATGGGTGTATTCCTCTCTTGTCTAATGGCATTAGGGGAAGGGAAAAGACGAGAAGCGGTTGTAATATGGGAGCAGTACAGCTTGTTCCCAACAGCTTACAATAAGTTTGATGGTGTGAAATGAATGCTAAAAAAGTGCACGCCAGCAGGACAAAAAAAAAAAAGTACAAAATACTGTGTTTTTTAGACTGCTTGCTTGGCTTGCAAGTTATATGACATGTAACGTTGCTTAATTGGAATGTGCGGGAAAATTTAAACGTTGGTTTTGGCATAACCTTTATTTGCTCCTTTCTCAATAGCTATTGTGAGTTTAGTGATAATTAATAGCATGCCGAGAAGAGTAAGGACTGGGCATTCCGAAAATGTGTTTATAGATTGCATAGCTCAACTAACCTCTAGAGTGATAGCTGCCCTCGTAATGGCTGCGAGTGTATGGTTGTGGAAGTGATAAACCGTGAAACCGAGTGGCGCGCACACTTGACGAAGCTTGGGTCGAGGAATTGCCGAGCCCCGGACATTCTTCACCTATCAGATGCATTGATGTCAACAAACATGCCGTCGTTTGTGGTCCGCTTTCGGACAGTGAAATCGTGAAAGTGGTTAGGCCTAACAGTGGTTGCGTTGCTCTCCGTGCTGAGTGAGCTTCGTAGAGCGCTTTTCCTTCGGCAAAAGGCACGCCAAAAGCGCCCTAAAAGGGTTCGCAATTTATAAAGCATGGTTACTGTGGCGTGCCCCCAACCAGCCGTGAGTGCACCTCCATCAATGGAGACGTGCCACAGTACCTTGCCTTGTCGTGTTGGCACCTAATGTGACATCCGCAAGAGCTGTGTAAATGCAAAAATTTTACCCCCCGTAATGAATGCTCCCCCCAAATATGTGTCAATTTTCCAAGAAAAAAAGTGTGTTCATTATGCGAGTAAATACAGTATTTTGTTTGAATCAAACAAGTGACCCACAGCTCTTTTAGAGCGCAGCTCTTAGGTGCCCGTTTTCGGCTTGAGCAGCGTCGCCGTCGGCATAACTGTAAGGTCACGTGACCCCCCCAGACCACGTGACCCCCCAGGTCACATGACCTGGGGGGGTCACGGAGGGAGGAGGGATATACCCTCCCCTCAGTACCCTTTCCTCCTCCTCCTCAAGAGCTGCGCTCTCATTCGGCGTTACAAGGAGTTGTAAACGGCTTTAATTTTTTTCTTCACATCAGTTGGAAAGGGTGCTGTGAGACCTTATTACTTGCTATCTCACTTGTATTGTGACCCGTAGCCAGCAAGTGGCGAGTTCTGATAGCAGCATAGTTCCTGCGCTTTTGTTTCTTGGTAAGAAGCCAAGACCACATGCCATGCCTCAGCGAAAGGACAAGAATCAAGTATTCAAAACACAAAATGCTCAGCTAGACACTAGTGATGGAAAACTATAGAAAAATTGACTATACTATTGATACTGTCAAGAACTATTAATAGTGGACTATCGATAGTGCTACCGATAGTATACCATCGATAGTTGACTATTGATAGTACAATCGATAGTTGGCTTTCAGTCGACTATCGATACTATCGAAAGTAAGTAAGAAAGCTTTAAAAAAAACTATTAAGTGTTATGAAAATAAAAGGACTACCGATGAAGGGAACGACGACGGATATGTACGGGCAGGCAACGCGTGGTTCTGGGAAAAACATGGAATTGAAAAGAAACAAAACATAGTTGTAGTCTCGTACAATGAATTAGAGGTAAAACAGATATGGTGTTTTACTGGTTTTTGTGCACACATATTTTGCATATTCATGTGGTCCAGATATCAGGCTTAACAGTTTGGTATGCCTGAATTTGTAAAACTATAAAGTACATTCAATATTTTCTTTTTGTCTTGGAGCTAGGGAAAACACTCGCTGAAGACATCTAGCATCAGTATTTTCACAAGTTTGGTTCACGCTTGTTTCCTTTATTATTCAATTGTCACTTATTACTTTTCATAGCCTTGACCACTCGCAGGTGAAAATGAGCACTTTGGTAAGGATTATAATTTATTTTTCTGCTGATGACTGTTTCGGTTCTATTTTGGCAGATTTTAATAACAGTGGCTGGGAAAAGATCTACCTGTTGGTACAAAATACAACTAAAAAAAAAAAAAGAAGCCATCACACAAAATATTTTTGAATCAATAAATGTAAAAGAGGTTTTGTTGTGGAAACTTCAAATTGAACATTACCAGATAAAAAAGCATATACTGAGCCAACATAGTTACTAATGCTTTTAGTTTTTTCATTCAATGAAACATAATGTTCGCTGGATCAAAAATAGAAGATAAAAACGAAAATGTCCTGTGATCTAAGTACGGATATTATTTGCATTAAGGCATTATTTTAGTGAAAAAAAGCTTGTGAATTGAAAAAGCAATACTGTTTCCTTCCTTTCTCGCAATCTGTTGGGTTCGAAAAAATGCCACACTTATCTTTTCATTTAGGTAAATTCATGTCCCCATATTTGCGCATTCGATCACCATTCCTATCGCATCATATTCAAGCAAGGTTTCAGATTTACGCAACATGTAGTTTACTTAGCAGGGGCAACAGGGATTTCCAGTTTTTTTATTGAGCTCTGCCTATAAAAAGCAAAGGGCACACTTCAGAAGGGAGTTTAAAATAGCAACAAAAATTTGACAACCTATTAGGTTGATGATATATTTTCTTCATGATTCTTCAATAGACAATCATTATTTTTTTTATAGCTTATCGTTAATAGTCTAAGGATAATTTCTATTGTTTTCTGATTGTTTTCCAATGGGTTTTAGATTGTTCCTCGATAATTATGTGGAAGTCTCTAATTGCAGTTGCGTTTTTCTCCGAGCTACACGACTCTTCCTGGATGGACACATGACGTTCGTCGGCACGTAATAAAACACTATCGATAGCTTTACATAGTAAACGCGAGCCTCTGCTACGCTCGCATTTAAGTGAAACAAAGTATAGCAACGCAGTGCTGTGCACACTCTGAAGGTGCTTGTGTTGGTGTTTTGTTCTCCGGTGTTTAGGAAAGGACTGCACATTCGACAAGATGGAGCATGTGCGGGAGCAACAAGAGAGGCTGGCCAGGTTGCACTTCGAACTGAATGCCCAGCAGGAGCTGTGCGGGTAAGCTCCCCTCCTCTCGTGAATTTTCCGACCCTCCCCTTTGTGGGGCTTGGTTGCATGGGACAAGCTTGGAGCAGAAAGCAGCCTCTTTTGGGGATCGGCTTCAATTGCGAGCCTTGCTTCCACCATAAAACATTGCCAAATGCCTGTTTTCTTTTTTTTTTTTTCTTTCAAATATTGCAGGCAGCAGTGTTGCCTAAGTGTAGGAGGCTTACATGAGGTGTTAGCTGCGCATGCGGCTCCTACATGGGTGGACAGGGTTCAGATCCCGCTATCCTCTTTTTTCTTTGTTGCTCTATTGAAAGGTTCCAGCACATACTCATTAGTTATCCTGTGTTCTAGGGTAGAACTTTCCCAAGTCTGGAGAGTGCACAAAAGCAGTCGTAGTGCCAGAGGCGGACTTAGCATTTTGCTGCCCTAGGCATCCTTTCACAGTGCTGCGTCTACCTCCGCTCCCCATGGTCAGTGACCATGGGGGGCAGGGGTTAGGAGGGGGGTAGAGGTGGCAGTGTGAAAGGTTGCCTAGGGAAGTACTTTAGGTTAAAGTCAAAATTTAGAAAAACAGCTAGATTTGGAGCTAGAATTCCCGAAGTAGCTAAATTCGGAGCTAGATTTAAAAAGAAGAGCCACTTAATTTGGGGTGCAGACGCAACTTGGCTGCCCCTAAAATTCTGCTGCCCTAGGTGGCTGCCTACTCTGCCTATTGGTAAGTACGCCCCTGCATAGCACACTGCATCGAATCACTCTTGTGCTAGCGCTCGATCCTGCCGTCTTACCGACATCAATGCTTGCGCGGCACCCATTATTGCACTTCAGCTTTGGCTCAAGTTTTCCACATTGAACCTTTAAGGCCCGTTCACACTCTTGCGACTGCTTGCGACCTCTTAAACCTGGGTTCCTTAAAACTTCTTAAACCAGAGAACACACTGGCGCCTTCTATTGGGACGCAGTGTAAACTCGGCGGTCCGGCATATTTTTTTTTATTCCTCGTGCAATACCCTTTCTTTTTTGGCTCGAAAAGCTTTTGTCAATGTTATAAACGAGCCTTTCTATGGGTATTACGCACATTTGACCTCGGAAATCCCGCAAAACCTTCGCTTTTGTGAAATGCAGTTCTAGGGTGTTGTGTCTTGGTTGTGTCACCAGCCGAGTAGTAACAACAACTTGGTTTTATTGACAGCCAGCCGTAAGACCGCGCATACCGCTGGTCCTAAAACACTCTCCGTGTCCAAAAGCCGTGCTGTGCTTATATCAGCAAAGAGGACGAGAGGGAAGGGGGGCGGCGCCCTAGCTTAGACACGTGGCGATGACATAGCTGATTGCTATCGGAATACAAACACTACATTCCCCCTTCCCTAGATGATGCTTTAAATACACAAGTTAACACTTAGAACTAGAACGGTTTTGCTTTTAAACAGAGATAATTGGAAAAGTTAACAGTCCAGGACACAAAACCACAAGGTGCGTAGGCACAGTCACTGCGTTGGTGTGTACCGATCTGGGGGACGTCTTTCCCTTGTTGGGTACCGAGATCGCGTGGAGGTTCCGCTGCTCCTGTCACCTGGCGAAGGCCCTGCGTCGTGATCTGGGTCCTCAGAACCGGGTGGTTCTGGGTCGCCTCTTGTGGAAAACTCTCTTGTGTCGTCAGCAGCTATGGCCGGTGCTTGATCATGGAGTTGCCCGGCGCACGGTTCAGTACCGGTCGCCGATTCCGACGGTTGCCAGGGAGCCTCACTACGGTCGCAGTGATTGTGGTTGGCAGACGTTGTCTCTCGGTCCGCCTCCCTTGGACGTATGTGGTCTTGATGCCTCTTCCATTCCATGACCCCACGTGGTGTAGTCACCTGTAACACGTAAGAGACTGGTCCCGTGCGTGATGTCACCATCGCCTCCAGCCACCTTGGACCTTCTCTAGAGTTTTTCACAAACACTCTGTCACCAATGGCGAAGAATCTCCGAAGTTCTTTTCGACCGCGTGTCTGTTGGAACTGTTTTTGTTCTACCACTGAACGAGCACTGGGCTTCAGTAAATCCAGACGGGTTCTAAGGGGTCGCCCCATCAAAAGTGAAGCCGGAGAGTGCTGGGTAGTTGCATGTGGCGTATTCCGGTAAGCTAGAAGAAAACTGGCCAGTCTCTCTTCAATTGATCGGCCTTTGACGTCCTTGCGAAGGGCTTCTTTCACTGTTCTGACGAATCTCTCAGCCAACCCGTTGCTTGATGGGTGATAAGGAGCGGATCGCACACGTTTTACCCCGTTCATTTTGAGGAATGACTGAAATTCTTTACTGCAGAACTGCGGCCCGTTATCTGACACGACTACCTCTGGCAATCCAAAACGGCTGAAGAGGTCACGCAGCTTACCAATGGTGGCTTCTGCCGAGGTCGAGGGCATCAGGAACACCTCGGGCCACTTTGAATGGGCGTCTACCGCCACCAAAAAATTGCGTTGAAGAAACGGGCCAGCAAAGTCCAGGTGGAGCCGGGCCCATGGCCTTGTAGGCCAAGCCCACGGATGAAGGGGAGCTTGGGTAGGCAGCGCCCGTTGCTGCTGGCAGGCCGCACACGTTTGCACGGTGTTCTCCAGGTCGGCGTCAATTCCTGGCCACCACACGTAGCTGCGGGCCACTTCCTTCATCCGCACCACGCCGGGATGTCCTTCGTGCAGCTCGTCCAGGATTGTCTTCTGTAAAGATGGGGGAACCACAATGCGCATTCCCCACAACAAACATCCTCGGTCCACCGACAGCTCCAGATTTTTCGAAACGAACGGCCTCATCCCTTCATCCGTAACGCGCTCGGGCCATTGTCCTGTAACCGCGTGAAGTACCTGACGTAGGGTCGGGTCTCGTGAAGTTTCCCTCGCGACGTCGGAGTTTGTTATAGGGAAAGTTTCCCACCGAAGTGCGTAACAGGCGGTTACTTCGTCGTCGTCTTCCTTTTCGCCGCTCCGGGGAAGTGGTAGACGCGACAAGCAGTCTGCTTCTACGTTGCTTGCGCCCGAACGGTAGATCAGGTCGTAACGATAGGCCGACAGCTTAATGGCCCACCTCTGCAAACTGGCTGCGGCAATGCTTGGTATCCCGGTCTTCGGGCCGAAAATCGTCTGTAGAGGCTTGTGATCAGTTACCAAGCCGAACTGTCTGCCATAAATGTAGTAATGGAACTTCGTAATTCCGAAAACTAAGGCTAGCGCTTCTCGCTCTAGCTGACTGTAGTTCCGCTCACTCGGTGATAACGTGCGCGATGCAAACACGATCGGCCGTCTGGACCCATCTTTTTCCACTTTCGCTAGAACAGCGCCCAACCCGTATGATGAAGCATCACACATTACCTCAAGCTGGGCTTCCGGATCATAATGTGCCAACACCGGCGCTTTTACAAGCAATCTTTTCACTTTCTTAAACGCCAGATCACACTGTTCACTCCAGACCCACGGCGCATTTTTGCAAAGCAGCTGATTCAGCGAGAATATTACCGTCGATAACTCCGGCAGAAACTTTCCGTAGTATGTTACCATGCCCGTAAACGTTCTCAGCTGCTTTTTATCGATTGGAACGGGGGCTTCTAGCACGGCCTTTACCTTCTCCGGCGTTGCTGATATTCCATGTTTACTGATAACGTGACCCAGAAACTGCAATTCCGGTTTCAAAAATTCACACTTCTCTGCCTTAATCCGCACTCCCCTTTCGTGCAACCGGGTTAGTAGCGCATCTAGGTTTTGAAGGTGTTGTTCCGTCCTGTCCCCCATTATCAGAATGTCATCCAGATAACATATTACCCCCTTCAGTCCCTTCAACAGGTTGTCCATAATCTTTTGAAAAATCGCGGGCGCAGACGCAACTCCGAATGCTAGGCGATTTACTGCGAACAGTCCCTTGTGCGTATTGAGTGTGAGGTACTCGCGGGAAACCTTGTCCATTACCACTTGCTGGTATGCTCTACTCAGGTCGATCTTGGAGAACACTTGTCCTCCCGCGAGAGTGGCAAAGATTTCTTCAATCTTGGGTAAGGGATAGTTGTCAATGTTCAAGCACGGGTTCAACGATGCTTTATAATCCCCACATATGCGTACGCTGCCATCTTTCTTTACCACTGGTACAATTGGGGAGGCAAAACGACTGTTCGAAATTGGTTCAATTACTCCAAGACCAACCAGCTTTTCCAGTTCTTTCTCCACTGCTTCTTTCAGCGCGAACGGAATGCTTCTAGCTTTACAGAACTTCGGCTGCACTTCCGGCTTGAGAGAGAGCTGAGCTTGCTCACCTCTAATCTCGCCGAGTTCGTCGTTGAACACTTGGGGATGCCGGTCCAAGACTTGTCTCAAGGCCTGGTTGTCTTCTGCATCCACGTGGTTAAGGTTACTCCAGTTGAGCCGGAGCCGATGAATCCAGTCTCTTCCTATGAGAGCAGGGCCCTCCTAGCAGAGAACGTGCAGAGGCAGCTGGTAAGGCTGGTGCTGGTGCTCCACGGTTACCGTCGCCACACCCTTCGGGCGCACGCACTCTCCTGTGTACGTACGCAGCAACACCGTAGCCGGCCGTAACTTTATCTGCGGAAAACACGACCGAAAAACTTGATGCGACATCACAGACACTGCTGATCCCGTGTCCAGTTCCATTTTAAGCGGCACTCCCTGAACACACATCGTAAAGCATATGGGTCCATGACGGGGTTTCTCGAGCGTTGCCTGAAGCAGTGGCTCGACGTCCTCCTCGGTCTCGAACACGGCGAAGTTTTGTCTCCGGGCGTCTTTTCGCTGTGTGTCTTGACCTTGCGCTCTCGAAGGTTGGAAACTAGACGTCGGTTGTGAGTGGCACACTTTCTGAATATGCCCAACTTGGTGGCATCTAAAACAGGTTGCTGTTCGGAATCGGCAAGCACGGTTACGATGACGCAAGCCGCATCGCGTGCACGGTGAACCGTCCCGTGCCCGGCCTCCTTCCGCAGAAAACTTCTGGAAATCCTCCTTGACTGCCCTGCTAGGCCGGCACTCTGTTACGTTCTTAGTAGCTGCCTCTACTGATAATGCGATCTCTACCGCCTTTTTGAAAGTCAGAGACACGTCCTCAACAAAAAGCCTCTTTTGAATGTCAGTCCTGGCCAGCCCACATACAAATCTGTCTCTCAGAGTTTCTTCGAGGTTCGCTCCGAAGTTGCATGTTTCTGCCGATTGCTTAAGGCCCGCCACGAACTCCGCAATACTCTCCGTTTCTTGTTGTGTTTTTCGGTGAAACTTTGCTCTTTCCGCGATAACTGATGGTCTGGGCGAAAGATGCTCTCGTAATGCTCTCTGCAGATCCGACAACGGCTGACTAGCCGGCGTGCTCGGGGCGGTCAAACTTTTCAATAACTTGTATGTCTTCGGACCCACAATACTCAGGAAGGCATCTACTTTGTTGGCGTCCGAGATCTTATTTACTCGTAGGAATGCATTAATCCTTTCTTCGTATGTTTCCCAATCTGACTGAGATTCATCGAAAGGTTCTACTTGCCCAATCGTGGCCATCCTGGATGCTTCCGAGTGTGGTCCTTCTTGGACGCCTGGTTGATTCTCCGTCTTAACGGTCCCCGTCGAAGTGCTCATCAGTCTGCGTCATCCCATCCTCGTCGCCAAGAAGTTGTGTCTTGGAAGTGGGACACCAGCCGAGTAGTAACAACAACTTGGTTTTATTGACAGCCAGCCGTAAGACCGCGCATACCGCTGGTCCTAAAACACTCTCCGTGTCCAAAAGCCGTGCTGTGCTTATATCAGCAAAGAGGACGAGAGGGAAGGGGGGCGGCGCCCTAGCTTAGACACGTGGCGATGACATAGCTGATTGCTATCGGAATACAAACACTACATAGGGTCACCGCATAGATGGCGCCACAATTTCAGTGTGTTCCCTCATTCTAGAAACATTTAAGAAGTTGTAAGAGATCTCGTCTCTCTCAGTCGTACTCGGTCGCAAGAGTGTGAACGGGCCTTTAGCCTTCCATGTTGTTGCTTTCTCATCACCTGTCATTTGTGACGACATGCAGTCCAAACAAACCTTTTTCCAGTAAGCTTGTGTGCATGCGTAAACCCAGTTCCTGGCCTCGCTTCCCGCTGTCACATTTTTATGGGGCAAAGTTCCTGTCGACCCACATAACAAGCACCTATCTTTGCACGTATGTTGTCTTTTTTGATCAATCTTGTCAGTCTACTCAGTCAGTCTGCTAGTCTAGGTCATAAAAGGCAACAAAAATCAGTAAGACAGCATGATGCCAATGTATTCTGACTGGCGAAGGCAAGTTGGGCTGCCCTTCACTTGGAGTTCGAAGACAACTCCACAGACCAGGGCTCGTTACTGTAAAAAGGTCCATTGTGTATTTTCTCTTTCTTTAACACTGCCTACTTGTGAGTGTGACAGTGAGGAAATTGTTGTGTTCTTTCTCTCGCTGCCGGTCTGTATCTGTGTGCGTGCGTGCTTTGGTGCACGTGCACGCATACATTTTGGATTTTGTTGTTTCTTTCGTGTTCTGTTTGAAAGCATATAGCCATACGCTCTGAAACAGTTAACTATAATGTTGTTCCATTACATGGAACAGCATTATAAATAATTGTTACATATTGAGAGGTGGGGGAATACTCACTTTTTACTTGCTGTATGGCTATACAGCAGCATGTAGGATGGGCCCAAAAGGTTTTTCGCATATAAATTATGTAAATAATGCATATAAAGAAACAAATACAAGCAAGCAGTTTTTGGATGTAATAAAAACTCTAATGATTTGCACTGGGTTTCTAAATGAAACCCAGTGCAATGCCAATTTTCTATTGGGTTGAGGGTGCTAGGGTTGTATTTGAATTGCACACTGCTCTTACTGTAATTTTTGTTGACCATTGCAGCTCCCCTTGAGACATTGCCGAGCGGGTGTTTTTGTTTGCATTTCTCTTTTCTGTAGCTTCTTTTTCCAGCCGCTTTGTGGAATGAACGGGGAGGAGCAGTTATTTGAGCTCTACTTTACTGGCCCGTGCTTGTTGCGCAGCCCTGAGTCCGAGGAAGGTCGTCAGCTGGCAAAGGACAACCTGACAAAACTCATAGAGAATGTAAGTCACCCAACCCTGCCATTTGCCTCTAGTAGTGGAAGCACATCTTTTGGCCCACAGAGTTTGCATTTCATCTGCTTCGGAATGGCGAGGCATGAATGGTAACATCGCTACATTGATGGTCCCAGTAAGGCCGAATTGCTGGCGACTCTTTAGAGAGCAACTCCGGTTGAAAAAGAAACCAAAACAGATGACTGGTATCGCTTTAGCGGCACAAAATATTATCACAGCCGAAATATTATGTCAAAGTGAAGCTGCGTACTCCACTAAAACTGATTTTAAAGATGAGACCAGCTGCTTTTTAGCAGATGGCAAGCGAGTTGGCTTTTAGTGGAGCAACCCTGGGTGACACGTACCGCAACACCATCAATATGTCAAGTTGCGGCCGTACCGCTGATATCAGTGTTGCCATCGCTCTCTTGCAGATACAGTCGAATCTCATTAATTTAAACTCAAGGGGGGTTGAAAGTTTGTTTCAATAAAGCAATGTTTGATTTATCGGGAGTTTTCTCCCATAGAGATGCATAGGATGGAACCTGCATGTTAGTTTGAATTATCCGCAAGTTTAAATTAAGAGAGTTTGAATTAGAGTCGACTGTAGTTTCAGTTATGCTGTAGATGCCTGAAACGAAACTTTGACCTTTGATATTTATAAAGCTGTGCACAATATCGAGATTAAAAAAAAAAAAACACCTTGCAGTTCAGGGACACTGACTGACTGAGCTAAAAACAGTCGTAACCTCAAATTCTAGAATATTGACCGGTGTTGCCCTTTAGTATGCACCAAGATGCAGCAAACCATTGCTCCAAACCCAAGATCTGTATCCTGTTTATTCTAGCTTTATTTTTTACAAAAACACCACATCGTGCATTGTATAAAATAAAAGTTGAGAAGCACTCAAACAACTTCAGCTTGTTGCGGCAAAACAAACGTTTTGAACCCCTGTCATCTGCTTTCTTTCTCCGCTTTTTTGTTTACCTGTTGTTCGTTTTCTCGAGACCAGCATTGTCGGAGCTCACGATTTGCCACATTCCGCTCCGGTCGTTGCCTACCTGTCTTGGCCGCCCGGGTGTGTCGGACGTAATTTCTTACTAAAGCGCTGAAAGTCTACCTTTCATGGACATACTTGCTTTATCAGAACACACTTTTGCATTTCGACGGTGGGTACCAACAGGATGCCCCGTTGGTACCAGAATTCATGATGGAAACGAGCTGGTTGGCAAGAGTGCTGCATTCATCCGGCCTCTTGATGCTTGTGCAAGTCGTTTATCTGACCGTTTGAGATGTTCCGACTTGCCCCAAAAGAATTCCAGAATATACGTACCGCAATATCCCTAAGACCCCCGAGAAACGACCCCCTATTTTTGGCATGGTTTGCTATCTTTTTTTTAAAAAACTTTGAAAGATAGTTTATTTTTAGTAGTACCGAGGCCAATGGCGACCTTGGCAGAAATGGCGTTACTTGACCACGGCGGCAGGTGAGTGAACATTGCTGACTGGGAAGAAAAGTCGTCTTATGTTCGTCGCCCTCCCTACAATCACAAGTTTTGCGGGTCACAAAATCTATAACTAGCATTTTTTCCATTTTTTTTTTAATTGCATACCAAAAGTCAGCTTACTCCTTATTTTCACCCAATTCGCTACGATTTTAGGTTGGCTATCTCTCGGAATATTCCGGTAAATTATGCGAAGCACTCTAAGCAAATTTTGGGCTAATTAACGACCATTCATAAAGCTTAAGGCCGGTTGACACAGTTGCATTCTCTTAGGAGAAGGTGCAACTCACTCGCGAGAGAATGTAAATGCGTGAACCATCCTTTAGGAGCATTGAAGCTTGTTTCTGTAGGTAGTGAGCCAAACTGCAAGCTGTTTGAAGCCACGTACTTAAAGCACTGTGCTCGCACCGTGCTAGAGGCTGAGGGACGAGCCCACTTTCTAGGTCTGGGGGAGGAGAGCTCTCTAAACGGGTATGTGAGCAGTAGGGAAAGAAGCGATTCAAAGGAGTGATGCCACGCCCGTGTGCTACACGGTGCGGACTCTTTTCGACTTCTCTCAAAAATGCAATGATGACGCAGAAATGAAGAAAAATGTAAGGCAAATTGCTAGGCAATTCTGTTGGATACATGAAACGTTCTTGCATTGCAAACGTTTAGCGATAGCTGGACCTCGTAGATGCGTCGATACATAGCCTGTGTCACGTAATGCAAATTTCCCGCTAAATTTGGCAGGGAAGCTGAATTGGTGTAGAGGTCATGTGACGTTAATTTTCCCGCTAAATCTTGCGGGGGAAACTGATTTTGTGTAGAGGTCGCATGACACGAATACATGCGACGTCGTTTTTTCCGCTAAATTTAGCGGGAAAATCTGCCGTGCAAACTGAGACACCTGCAAACTTAGACACCATCAAAAATGGCGGACGGACTTGTCAGCTACGACTACGCCTATGCGTAGACGATCCCGGAAAAGGCCCATTATATTAGAAAAACCACAATAGCAGTTTTCATGCAGCTGCATGCCGTGCACTGAAAAAAAAAAAACGCCCAAAATCAGTGTAAAGGAAGCAGAGTCAGTGACCCGTTTGAAAGCATGAAAGAAAGAACAGGTGTTTGTCATTTGAAAATCAGATGTCCCACTTGTACTGGCTGAATATGTTGAGCACATGTTACCATTCTCGCAGTTGTTCCAAATAATGATTGTTTTTTTTATTTATTTCAGCTGCAGCACTTGAGCCTGTCAATGTATCCTTTGTGCGATTGTTGCCTCGAAACAATGCATATGTCTAGCTTTCAGCAGGCTCGTCACATTGCATAAGCATTGACAGCTGTGTCCTGTGGGAATGCAGCTCAAGGGGAACTGATGTGATCGGCATACAGCATCTAGTATAAATGACTACCGGAATATCCCGAGAAATTGCCCACCCTAATCTGAGAGCACATTAGGTAAAAATAAGGGGTAGGCTAACATTTGGTGTTCACAAGGGAGTTCAACTTGAGCCATTGAAAAATAGAAAGTCCTGCTACAAATCAGGATGGGCTATCTGTTGGGGATGGGTCGTCTCTCGGGATATTACGGTAATCAGTTTCAGAATGAGCGGTATGCAGTTACATATGAAGACACTGTTAATCAGTTGCTGTTGCAGAGGCATGCCATTGTTGACATGGACATTTAGCCCAAGTTGTTTGTTCTGTAAAAACGGAAACACTTTTTTTTTTGCATAAATGGAAATAGTTTTCTTTTTTTTAACTGCATAAAATTTTTAAATAAAGGGGGAAAGTTTTATGAATGTGATTTTCACTGCGTGTTTATATGGCTCGGCAGACATTAGATGGAATATAATGGTCACCATTATCAGACTAATTAACAAAAATTTGTTAATTAACTTTTCGATTACTGTAATTGGAGTATAGCTTTATATTACAAACTTTGAGGTAGTTGTATGCCAAGACTGTTCCATTTTGTAGAATTTGCGTAGCCAGCCTGTGTTTCCCAATACTCGTCGACGAATTTGGCACCTTTCTCCGGCTAATGTAGCGAAGTTCAGCCATAGTGCCAACTTTCGCGGGTTTGGTTGGGTTAAGTAGAAAATTCAGGGGCAGGTATCTCGGAGCACAGGCACATTACACGAATTCTACAAAATGAAACCGTCTTGGCCTACGACAGCTTTAAAGTTGTAATATAAACATATATCCTAACTACAGAATTTAAAAAAATAAAGTAACGAATTTTAATTAATTAGTCTGATAATAGGAATGGTTATATTCCCGTCTAATATCCGCCGAGCCATATAAAAATGCAGTGAAAACCGCATTCACATAGCTTTTTCCCCTTTTATTTAAAAATTTGGTGCAGCTAAAAAGACACCCTGTATAGTATAAATGTGCAAACCTTTAATAAACAGTACTCACACATAACTAATCACTTCGGCTCACAGAAGGAGCCCAACGACTGACAATGCACAGATAGCTTGTGGACTCAAAAAAGCTGCTCACAATGAGATAGTGAAAGCAAGTTTTAAGGTTCCAGAATCCCGGCACAGGTCACCAGCCCAAGTCTCGAAGATATCGGTGCCGCTGTCATTTGCCGACATCTCCTGTAAATGGCGGAGATTAGCTTTCACGTGCTTCGCAATGGACTTCTTCCAAAACCGACGCGCCCCATCGCGGCGAAATATCACGCAATGCACTCTGGGAACTAGTTGGCCACTCAGTTTCGGTTTAGACTGGGCAGCTTCATCTCCTGCTATCACGCCGCGACCGAACGCGCTGCTTGCGTTTTCAATTACCTGACTTCTTACGAATGCACACTACACTCATTCTCGAGCATTACAAAACGAAGACCGGGGCACTTTCCTTGGATCCCGAAACACCAGATATTGTGCGTGCGTATGCAAACTTACTAAGACGTGCGTATGCAAACGTAGTAAGACCTCACTCCACGAGTGCATCTTTGAGCTCACTTTCAATAATCTCGTCTAGTACCAGTGAACTACAACTGGAATTTGGTCACCTTGAGCCTTACAGATATTTTGATATTTTGTTTGCCAAACGTCCGCTTCTTGTTACTTTATTGAGCGAGAAGCAAGCCGCATCACCAAAGGAGTACCAAAGTTGAGCCCAACGTTGACGCCTGTGCTTTTAAAGAAACGCAATAAACTCGACCTCACTACCGCACAAAAGTTACTATAATGTCTTACTCGTGTCCTCATATATCTCCCACTCAAATTTCATGCTGATCGAAGATTCAGCTTTCGCAAACGCTGAGATCGGCTAGCTACGAAGGAGGCCCTAACAAGCGTCCCCTACTCCCGGCTAAGCCGTTTTGGGCGAGCTTTTACGGTCGGCCAAGATTTGCGCCCAAACGGTGCGTCTGAAATTATCTCGTCATACTAAGTCAGGAAGAAAGCAAACACACGACAGACATTATGGCCATTAGTAACCATCAAATGCGCTTTGAATAATTTCGTTAGTTTGGCGCACCACATCGGGGTTCATGCCCGTCCGGCGCACTTCCGGCGAACGGTGCGACATTCGATCTTCACACAAGTGCTTAACTTTTACTTTCTTAGAATGGTTTGTATGTGCTATTGTGCCTATATGATTGGCAGGACAACTTTATGAGCATACATGATGTTGAATATTAGTGGAATGCAAGCGGGTGGGGACTTCACTTCGTGCAGTGCTGCGGTTCAGTACAGATAAGAGATAAGAAGTGTTAAATCTGAGCTTTTCAATGGCACCTCCGAGTTTTACCTCGCATACTCAGGCGTATTAAGAAAAAAAGTAATTGCAAAAAGTTATATTTCGTCTATGGACGCACGAAAAAAAAAACAAAAAAACTTACTGATCAACAACACGGATGTAAAGGCGCGAGCTCGATATATGCATACTTATTGGTTGCTACAGCTTGTTGATTCGTACACAAGCAAAATCCCCGAGCTTCGCAGCGTCGAGATTCCGAGCACTGGCTCGTCCACATACCTCGAAACGCTAACAGAAAGGCTCAGAAAGTACAAAAATGCAACAAGCATGTGTTAAGACAAGTTATACGTCTCGTGATTGCGCTGAAGCTTCGAGGTCTGGCCCTTTAGGTTAGTTTAGAGACCACGAATGACGCTTTAGGGACCAGAAAACACGCTGTGTGTATAATCTCTCGTCGAAGTGTCGAAAGAAACCGAAACCACGCCACTCTTCTCCCTGGCCAACTAGTTCCCAGGGTGCAACGCGCGCCATGTTGCATGCAGGGGTTTATGGAAGTAGTCCTTTGGGAGACGTTCAAGCTTCGGCCGTAGGAAGTATAGACCAATCTTTTCAGAAACGTAGGGTGTGTCTTGGTCTTTTAAGAATCTGGTGACACCCCGAAGCTGTGTGTACCTTGTTGGCCGTTGGGTTTTGGAGCGGGAATATGGAACAACGAACTGAAATCACATTCTCATTGCCCGATTGCAACCGTCTCGCCAAACAAACAACTGCTTGGGTCAATTCCTTGACTCCGGGCACTCAGAGAGCAGCTGCAGTCTCACAGTCAAGGCTTGCAGACAGATGTCTGACATTAGGAGGGGTGCTTGCCCCCTCGCACCTAGTCATGCACTACTACATTTGCAACACCAACCGGGGTTGTTTGGGCCACGGGGATGGCTGTCACCTTGGTCGGGGCTTGGGTTGGGGATGGGCCAAACTGGCTGAAGTCTGGGTTGGGCGAAATGCCGAAATCCAATACTCGCCTAATTTTTGCACGGAAATATTTGGCAGATGGTTATGCCACTTGCACCTAATTTTGATTTTTGTTTGAAGACCTGGGAGCAAGGTGAATGTTTCCTTGAATTTAAACAAATTTATCGTAATCGCAAAAACAGTTTTGCATTTAGTCTCAAGGAAGAATGGTGATATCTGTTTAAAAAGATGGCTCAGATTTATCCTGTTGCATTCTCTTATGTTTGGTTCTTTCATTAGAGTTTCTTCTTTAATTAATCGTTTCAGATTGTAATTAATCTCCTCTTCGGCTGTTTTGCGAGGTACGTCCGCTTTGCCTCAAAGTCCAATTCAGCCAGTAAAAAAAAATAACTGGTCTCAAGGGGAAAAAAAAAAAAAAAAGGGCTGGTCCAGTTTGCATGCATTTTGTTTTCAATAAGTTTCATAATAGTTTGACTTGGCTCTGCAACAACCAGTGACTCTTCAGTTCAGCCCATCATTAGTTTGGAAGTGCTATGCTGGTTAAAAAGCACCAGGGGGCAGCACAAGAGGCTACAGTGTGTGAAGCTGCATGATTAAGATGAGACGTTTCTCTCATAGCAAGCCAGATGTAGCAACTTCAAGCTATGCACACTGCCATTGTGATGAACCTAAGCTGTCTTCCTTAGCACAGTCTGCATACAGCTAGGCAGACTTTATTTTCTTCCGATAGTGGCCTTTCTCGAGTTTATATTGCACAAATTCTACCCTGTTGTGTAGCAGACATTGCAATGGTTGTTTGTGGTTCCACTTGTTGCTTTGTATGAGCACCATGCTTTGAAAGTTTGCTTTGTCTCACCCTGCAATAGACGACAGCTAAAGCTATTGGCTGCCAAGTCCAGTGACAAATTGCTCAGATGTGCATGGCGCACAAAGATTCGTACATACTCATGCGCACGCCAGAGCTATATGCTGCTCGGTTCCTAACTGACCATTTGGCTGTTATTCCATTGCAGATCGAGATGAAGTATATAAAAACCTTTGCAGTCATACTGATGCTTCTATTTTGTAGTGTAGTAGATCCTACAGCTTGCATCCTTAGAAGTTCTAGTTTTCCAGTGACATTTGCTTGCCAGGCGTGCATCATAGCAAAGCATTACATACATCTGAACCTGCAGAACACTGCTTTCTGGTCTGAACAGATTGGAATAAATGCCGTCTCGTGGTGGCCAGCCTTTTCTTATGTGACCACGCAATATCCCCCAAATATTGCCCTTTGCAGTCATCACCGAGATCCAATCCAATAAACATATTGTACCAGTTATTTTCTCAATGTTGTTGACTGCTTGTTATATGCTGGATGGGGAAAAAAAAGGCCGTTTTCTGGGGCCATCCGTTTTTGAGTACATGTTTTGCTCTTGCAAGGGTGCATAGTCATATCGCAAGAGTGAGCATGTAGCAGACCCGCACTGTGTTTGCTGAAAGGGGGCTCCAGACAAATGCTTGGTTACTGAGAATGAGCATTTGGGAGTTTAATTGTTGAACTCTGCAGATGACCATCTCGCAGCCGGGGTTTGAAATCAAAACTAGAGCCTAGGCAAATGTGCCAAAATATAGACATCTCATCATCTCCTCTGCAAACTAGTTCAACAACCTAAAGCAGAACAGTACTATATGTATTTTTTTGGTCATCCAAGTTCTGTCCGAAATTCACAAAGTGCAAGGAGTAACCTGAAGACGATGACCTCTAGTCCTGTACAGGGTCCTCCAAACTTAATGCCACCGCAGGACTGCAAAGATACTGAGCAATATCCTTCGTCCCTTTAGTCGTTAGACTGACCACTCCAGGTTACGTATTGAACAAGTTGGAAGCTTACCTGGCAAATGAAGATGAACTAAGGTGGCAAATTGGGTCAGTTGGTTAAACATTGTACATGATGGGGATAAGCTGCTTAGTAGATGCAGACAAAAAAAAAAAAAGCCACCAACATGACATTAAAGGGATACAGTAGACTCATTAATTCAAACACCAGGAAACCACAAATTTTGTTCAATTATCAGAAGTTTGAATTGTCAGAAATGCAAGATAAAATTATGATTTGCCACATGAATGGCTACACATACAAAGTAGGTATTTGATTATTTCCTCTACATAGGCCTACTGATCATAGGCAGGTATGCCACATATGAAGCATTTGTGAAATGTTTGACAAGTTTATCTTTCAAAAATGTTGTTTGTCGTGGACTGTTTAGACAGCACATGACAACTCAAAACAAAATTAAGTTTGTTCATCAGGCCAAGAAGTTGTCTAATTGGACATTAGCAAACACATGAGCGATAAAAACGGGCACCGCACGGCAGTTTTTATAGCAACTTGCGCGGATGTTGTGATGTGGCGGCACGGCATAGGTCCACGTCAGTTTCCGCGCACGTTGCTATGGGAATTCTTGTGCGGTGCCCGTTTCCATAAGTCACGTGAGCCTTGTTTGAGCCCCGTTGAGTGCGCTTTTCACTGAGCACCGGTGCACTGCGGAGAAACAACACCCGCAGAAGCAAGTTCCGCGGGTGTTGATTCTCTGCAGTGCACTGGTGCTCAGAAGGAAGCGCACTCAACGGGGCTGCGAGAACAGAAAGTATGAATTGCACGAAAGCGCCGTTCGAATCAAGCCGCTTATGAATACATTAAAAACATAGCGAAACAACCAAAATGTAGGTGTACACGAAACGGCGATAAGCGATTATGTCAGGAATGCTGTTGGATGCGGAAGACGACAGACTGCTTTCTGCTAAAACAAAGATACTTCTTGAATGGGTGGATGCAACATAAAGAACGTTGAATCCAAAACCAATTGTATGAGGAGCGGCTTGAAGCCGGCGATGATGAATATCAAAGACTCCTTCGGGTGTCTTAAACGACATTCGCAACAGCGCAAGCCAGAAGTTAGTCGATCCCGATGCCACCACTGGTATCCCACTGAGCAAAATTTGTAAAGTTTCCGGACACGTGAACAAAATACCGCCAATTGAGAAAAGAACTCGCGTCAATCCAAAGACTGATTGTGCAGTCCGAGCAAAACGTCCCCCATCCCCCTGGGAGGTGCATGTCGGTGTGGTTCCGCGCAAAGGCGTGACGTTACCATGTGATGTGCATCCTGTGAAGCAAAGGGAGGGATTTCTTCCCCACGGAAATACCCTTTAAAGGGACACTGCAATGAAAAAAACGTTGTTTTAAAAAGATTTTTTGGGACACATTTTTCCCTTAATTTTTGCACGGAAAAAATTTTTCGTGCAGTATTTACATTGTTAGACGCAATCTAGGTGGGAGCTCACGGCCTGCTCTAAGCCCTGCCCATTAATACTGGATTGACTTGGCTGCTCTGCCAAACGCAGTCGGAAGTCTAGTGTCTCCCTTTCGCGGCATCCCGTGCATCTATTCTGGCGTCTGACATTGCCTGCTAGTCATGCGAGCAGACGCGCGGCAGCCTCCTGCATCGTCTGCTATTTTACCACCGTCTATCGTCTGCGATGCCTGTGAGACGCAAAAACGAAAGCTGCTCGTCAGCGTCTGTTTTCTCCTCCGTCCATCTGCTATTCCGGCCCCATCTAAAAACTTCGGCAATGCTCAGAAGACACGACCATGAAAGCAACATTCTAGCTTTCCATTATGCACAAGCCAGAGTCCAATACAAGTGTCTGTCAGCGTCTATTGATGTATGGTAATACGTGACCAAGGAATAAAAAAATTGACAAAATGAATATGCAGTTTTTTTTTATCTTAGTCATTTTTTTTCACTTGGCATCCACGAACAAGGTGGGCGTCATAACGCACAATTAAAACGACGTAGAAAAGAAAACATTCGCTTTGGTGGGCCATGTGCATTGCAAAACTCGAGTTACTTGCTTTTCGAAGCAAAATGACAGGAACATATAGCAAACTTGATGCAAGCTGAATTCGCAATTGCCTCCGGTTAAATGGCTCGCAAATTTTTACCTCTGTAGGTATGTTCTAAATATTAAACCATAATCGCAATGGTCGCACAATTCACAGAGCAGCGGGGCCACGTTTTTGGGAACAAATATTTTTACTCATCACCAACATGCGCAAAGGAACAAATCAAGCTTAGGTCAAATCAGGCTTAGACCAGTGCTGCTAAGAACCCAAGCATCCGCACAGCGCTTCCGAAGGCTTGGGACGCTGGGCTTAGCCAAGTTCCGCTACGAACCCAAGCACCTGCACAGCGCTTTCAAAGGCGCTTACTTGCGACGGTCGTTTGCTGCAAACTGGGTCGGTTGAAGAAGTCTTCCTCTAAACTCCTCGGTGAACACAGAACAACTCGCACTCGTAAGAATAAATGAGGTCAACGAGCTATGCTCGTTGAGCATGCCACAAACGTCGGCAACCATGCATTTATGTTATTGTGTGAAGCCAAAGCGAAAAGGCAAACTTTGGATATTTTTGAAATCAATAATGAGTCTATTTAGATTATTTGTTTCTTAAACAAATATATTGTTGAAATAATATTAGGCACGGAGAAACAATTTTACAACATATACTTCACACGTCAATCATCTCTCCAACCAATGAGAGCCGAAAAAAGGTGCTTAGTTTTATCAGCACCGGGCAGGGCCTAGAGCAGGGCTGCCCGCACCCAAGTGTGTCTAACAACAAATTGACAATTATTTTTTCGTTTTTGAAAAATATAAAAATGAAAATATTAAACCTTAAAAAGAAAGGTGTTTACAAATCTCTAATACAAAGTTAGAGCGCAGCTCTTGAGGAGGAAGAGGGGAGGGTATGCCCCTCCTCCATACCTGCTCTTCCCCCTGCTCCTCGTCCTCCTCCTCCTGCATACTCTTCCATACTCCTTTTCCATACCCTCCCCCCACAGTATCCCTGCTAAATTTAGCTGAAAAATTTACGCCACATGACCTGAACAGTAATTCAATTCCCTGCTAAATTTAGGTGGAATTGAATTGCTATTGAGGTCACGAGACATCAATTTTCCCGCTAAATCTAGCAGAGAAACTGAATTTGTTCATAGGCGACGTGACACCAAGTCGTGCGACGTCATTTTCCCCGCCAAATTTAGCAGGGGAACTGAATTAGTGTCGAGGTCACACGAATTCAATTTTGCCGCAAAATTCAGCAAAGAATTAAATTGCTGTTGAGGTCACGTGACATCAATTTTCCCGTTAAATTTTGCGCGGATACACCGACGCCACGAAACCCGCAAGTGGGCGCCAAAGAGCTGTGCTCTAAAAATTATTTTTTTACTTCAGCACTCCTATTTGCTGGGGGTTACGGTTGGCAGGCTTCTTCCATTGCTCTGCAGGAGCTGTCGGTGTAGACCTGGCTTTGGCAGGGTCATTATCCTTGGAGCGCACGTGGAAAAAGTGACGAGGGGAATTGTTGAGTTCTTTACTGCAAGTCTGGGAGAGGGGTGCGTCGGCAGACCTGTTGTGACTTTCGGGAAAAGGGATTCTATTGCCAATGATACGATTGGTCCAAATAATTTTGGAGCAGCCAAAAGTACTTTTGAAACATAAGCACACATATTTGAATTTGCACCAGTGTGAATATCGCATTGACATATGTGTTTTTGTCTGTTGCCTTCCTGCTCTTGTGCGACGTTTCGGTGGCATCAACAGCATGGCAGGTTCAATTCCCTATCTAGCAGTTGAATTGCACATAGAAGCTCAAGGCACAGTAACTGCTGATTGATGAGGGGCACTACAATCTAGGACGACGCCTAGAGAAATTCAGCCTTTCCTCTCTGGTTTTCACCAGATTGGAAAGGCTGAATTTCTCTAGGAGTCGTCCTAGATGCAGTCCTTGAGGTCGTCCTAGAAGTCGTCCTCGAGGTCGTCCTAGAAGTCGTCCTCGAGGTCGTCCGTACGTCGTCCTCGAGGTCGTTCGTACGTCGTCCTCGAGGTCGTTCGTACGTCGTCCTTGAGGTCATCCTAGAAGTTGTTCTTGAAGTCGTCCAAAAAGTGGCCCTCGAGGTCGTCCCATCACGGTACAGCTTCGCTGGTCTCCCCTCTTCACCAGAGTGGAAAGGCTGAAAGTTTTCTCGCTTTCGTTTATCGTGGCCGTCTTCATCTGCATTAGTTCAAGTGACAAACCAACGAAAGGCCATCTCGCTGTAGTACAAATTTGTGCACGCCAGTTGTGAACTGGTATAGGCTCTGCGAGGCAACCATAGACAGACAACATTTGTACATTTTCACGGTGCAATAAAGCACTTTATTGGAATACAAGGCTTCCGTACAATAACACAGTTACTGTCCCATCTTTTTTTTTTGTAAACATTTTTGTTTTGTCTTTAGATACACCTTAAAATATGGAGGCTACAACAGGCCACCACCCATCACATCTCGTACACACTGGATAAGAATCGTAAAGAGATTTTAAAAAAAGGTTCCTCATCACCTCGTCTGGACATACCTCGCATTTCCATACACTCGCTCTAGTATAAGACTATTGACAACATGCAAACACACACGACATCGACTATGGCGGACGTCGGTTCTCGACGGTGCGAGCGGAATGTTTAACCCTCGCAAATGCCGGACAGTTGTCTGCTCGCAGTATTAAAAAAAAATGTTTTAAAGTAAGTGAATTTTTGTAAACTTGGGTTAGGTTAGGATATAAAATCGTTTCACCCAGCCTGTTTTGATGAAATACATTTTTTAATATCCTTCTGTTTTTACCGAGGCATATTTTTGCTAAATCACTTTCTTACCAAAAGTATTGTCAGCAAGTGCGCTCTGCATTCCTTAAAACACCATTTAACTCTAAAAACAAAAATGTGGAATGTAACGAGCATCTTGAAAGGCAAATTCCTAATGCCAGCCAAGTTTAAATGAATGTGTGTAGTAGCAATTGACTTAACAATTATTAATCAGCACGGCTTCGTGTCACAGTCAAAGACCTCTCCTTCTCACCGCATAAAACAGCCGAGTAATAAAAAAAATATGCAAACAGATACTGTCCGGACTTTGTCGTCGGTCCGAAGAAATGTCCGCTCCAGAAGCTTCGCGTCTTCCGCCTTTCCTCTCTTTCGGAGAGGCCGGCTACTCCAGCGTTCGGACCCATGCCACCCCAAAACCTCGCGTCGGGAGGGCACTCTCACGGAGCGAGCGCCGGCGAGCAAATGTGGCCTACGGCCCGGTCGTCCGATTGGTCGGAGGGTCCCCCTTTGGGGCCCAGCGTGGCGGGGCAGTGATCCCCAGCAGAGTGACCTCTGTTCACGCCGGAGGAGGAGGGGAGTGTAAATCGAGGCATGTCCAGACGGGTGCGGGTGTTGGGCCTCAACTGGGGGCCTTGGCGAAGAGCGCGTAGGTCAGGTCGTACGAGTTGAAGCGGCACACCTGCAGCTCCTTGCGGCTGTAGCTCCGGAACTCCGTGTTGCAGTTCTCCTTCATCCCCTTGGCCGCCACAGACAGCTGGGGGAAGGGTGGAACGGTCAACGTCGGCCATTAATCCAACCAAAACACCTACCTAGCAACATTTAAATGAAACCACTCTGGGGTCTGGTGGGAAGTTTCTCTTATAATGAAACCAGGCTGGGCGTTGGAGAGAAATTTCTCTCAGCATTTGAACAAAACCAAGCTGTCAGCTGGGGGATAATTTCTCGAAATTTTAAGCCAAGAGTTAGAGGGAAATTTCTTGTATCGCGACAATAAGACCAAGCAGCTGGTTGGAGAGAATTTTCTCACATCGTAGCAGTGAAATTGAGCTGGGGGTTGGAAGAAATTTTTCTCAACATTACAAAGAAACCAAACTGTTGGTTGCAGGGAAATTTCTCAACCTTTCGAGCCAAGGATTAAAGGAAAATATTTTGTGATTTCAAGGAACCCTGGCATGAGTGCTTGGAAGTAGTTGAAGTAAGTAGTACTTAAGTATGCTTTGAATGTATGTGATCTATAATCTGTTTCATACATAGTGTGCAACGCTGTCAAAGCTACTGGTGCGAGCATGGGGCTTTATGTCATTGATCATTTGCACGCATTCTCGCGCAAACAAAACCATAGATGAAGCCACGCGCTTGCGCCAGTAGCTTTGACAGCGTTGGACACTATGTATGAAACAGATTATAGATCACATACATTCAAAGCATACTTAAGTAGTACAGACTAACATGAGAAACCTACTCTGAGAACATTGCACGCTAGAAGGTACAGGTGCCATGCACACTGGGCGATTCCACGATCTTTGGTGCAAAGGTGCACTTGGTTCAAATGCAGAGCAATTTTTTGCTTCATTATTAGGTTTTCCTTTCATCAGTGCAAAATGGAACTGTGCAAAACATGCAGAGGGCCAACGTGTTGGCTGCATGCTTCAAGTGGAGGCATATATTTCATTCTACCTGGATTGTACTATGCATGCCCCAAGTGGAAGCATGTACTTCATTTCGGCTACAGTGGAAGTACAACCATCTACCCAGGGTACATGATTTCTTGAATTCAGCCTGCGATAATTGGCTGCAACTACGCACTGGACTAATACTTGACTGACCACGAGCCTTTGATATTCACATCAAATGCTGAGCTTTTTTGCCATGCGATGCCATTATTTTGCATGGCACTGACGTGTGGTATCAACGACAGGGCATCAATTGTACTTTTACTCTTACCTTGAAAGTACACCGGGTTTGGTTTAGCTAGTTTCTTCAGACTGCAGAATCTAACTGTTACACAACTATTCTTAATAAAAAAAACATTCCAGTCAAGAAGTCATCATGGTTATGCGCATTATTCAACTTTGCTTAGTACATCTCTAAAGAGTTTTGGCGTAATGCGAGGGAAACAAACTCGCAGGCTTTTGTTTTAAGTGCTGTACCTCCGCTACTTGGTAGGACGTCCTGCAGAAGTAACAAAGAATAGTGAATGGAGCTTGATATTCGTAAATATATTTTACTTGAAAGGACACCGTTTTGGGCTTTAGAAAAAATTTCATACAGGCACAAGTGGCATCTCGGCACAAGTTTGAGGTTGGAATATATATTAAACTTCCTTTGCACACTGATTGAGCTTTGTTTTAAAATAAACAAATAGCAACAATATTTCTCTCTGCACGAGGCTAGCCAAGAACGTGCTAATAAGTTTGGTCGTGCAAAAAAAAAAAGGTTAAAGCTGAACATGCATCTGAACAATGCCCCGGGGCAGTGGGGTCAAGCGAACAAAAGCCTAGACACCACGTATATTTCAAGAAGAGTAGCACAGGCTGCACTAATGGCAGTTTGTGGCCGCATTTAACTGCGTCAAGACTGCTTGCGTCGAGCTGTTGCTACGGCGACCCTTACGACGAGCCAATTGGGAGGCGCCGTGCTGCACGACGCAACTGTGGGAACGAGCCTTTGGTCTACATCATTGTCCTTGAATGAGCGAGAGAGCGTAATAATGTGGGCAGCAAGAACATTACCTTGTTAGCGAACAGAGTCATCACAAATTTCCCCGGCAGAAACATTTTCAGGAGTGCAGTGACGAGCTCGTGGTAGTTATCCTGGGGAGAAAGATTAGTCACAAATTATAAAACAGAAATTTAATCTAACTTCAACCTATGAGAAAGTCTTCTCGGCATGGATGCTCGACTCACCTGTGGAGCATTGGTCTCAAAGCTGACGTAGGAGCAATGTGGCTCAGGGGTGATGTGAATGGTGAAGTAATGGCCCTGCAAGAGGAAGACACGCCTTTCATTACTCACGCTGTTAATACGCCGATCCACACAGACTTCGAAGAGGAGAAATGCCGAGGAGGCTTTCGGTGCGAAATAACTGAATAGCAAATTCCACCCCGTTGTGACAAAGAAAAACGAACGAGATTTAATAGAACGACATTGTAGTCGACACCGAGTTGAGTTGGATGGTTTATAACAGCGACTCTTTCCACTATTTGCGCTATCCGACATAGTACTTAGCAAAGATTAACATGACCTCAACTCTTATTGTCACATGCCAGTGTGCTCGTTTCAAGTCGTACTACCAGCTTGGCATACTGTTCCACACCATCGTTCCTGACCACACGTTGTGCTGCTGGTGTTAGTCACAGCCGTGATAGTGCGCAGCAGTTCAGTTGTATTAACGCACAACTGCCCAATCCTGCAATCTATAAACAAGTTTTTTCGTAGAACTAATGTACCGGAATTGGGGGTGTGCAAATAGTGGTTCCAATTGAATAGCACCACATCATCTCTAGCCTTCACAGCGCAAGGAAGAGCCACTGTATACGGGCTCAGAATCGAAGACAACAAGGACTCTGCACCATTAGATTCAAAGCAATGTTTGGGCACATTAACCCAAATTATATTCCGTGGATACACCGAATTTGTTACACATCTAGAACCATAGGTGAATTTGCCTCAACAAAAAATTTACACACACCAACTCTTTTTTTTTTTTTTTTTTTAGAAAGAAACAATTAGTTTTTGTTGACATGACAAATATTACGTCAACAAAACAGATCTGGGCAACGTTTCGCCCGTGATGTCACCTCCTTCCAGACGCTCCCTCCCAAGCTTGACCCTTAAATCCGCCTGTCTAGAACTTCCATACGTCCGGTCATCGACGGCAGCGAGGGCGCCGCCACTCACCCCTTTGAAGATGCCGTTGACCGAGTAGCCGCAGGGGCTGAACAAGAAGTCGTCCAGCACGGCTCCCGGGTAGAGACGGTCTATGCCGGACTTTTGGGTGGCCTCCTTGGCATTGGCAGACGCCTCTTGGGTGAAGATGCGCATGATGTCCTGGTCCAGGTTTTGCATGATCACGTGCGGGGGAGGAGTCAAGGGAACAAGGGGCATGCAAAGAAGTTCGAGGGCTTCTGCTCCAGATAATGTTAAGGCCGGTTTACACGTTTATGCTCGAGTGGGATAGAGTGCGTCGCATTCTCTCGCGACCGCTGCCAACGAGATAAACACGCCGTTACGACCCGTCGGGTAGCCCCGGAGCACTTCCGACCTGCATTTAAGCGCCATTTTGTTTGCAGTGTCCTCAAGATAATTCTGATAATGTCATAAGAGACCATTTCCCATAGACTGTGCATAGATTTTATCTCGCAAATGCTACAAAACCTTTGGTCTAGTAATGCAGTTCCAGGGATACTTGAACGGTGCCAGTGTGTTTGCTCGTATAGTAGGCAGCTACAAGGGAACGAAACCCGCTCGATCGTGCTGAAATGCAACTGTGTGAACCAGGCTTTTGCCAGGTTCATTTAGCACCGTTAAAGATATTCATGCAGACTGGAAGTCACTTCCCCCCCCCCCCCCCCCCATTTCGTACCAATCACCACATCTGAGTACCTCCCATAGTATCTGAATGGATAATGGTGTAGGGATTATTAGAGTAACGACACCGTTAATTAATGTCCCAAGTTGCGAAACATGCGGTTTGTATTCATACACCTTCAGTTCTGAAGAACCAGCGAGTGCAACATGCATAAAGGGCAAAACAATTGGCATAAAGGGCAAAACAATACAGTATTTAAGGTGTAACCGTTTTAAAATAATTTAGAAGACGTTAAACTATTGTTTTGAGGAATAAAAAAGGACCACCGTTTTTATCAATTTCCCCATTACATTGGAAAGGAAACTGGGTGTAGAGGTCACATGACATCAATTTTCTTGCTAAATTTAATGGGGAATTTGTACTGATGAATCTGTCACGTGTCGTCAGGTCCCATGTGATGTCACTTTCCCCGCTAAATTTAGCGGCGCAACTGAAGGTGTTTACATCATGCGACATCCCCGTTTCCGCTAAATTTTCTGGGGAAACTAAATGAAACCAAGTCACGCGACATCAATGTTTTTGCTAAATTTAGCTGAGAAACTAATTTGCGTGCAAGCCTCATGATGTCGGGTTATGCGACATCAAATTTCTTACTAAATTTAGCAGGGTAAGTGAAGTGCCGTATAGATCACATCACATTGATTGATGTCGCGTGTCCTCAACACCCATTCAGTTTCCCCGCTAAATTTAGCAGGAAATGCACGGACGGGTGTACAACATTTTGGGATTCGGAGTTCTGTTAAAAGCATCTTACGCTTTAAAGGAATAGGGAAACAAAATTCCAGCACTCATTTTCTAGCTTTAATGTGTTGCATGTTGCACCCTAACCTCAAAAACACCAGTTTTCCGTTGAAAGGCACAAGAAAACTGATTTTAAAGCTAAATAAACAATCTTTCAATGTGCACCTGATGGATGCATGCGGAGCCTATTTGGAAGGTAATTTAGCAACATTGGGGAACTTGCTACGTAGTCGTGACATAGCAGATTCCTTCGAAGCAGTGCCACCCTTTGGAATTTCAATATTTTCCTTCTTAACTTTCCTCAACTCACAAATCGTGCATTGTACCAAACGGTCCAAGAAGACTGAAAGGAAGTACTCTCTTCTTTCTCGGACCCTCGTTCGTGCAACCGGAAACAGCCATTCTCCCCCTAGAAGATTAGCCTGTCGCTCAAAACTGGAACAAAAGTTGCTTTCCCCACCTTGTTCAGTCCTAAGCTGACAGTGTTGTGGAAGCTAAAGTGCTCCTTGGGCCAGCCACATGCTCGTCACCCCACGGGTACTTCAAACGGCTCGGTTGTAACGCGCTGATGCTATTGACACCACCACAACGCTGACAATGCCACCAAGTGCAAAGCTCATAACCACGCCAGCCTCGCTATGTCACGAATGCAGGGAATCTTCTTTTCGTTTTTGTTTGCGCCGGATATCCTACGATGGATTGCGCTCTCCGTTCGCTTCTCTTTGGGCGCACCGTTTGGAACGAAAAATATAGCCAGTCGTTCAAAATACAAACGTGCGATTATCATTTACGGTTATTATCCGTCATGCTTGACTCATTCCTGAACGAAATTTGAATATTTCGATTTTTGTTTCCGTACCCCTTTAAAAGAATACTGCAACTGCTATACCGAGGACCTCACCAAGTTCAGTGTGTGTTGTCCTTTATACAAATCCAGTTTCTTGGGTAAATTCACGATGTTTAACCTACACCAGCTTGCTTGCGCCCTCATTCTTTTTGCTCATTTTTGTAGGCTCACACCTTCACCGTTTGAATTTGCAAATAACCAATGTGCGAAGAATGGGAGGAACAAATACAGGGCCGACGTCTGCTGCCGTGCAATTGTCCCACCCCTTTCCAAGAGACACTGAGAGAGTCTTCCGAGACAGAAATCGAGAAAGGATATCTCCAGGGTCTGATCAGGAACCTGAATCCCACGGTAGCCCATCGGAGTGTTCAGGGTGTAGAGGTACCTGGGCAAAGACGACGCAATGGGGGACAATCACTCACCCAGCAAACAATGCCAGCGGTGTCACTGACACTTCCGCTGCTGGAAGCCTCCCCCCCCCCCCCTCGTGGAATCGAGCCAACAGCACTTACCAGCAGTCGTGGTTGATTCTTCCCATGCAGTAGGCAGCACCGTCTGTTGCATACACACACAGGAAAAATAATTTTAGACGAGGCCACAACACAGCAGTCTCTCCACATATTTCTAACAATAAACAAATTCTCGAGGTTTCAAGCATTCCCATAATGACGTGCTGAGGTTCCTTTGGAGACAAGAACCATTAAGTCCGATTTTTAAGGGCAGTACTTTCGAAGATATTTAATCGTGCAATGGTAATGAAGAGGGCAATATGCTTTCTAAGGGATGTTTTTTGTTGGAGTCTAATATTATTCAAAATTAAACTTTTCTCCAAGTGTGCAAAATTTGTTTTTCCTAACAATTCGGTGCTTCTTTGCTAGAAGCAAATCCATTAACAAACATATTAAGGAGAAAAAATAAAATAAATTGTGTTGGAAGGAGACAAAGCGGCAAAAATAATAACAGCTAAAGAAAGCTGAAGAGGTTCTTGAAAAAATTGGAGGTGAATTCTAGAGTATTTTTATCCCATGAATCTGAATATTATGTTAGTTTTCCCCGAAGTAAACGTGAAAAAACACTGAAAACCTCCGACCAGTCATTACATCATAAAAGGATCTTTCAGCCACCAAGCATGTGTCGCTCATGTGCGCAGCGCATGCATTTGCAAGCTTGTCAGCTATATGCCCCTGCCCCGACACCACTTGTGACATCTTTTTCTGACCTTTTCGAAAAAAGCGAGAGTGCATGTGCATACCTTTGATAGGCACTGAAGACAGGCAGAGATTCCAAAAACTTCTTTCACGACGTAAAGCTCTGGGAAAAAGGGGCTTCAACGGTACTTAAATGATTTTCTGCAGCCTCCGTGCATCAAATTAAGAAGTAATCTCGATGCTTGTGAGTTTGGAAGCCAAATGAAGACTGGTCAAGTTTTTACTCAGACACAAAACTGCTTCAGCTTCCCTTCAATAGGCCGAAACATCATATTTGGCTTGTATTACTATTTAAATATAAGGTTTATTAAGGCCTTTCATATTCAAGTATAAACAAACGTCCTGAAAAGAAAGGGCTTGGTTACCGTCAAAAAGCTCGTCCAGCACTTCCACTTCGTCCTCAAAGCTGGTGTGAGGCTTGTCCTGGAGTTCGGGCCTCATGAAGTTCTTGCGAGAGTAGAAGATGTCCTGAAGCAACAAATTAACAGTTTATACATAACTAGCATGGGAGTCAAAACCAGTTTTGGAACCAGTTTAGCTTCCCGTGGTCTAGGAGCCCACCGCAAAGACCGAAATGGTCGCACTTTGAAGCAATCCTCCTACTTGCGAGACCTCAAGATAATCGCAAGTCCCAAGGATTTCCGATTTCCTGCTAAGGTCTCACGTGGGTTATGACAGGTCTTTGGGAAACCAAATCAAATGTTAGCCAACATAGTACATATTACAGACATTCTAATTTTCTATGCATTACCTGCTGTGTATAGAGTTGTGTATGGATGGAGAAATTGGTTTTTTTTGTTTGCATTGCGAGTGTCTCAGTGCACTAATACGAGTAGTTGTGCCTGTATTTGTTTAAGCTACCTTGCAAAGGTCTATGAAGCATTTCCTGCCTGCCTTGCAAGTGTAATAGCTACCTATATTATAAGCAGCTATGCTTGTGTTTCTATTTTTTTCTTCTTTTTGCTACTTTACTTTAAAAGTAGATTAAGGCATATGGACTCCGTCAAGCTCATTTTTTGTATAAACCAAGGAGGAAAATAAAATGCAGTATTATTGTTCCACTCTTATTTGGCATTTCAGTATATTTTCGAAGATTCCAAAAGCTGCAATATATTAGACAACAATATAGAGCATGTCTATTTTAACAAGCAGTGTACTATCAAATTCTAGGAACACATTCTTAATTTGATTCTGCTTTCAAGCACAAGTCTGGAGCACAAAATCAAACTATGACCGGATCCGGTTATCGCTCGAGTTGGACAAAGTTGAGATTTCCCCAAGCACAACTCCACTTTAATTGCTCAAGTTATGAATTAAAATTCCGAGACTAGTAAAAGCACTAGGATCTATTGGCCGTTGTTAAAAACAGCTGTCACATCTTTGTTTGAACACCTGGCCTTTCTGTAGAAACCATTTTCTAATTATCCTTTATTTCATTCCATATGTTGCCACTAGTGTGGAATGCCAACTTTTAGTTCGAGATTAAACATGAACAGAATGGAGTTTTGTAATGAGAGTGTCTATGATTAAGCAAAATGATGGAAACGAGCAAACAATGAGACACTCACCAGCACTTCGTCAAATCCAGTCAGTTCCTGGACGAGGAACAGGAGAGGCTTGACCGCATTCAGCAGGGTGGTAGAACCGCAGGTCTTGAGAATGAAGCAGCGCTTAGACACGAACATGCTGCTCTCACTGCAATCGAGCCAAAATAAACCATGCGTGCTGAGCATATGACAGCCTGGTAGCTTTGGAATGTGCATTTGCAAGCCCATTGCGGGTAGACCCATTGCGGGTAGACCCATTGCGGGTAGACCCATTGCGGGTAGACCCATTGCGGGTAGACCCATTGCGGGTAGACCCATTGCGGGTAGACCCATTGCGGGTAGACCCATTGCGGGTAGACCCATTGCGGGTAGACCCATTGCGGGTAGACCCATTGCGGGTAGACAGTGCAGCAACAAGAAAATAGAATACCTGAGCACATAGGAGTCCAACGTCTCATTCTTCTTGAAGCTGATGATCTCGCACTTGACAAGCTTTAGCAGAGATTCCCAGGTGGACCTTCGGGAGAAGCATTACAATGAGATGGGTTCATCAAGAGTTGTCTTTCACTCAGGGTACCACTTCAAAAAGAATAAAAAAAAGCAGCTTCAGGCTTTGTCATTCAAAACTACTACAAGGCCATACAGTCCCGCAGATTGCGTGGCAGAGAAAAAAGTGGAATCATTGTAGTCCTTTTATGTGCATGTTTAAATATGCTATATATTCTGAATTAATTTTGCAAAATCACCATATTTCTCGACATCCAGTTGGAAAAGCAGAACCTTCCTATAGAAATCTCGCCCAACTTACTACACTTCTGCACTTCCTATAGAAGTACCTTCAATTATTACAAGCACAGTGAAAAAGTTAGACATTAAGCATATAATCAATGCTTCGTACTGTTTTCTTATTAGGTTATGCATCTTTCCTGAAGTGCAGAAGCTATCGACATCATAGATATATACAGTCATGGCCAGGGGCGGATGCAGGAATTTCCTGAGGGAGGGGTCAGGTGTTGGTCAGCGTACCATGTGCTTAGGAACCCCTCCCCCTCTCTTTACGCCCCACATTTTACACATGCAGAAATCAAGAGGGGGTCAGGACATCCGAACCCCCCCTCTAAATCCGCCCCTGGTCATGGCTTATCCTCATGCCAGTGGCAAGGGGAGTCTGCATGCGTCTTGTGATTGAACTCTGGGCATGTGTGCAAGGGGCAGCAATATTTTCAAGCCTGGGCCCCTTAACTGCAATGCGGGGGGTTCTCGGCTAGGATCAACTTAAAAGGGAGGTTGGAATTATAAATTGTCCCAGTTTTTATAACCACGCTGTGGCAGCAGGTTGAATGACCGGGGCTCCCCGCCTGTCAGTTTTCAGGCTCTGGCCTGAAAGCAGCTGTGCCAGCTTCTATCAAGCAAGCTTTTGTACGGGATTCTACTGCCACCCCCTGTACATGCGGAACTGAAATTCAATCACAAAACACACACACACACAAAAAAGGAATAGGTTCTTAACTTCTTATGCATTTTAGCTCGCTGTTTCACCCAATGTTGAACGACGCCCATCACAGAGAGATAGCAAAGACATTATACACTCCAATATTAGATGTACCTTGCCACGTGCAGATAAATGATCTGAAGAGCCTGCAGCTACATCCAGAACGATGCCAGATCAGATAAGGCCATCATAATTGACTTCTAGGAATCTCAAATGACAGATAATTATAGGCCATAGCAACAGACGACCAGCCAGCTCGTCCTCTACCCTCATACATGCGTACGCGCGATTTCCCGCCCAGCAAAGCACACGTTTCGTCTCGATAGACCATAGCGGACGTCACGAGCCACCCCCATGAATAGAGCTCCGGGAACTATCGCGTGATTAGGCGCGCCTCGGGCGTTGCTGTGGCCCTCCCGCGAGGTCACGCGACACTCACGCAGCGTCGGATTCGCTACGATGACTCGTGGCGTCCCGCTGCGGTTGGTCGCGAGGTAAAACCGCGAGTATAATAGAGCCGGTGTCCGATAACTCTTCCGACGCGATCGAGGGACCAAGGTCCACGCGGTCGACCGCAACTCGATCACGTGACGCTCGATCACGTGGTGGAGCGAAGGGGAAGAATGAATGGGGCCGACCGCAATGCAGCGCGCAAAGAAACGACGCGAAGCACGACCTCCTCCACGTCCTCGCGGGCCCTTTGAGCTCGGTCAGCACGGCATCGATCGGGGGAAGTGACGCACACGCGCCGAGCTGTGGGTCGATACCGACGGCGGCAGAGCTAGAAGCCAGGCAGAACGGGCTCCCTCCCGGCCCGGCGAATGTGTGTCACAGGTTTACGCGCGGAGCTCGGGCCATGTGGCAGCCACTTGAGGGGAGGGAAGCGCCCGCGCCGCTGTTCCGCGGTGCAAGGCCGTCTCGACGCGCGGCAAAGGACACGGCGTTTACAACTGTAGATTAACTGAAGATTAGCTCCGAACAATGTGAGCTACAGGATCGAACCCTACGCACTTTAAAAGAGCACCAGGGTTCAAGCCCAGGTGCTCCACAACACAATCCACTGCGCGTTTTTTTTTTGTTTTTTTTTTTTTTGCTGGCGTGGGTTATTTGCGAGTTATGGATAAACTTACGCGACTGTCAAGAATAACAACCATAATGACACGGTGCAATTTCGAAATTAATCCGGTGAAAAATAAAAAGGTAAATGCAAGAAAATAAAAATAAAAAAGTAAAGGAATAAAGAGTGGCGAAAGGGAAAGATCGCTCCGCAGGCGCGGAGCTATGGTGGCCGACTGGCCGCTGAATACTCCCAGCTGGAGCTTGGGTTAGAACAGAAACGGTGCAGATATGCCAGTTACACCCGTAAGGAGTAAACCTGTCGGGTACGCAATTCTAGGAGTAAAATTCATTGGCTCAAATGTTAGTCATATTACAGAATCCCCCAATCTACACTAAATTTTTTTTTTTTTTTTTTTTTTTGCGAGGTGATAAACGGGGTGGTTGGGCTAAGCCAACACCTAGACAACAAAGCCGTAGTGCTGATAGCGATGTCATCAGCGAAGGCCCGCTGACCACAGGTTGGACACGACGATTGCGTCAACGTTCGGCTCAAACTTGACTCGAGGCTGACTCCTAACGCAGCACTAGTTTCCAATCTGTGGCCAGCGTTGGCCTTCTCTGGTGACGTAAAAAATGTCCCCACTACGGCCTTTGTTTTCCAGGCGGCGTTGGCTAAGAAGGCCCCGTCACCGCAAGAAGCCGCCTCAATCTGAGAAACCATAGAACGCAGATCGGGTCACTAAACAGGATAAGTGCAACTCGACGATCGCTCGGCCCGGATGTCACGTGATTCATCACTGGTCTTCCTGATCTCGCATCCCCGCATGGCCGCTGCAGCGCGAGTGCATGCGGCATGGCATGAGGCCATCGAACGGCCATCTTGCATCTCGTAAAATCGCGTTTTTGGAGCGTTGCGGAGGCTGGCGGCAGCGTGCGGAAGACATCTTTCCTACTCGTTCGTCGTCATTCGCCGAACAAGTTCTTTAAAACCCTGTGTAAGTTGTGAGACTTGCCGTTGAGAACACTTGGACATTTTTATGGAAGCTCAGTGCCGCAGGAAAAACGGGTCAGCTCGTCGAAAGAAAGTTTCGCCGGTCTCGCGGCGTGTTCGAAGCTTTCTTGGCACGCCGAAGCGCTGCGTCTCTGCGCCTTCGCACCAGTGGCGTAGCCAGGATTTTTTTTTTCTTTTTTTTTTCGGGAGGGTATGAGGTGGCTGGGATATCCATGACTTGGGTTGCGGAGAGAGGGAGGCCCAAAATACAGATACCGAGATACATGTGTCTTACGCAACGGGATATCGCCGAGATGCTCCAGCAAAAACGGCAAAAACGTCTTCCGGGATACAGCTGCAGATACTTATCGAAATACATTTGTCCCCAAACGGTGCTACTTGGGAAGGGTATAGTTCGTGGTCAATGAGTCGGAGCATTGAGACAGGAAATCAAAGAAGTGTTGCTGGGCCTGTGGCCGAGTATGTCACCTCTGTTATACAGTTCGTGGCGAATGCAAATGACAATTTATGCCTGTGCTCATCTTTTCGTGCCATTTTATGCACTACCCGTTACCTCGATCGAACTCTCATTAATGCCGCTAAAAAAACATGCTACTCCGGCTAATCCACATAGTTACAGAACGGTAAAGATTGCGCACCATGCTTGACAAAAGGCGTTTGCCCGAAATGAACCCCGTTTTGCCGCGAAG